CCGCTTCACTTGCCCTGATTGCACTGAAGAACAAGACACGCGACTGTCTCTATTTCAATCCACATCTTCCTGCTGCGCAAGATTCTATAAGGAGAGAAATCCGCAGGGACTGCATCCATCTTGGCCGCCATAGCGCTTGCGAAGCTCAAACAGCTCGTCCGCACACTAAATTTTTCGACTGCATCTGCATATTTTTGTCTAAGACGCCGACTTATACAATACGCGCGTAGCCTGCTTCAAACACAAACGCGAATAAACGAAACGGAATAGTTCGAAAACTGCGAGCATATGATGACCGCCTTATTTACTACGATCTCGATCGTCAGCAGAGCCGTGATTGAATACAACGCAGCGTGTCGTTGCATGCAAGCAAGCTCTCTGACTCATCTCAGGACTCCACTTCAAGCAACATGCATAAAGCGAAAGCACGTTGAGTGCGCTTGAAAACTTAACAGCAAGCTTTCTCTTTCCAGAACGACATCTGCGATGCACGCAGCGCTCGCCGCAGGGCTCAAGCGCGCACATCAATGGCGGCGCAAATGCAAGGACCGCCTCAATCAGCATACACAGAAGAGATTCGCGCTCTTCTGCGCGAAGTTGTCGTGTCCAGCCGGATTGCCACATACGTAAAATTGCACCCAGTAGTTTACGCGACCGCCGAGCAACGCGAAAGACTCTTCAAGATGGGAGCATACAGAGATCGCGTGGACGCCGGTTTCAGGACGAGACAGGAACTCCGAGAGTTCTTCACTGAGATGGAGGAGACAGTGTCTGCGTTCCACGCCATCTGCGAAGACGGCCTGCAAGTCGCCAATGGTGGGTTCTATAAGCATGCAACAAACAGACTATTGCGCAAATTTCTCCCACAATCTATCTGTGCAAGGACTCCAGGCTCGGCAGTTTTTCCGATGACTCTCTACCTAAACTGTGCTCGATCCTTCTCACACTTCGCCTTGCTTGTCGGTCTTCTTACGCGACTGCCTGTCTCTAAATTGTCAGTTTCATGCCTTATACAGGGCCAGTCTCGTTTTTATTTTTCACCTTCGCCGACGACTCTGATTCGTTCCTTTCAATACTGCGCGGCTGCTTGCAGACTTCTGCATCAGATCTTACCTCTCGCAGGAGAAGAACGACTGCTGAAAAAATACCTAGCAGCCAAACTTCATAAGTCTTGCTTCCGACCCAATCTCCGACCTCACATTGCAGGTCTTCTCCGAGAAGTACTGCGCACGCTGTACCCCTCCGGCTGTCTACGAGTACGGCATGCTGCACGAGCAAGAATACATTATCCGCTATTACGGCTGCGAAATTCCGTTCTACATGCTCCGCGAGCTGGTGGACACATACGAATTCGACGGCGCCTATCTGCTGCGCCTGAAGACGCAAATCAAAGTAAGTTCTTCTCGGCCCGAGTCTCATATGCTTTCCAAGCTAGACAATTGTCGTACGCATCGACGTTCCGCAACTCGTCGTTGTGCAATTCTGCCGCCCGGCGCTATGATTTTTCTCTAACTTAGAACAGTGAACCAAACTCTTCACAATCCGCGGCTCTGCACCCTGTGTAACAACATTCAGTCACGTTGACACGCTTCATTCGTTCCGCAGGCAGAAAATCTCCGGGAACGCTGCCGGAAAGACAACGGAACGCCGGAAACCGTCCTCGCGCGCCGACAGGCGCGTTACTTAGCCCACCGCCGAACTCAGACAGATGTCAAGGACCGCATCGGCGCTGCGCAAGAACGTCAAACGAAGGCCATCGTCAATCTCGTAGAATTCTTGAAAGCGGACTAAATAGAATGAATGAGGTAAAGATAAATGAGCGCCTAGTCGAAACACCCAGAATTTGTGAGAATTGCAGACAATCTGCAGTTCTCAGACGCAGTCAGTATAAATCAGTTCACTACTGTTCAGTAGACCATCTGTAACGAAAGAGCAACTGGTAGCTGCTCATATGACAAACACGATAGACATTCTAATATTCGGAAATTCTAGAATTAGAGTAGTAACTATTGTAGGCAGCAAGTGACATCCGCTAATGGTTTCGATCTCGACAGATTTCCGGCAGTCCACTCACAAACATCCACATTCTATACCAAATTATTGGCAAACACGTTTTCAGCATGGTACGACTGCAATTACAAATGTCTGCGAGACTTAAACTTACTTTACGCTGAATCACACCTATTCCAACAGTTTTATATAACAGAAGAGGCAAGCCGTGGCCGTCGCCAGACGGCCCTACCATGTACGGTATAGACGGTACCGGTGTACGGGAGCCGAGCAGCCGGCAGGCTCAGCCTTGATCGAGTCAAGGCTTGACTCGATCTAGTTGCCGGCCGCCCTGCCGGCCGCGAGGCAAAGGACCCGCGACAATGGCACGTGCCGGGGTTCAGGGTCTAAGGCGAAAAAAAAAGTTTTCCGGGGCATCGAACCTCAATAGCCGTCGAAAACGGGAGTCTGCGATATCAGGTCTTCAACCAATCAAAATTGCTTTCGACGGGTCGAACCGGGCTTAATAGAGTGTTCCAGTCTGCATTGCCACTTTCCCCTTTTCTGAAACCCCGGGGTCGATTGCGACAGCTCGGTACCGACTTTGTCAGTATTAACCGAGCTAAAAATGTCGATCGTGGGCATTCACCTCACTTAGGTCAATCATTCTCACAAGCGGAGCGATCATGGTGGCAGTTCACCACCGCATCCTTCTGAAATCTGGCTTAAGTGTAACGGATATCGCAATCAATGATAGGCTTATAAGTTTAACGTACTTCACTTGAGTGTGGTTCATTATTCATGATATGCTAGATCGAGAAAATGGTATAATTGACACTCACAATTACAAGAAAGTGGGACTCAGCGCAGAACTTTGACGGTTTGCATTACATGGAACTTTTGACGGTTTGCACTACATGAAATGCAAGAATCATGCGGCAAAAGTCACCTACATTCGAAACGCTCTCCAATTTGCCACGGCTACAATGGCTGCTTGCATATATACCTAGTGGACTCGGTGGACTTCCAGGCATGTCCTGGGCTTGGATTTCCGCGGTGGAAGCAGTTTCCGCGTGTTTCCGCAGAGCTTCCGCGGCTCTTCCGCGCTGCTTCCGCAGTGGGTCCGCGCTTCCGCAGACTTTCCGCTATGCTTCCGCTGTCTTTCCGCATATATGAGGCATATATGGTTCTTATGTTTCTAGCGTATCATGTAATCTTTATAAGCTTCATACTTCCGCGCACTAGATCCGCATGGAGTTCCGCATGCTTCCGCAAGCATCCGAGTGCTTCCGCGAGCATCCGCGCATTCCGCGTCTATCCGCCTTTCCAATCCGCATGCCTTCGCATGGTTTTTACAAACTTTTGCAATCTTTCGCATCTTTCCGCAGATTCCCGCGCTCCTCCGCCATAGCTTCCGCGCTTTCCGCGAACATTTCCGCAACGCTTCCGCGGTGGAAATCCGAGCCAGGACATGCTGCCTACTTCCTACGCGTCTTGACCGCCTCCAATCTTTAAGAGATGTTCTATATGTACTATTTGCCACATTCACGTTCCCAATGCGAGTCACTAGAGGTTTTACTTCGATGAAGTCGCGATTCCCCAGTTGTTTACTTAAGCTGTACAGGATCCCATGGGAGATTAGCCTTTTATGAGGCATAAACTTGACGGTTCTGGACTTATTAGCAATCGGATGCTTGGACCCGAAAGAGCATCCTCTAACATATGCGGGTGAATGCGACGTCTGTGCCCTCTTCTTAATCGGACCTGCAGAAACCTGTTGGTCTATTGAGCTCCTAAACTACACCAGAAGTATGTTTAGCTGGATCAAGTCCGAGTGCCCCGGATCGAATATCACTCCAAGTACCGGAACAACCATCACCATCAGTTGATTTCCTCCTTAGCGGCAGACTCTTGCTGATAACCTAAATCGACAAACCGAGGACGTTCAGCACCGTGCAGGAGTCGAGTTTGTCTTGGTTCCAACAACACCCCAAGGTCGTGCTCAAAAGCCTCATGCCTTTCCTGCTACAGTTGACGGTCCATCAGAAGAGTTCAAGCACAGTAGAGAAAATAGGTGACGGTCATTTTATGGACAGCTAAGCTAGGCTGATGGCAGCAAGTCGTGGGAGGGCAATGAATGGTAAGTTACACAGCAAAACGAGTGTTATAGTAGCTGATATGAACAGGCTCTGCGAATATACCTTGGATCATCTCCTCGATTGCGCTTTGCCGCCGCTCCTCGTGCTGGTCGATCCTCTTAAACAATCGTGTCACCGACTTGGTAGATGTCGGTTTAGCTGCCCTTCAAAGTGATCCACCAGCTGCCTCATCGCCTTTCTGGAGTTGGTCGAACGATGAGTCAAGGTATGCAAAAGCAGACTTGAAAAATCTAGACGAAGCAAGAATATCAGCTTGAAGTAAGGGATACTTGCGAGTGCAATCTCCATTTCGAAGCAGATGTGCTGAATCGATGCAAACCCGTCAGAAGCTGAGAATAAGGATACATCTGGGCTGCCAGCTCGCCGACATCTCTCATTTCCTGGTCCAACCTGGGGTATTAGAGGAACAACTTTGCTCAGCGCAGCCGTCGACCGCAACACAGCGTCAGGAAAACGATACTCCACAACAGTTCGAAGGCACAAATCACAGCCCCTCACAGGCACTGCAAACATCTCCAGTTGAGCACAGCAAACATCACCAGTTGAGCACACTCAATAGGACAAGCACCCCTTCACACGCATCCGACCACCCCTGCAATGGGACCATCCGTGTTTTTACTTAACAGTGCACCTTACCGTTGACACTCGTTGATGAAACGGTTCCCGCTACTTGCAGCGTCAGTTACTGCATAAGAACAAAACGAGGTGGAATCAGGCACGAGCAGCCCATGCTTGTATTGAACGAGTGACAAAGCTGATAAGACTAGTGTCTCAAAGGTCTTATCAAAGCAGCGCCCCCAAGGTCATGCAGACTCGATAGGTCAGCAGAGTACCTTCATGGTTCATGGATATCATTCCAGTGCGTCTGGTCACCGCAGGTTGAGTTCAAAGATTATAGCCAATGGTGCAAAGCAACATCCAGTTGGGTGAAAGTTAGATGAATTGTTACACTTATGGTGCCTCACCTGCTTCATGTAACTCCCTGGCCGCTTCGCTGTGGCACTCCAAGTGTTCCAAGGAGCAGTGGGTCACCTGCATGACATCCAGAAGGATTTGACCACTGGGTTTACATTTCTAAAGCAGAGACAATCTTGCAATTGACTCAGACTCAATAAGAGTAGGGCCCTCGATCATTCCACAAACTGCAAATGTTCCTGTGGGACTCTCAACCTGCTTGCCAGTGTATCTCGGCCCGTGCTCCAATAAATGAAGAAGAGGGGCCTGTTTCTCAGAGCTGGCAGGCACTGGCTTACATCTGCCAATGATGCTCGCAGTGTTGCCATCAGTTGGACCAGGTTGTTGGCAACATTAGAGGCATCCTTCTCGACCTCCGCAAGCACCTCCACAGCTACTGGGATTGACATTCTGCTAGTCGTCCTATTCAGGGGCATTTGGATGGAGAACGGGTCATCCGATGCACGCAGTTCGCTTGGCCTTTCAGGGTCGCTAGAGGCCCCTTGTAGGCGGCGGGCATACGTCAGAAGCCTCTGCTCAAGATCGTGGCGCGTGCTTTCATTGGACTGCAACGGCAGGTTTGCATCCTCCCCTGCCGCTCCTTTCTCAGTCTGCTTGACAATATCAGTCCCTTGGTTCTGCTGTGAAGATGATGCCTGACTTTTGAGGACCTCTTCCTTCTGGTGGGGCATGTGACTGGCGTTGGGCCGTCTTGACATAATGTCGAAATGTAGACCCCCTAAGCCAATGTCTGGACCGCCTGTGGAGCAGGATCCTGTCGCGCCTGCCCAAGTGTCCCCTCATCAGGGGACCCTACAGTCGTTTCTGTCTCCTTCTGACTCTCACCGTCTGCAGCTTTACGCATCCTGTGTTGCTGTCCTGTTCCATGAAGCTCGGTGGGTGCGCCCCAGTGTTTGTGCGCGGGCGAGCAATCTTTGAACGGACTCCATACTAAGCACCACCCACTGACAATTAATCTGCTCTAAACTGAGCGGTGCTTGCCAATCTCGAAACTGGCGCCCACGATCACCATGAATCTGATGTTCAATCACTTTCTTGCTGTGCAACTTTCCGCCACCATCTTCCCTGTGGGAATTTCCAGTGAATTGTATTGCTGGCGCTGATGAAATACGTGGGCCCTTTCTACGAATAATACTCGGTCAGGAGCGAATGAAATTTGAAGCAATATGCATTTAGTAAATTTCGAGTTTGACCACCGCACTATTATTCAATATCAATGTTTTTCGAAATACGCGTGCAACATGAGACACAGGGTTTGCTTGTCCTATGTCCAGTTATATAGGAATATATTGAATCGACGTATCGTCGTCTTGGTTGGACGCAATGCAGCATTTGCACAAGCGGAGCAAAATGGAGGAGATTGATGGGGCGCACAGGGTGGAAGCTAATGTCCAAAGGCTTGCCAACGAAACGTCTCGACTGCATCAGCAGCTTGTTTCCCTTCTGACTCAAGGCTTTTCTAAGACACCACCTGTGGAGATTCAAGGTGCTCAAAACAAAGCCTCTCCTCAAACTTCAACAGGCAATGTAGAGGGAGGTTCTCCATCTGAACCAGGGCCCTCAAGCAGCAAACAGGTGGCGCAAGGGGCTGAGGATGCTGTGCTTGATGATGTGGCAATTAGACCGGAGAAGTTGGTTCAAAGTGTCGTTGGGGCGCCAGAGCAGCTGGAAAACCCTGTCAAGGTCGTCGCAAAACTCTTGCAGCAGCAGAATGAGCTCATCACTGCTTATGCACTCACAAAAGGTCAGGAAACGAGCAGGGACTACAAGTTGACAAAAGAGGAGCTCCTAGTGGAAAGGCGAAATGTTTTGAAGAAGGTGGCAATGAAGATGCATAGAGCTGAACAGGCGATGGAGGACGTTTTGGACAAATGCTCCATGTACAAGCGGCCAAAATTAAGCAATAACCTTGTGGAAGAATCATGGAAAGGTGAGGATGTCAGCAGTGCCATAGGGGGGTAAGTGTTAGCGCAATTTTGATTCACCACTGTCCTTTTTCTGACTTTTTCTTTTTTCCTGAGGAAGGATCTGTCTGCCTATCAAGTCCTTGCATACAGAGGCCCATCACGGACTCTTTGAGATTGGGCTCGCTTGCCCAGCACTTTACTACAAGAAACTTTGCAGAGAGGCACCGTCCTGAACTCCCCCAGTCAATCCCTCACGTCGTCCCCTCCATTCCACCCCCAAACAAGGGGCAAGGTCCACTTTTAACCGCCCAGGACCCCCTGGCAAATCTCAGCCCCCTTCTATACACTGTCCCAAAGACTCCCCAGCCTGTTCCTTGTCATCCTTCCCCACCCCCCCCTGCAATGATGCAAAGCTCACGGAGGGGGACGGCGGTGCTTCCGGCACTTACTCCTCCTGCTTCTCGGGGTCGGATCCACGACCTTGCGTCCAAGCGCTCCTCTTAAAAGTCCTTCCCTTTACCCCCCCCTTCCATTAAGTCTGCGCCGTTATTTACAGGCCCCCAGGTCTTCTCATCCCCCAGCTACTTCCCGCGTGTTTTACTTGGACTGCTCCTTAAAGAACTCCCCTCAGGCTGCTCTTCATCAGTGATTTTCCCCCCAGATCCAGGAATTGTAATTGCTTACTTCCTTTCTAGATTTCGTTTTCCCTCACTGAATTTGTCTCCTTAACCTTGCAGAGGGTCAGAGGCGCATTGCGATTGGGGACATCGTTTCATATGCTCACAAGATCAGCTACAGCACCTTTGCCCCTCCCAGTTTCATCACGAATCAGGAGCTGCCACCTGGTTTTCAGCCCCCAGCACCGCAAGCTGAGCACATGAGGGCCTCCGCATTGTATCAGTTCTCGGATGAGGAACTTGGATTCAGGCCTGTTCCGAGCGCAACACCTCTTGAACTGAAAGCGCCCGGTAAGCCCTGGTCTCTGGATGCAACAGCTCTTTTGATAGTAGCATCCAAAAGGCAAGTGATTACGTCCAAGAATAGCTCCCACTTTTTTTACAATATCTCCCACGTGTCCCTTCGATCAAGTAAGAGACGTGGGTACCTCGAAGGGTCGGTTTCTTGAGAACCTTCGTTATCACTTCTGATACTGACCTGAAAACAGCTCCAATGTTTGATTCAAACCACCTTCGCTAGGCGCCTCTTATCTCCCAATCTGGTGTTGACTTTCTGACCCTGTGGACACCAACGCTGTCTTTCCTTCCCTTTTAATGCAATCCTCTTCTGTCCTTACTTTGCAGAGCCATCGGCGAGCGCTCCAGAAGCCCTCCCCAAGCCCCCTCCTGGGTGGAAGCCTGGCATGCCGGTCGAACTTCCCCCTATGCCACCTGGATGGAAACCAGGAATGGAGCTTCCGCCCCCTCCACTAGCCCTTGCAAACCTGCCCCCCATGCCCCCTGGCTGGAAACCAGGAGACCCGGTTCCTCTGCCCGTTGTACAGCCACAGATTCCGCCCCCCGGTGAGATATCTTTTCCCTCTGGGCGAACACTCGGCACAATTGACCAACATCCGGACCTCTGCTCCGGCACCTCGCGCACGTTCGTCAGGGGGTCTTCACTTCTTAATTTGAATCTTGCAGTGCCCAAGGGAGCTCATACGTTCTTTGTAGGTCGATGTCTCTTCAAAGCCGAAGCAGCCGTAGAATTCAACCATGTAATGCGGCCATGGTTTTTCCTCAGATCCAGAGGTATCGATTTGTTGCAACCTGGGACACCTGCCTTTCTCTTTGATTTGACTGGCCCATGAACAAGTTGACGTGTTCGAGTTGTCTTGTTGGATGCCCTGTTCGTCTTGAAGGACAACGTCTGGAAGACGCAAGTCCACTCAGGCCAATGCTCCTTCTCCAATCATGCCAAGCATTTTCCTTCCGCGCTGACTTGCATATCTGCAATTTCATCTGAAGGCTAAAGATGTAAAAGCTTTCCTCTTCTGCAGAGCGTCTTCGGCCTCAGGCTCAGCCTATTCAAGTGGCTCATGTCGATCTGGATCTGAACCCGGATTTAGAGGGAGGCTTCTACTCGTCAGAAAGCGAAGACGAGGATGACGACAGTGAGAGCGAAGAGGAATAAAGATCATTAGCGGGCTGGTGACGAAAGAAGTGTGTGGTGATGCTTATGATCGAGATCAAGTGATCTTTCTTCCGTTGCCCGACTACATGGACACTTTGGCCGTATCAGTGGCCGGATGCCAGCATGATAGACTTCAGTTTCATTTCATGATATAGTCATGAGACGGTATTGTAAAGTTGCAAAAGGGTTTCCACTTTGAGAACCTACTAAGTCCTTCGTCCATGATCAGCTCTGTAAGTTTGAAATTGAGCTTCTCCGTCGTCCCTGTTCATGTGATGGTTCACTGTCATACGCAGCATACCAAAGTACTTGCTATAATCCTGCACGCGCGCGCATCTCCGGATTGATGCCGCTAGCTGGTCGGACAATTGGATTCGGGACGGTAAACTTCAGACTCACCAGCCGGATAAGATAGTTTGACATTTCAGCGCTGCTTATAAGGTGAATTCAACCATGCAAATGTCACTACATTCGTATATGGCCCATGCGTAAACCACTCTTCCAAGCAATCTCATCATCATTACATGACGTACACCTTGCATCATGCAGCCTTGATGCATAACCTGCCTGCATGCATGCACTGGCACGGTGCACAGATATTGCATGAACAACGACCACCATCCAGGCGACGGTGCGTACGCAAAAATTGTAGCTGTGCAACAGCAGTCAGATTGATTGCAGCCTGTGAAAAGCCACTGACTGGATGATCAAGCTTGAACGGACATGCCTCGCGAGGCCCTTAACAACATATATCAACAATTGCAAGATTTTGGTCTACTCAAATTGCGCTCTGCAAAAAATGGTAAACTGAATAGTACCTAGCTTCCCAATGTCTCTTGCAATGTAAGAACTAGTGTCTCCGTGGCAGTTTTCTGAGAAAAGCCGCCCTGGCTTTCGGGTCCGTTTTGAACGACCCAAGCACCTCTGTGGTGGCAGTGCTGCTCGCCACCTTTTCGATACCTCTCGACATCATGCACATATGGCTCGCTTCTACGACTACAATGACCCCCTCTGCATGCGTGCTCGAAGCAATGGCTTCCGCAATCTGCTTAGTCAGCCGTTCCTGTACCTGCAACCGTACAAGGGAAGAAACTGTCACGACTTGGACCCAAATGAAAGCGAGCTTGTACACTCCTTTTCAGGGGTCTTCACCTTCAATGACGAAAACTTTATGTCAAAATCGCGCACAAGAAAGCTACCTTGTCGTGCACGGAAGTTAATTGCTTACTTTTGTGGAACCGACTATCACAGAACAACACAAACTTGAATACAGAATTCAGCAAACAACCGCATTTGAAACCGAACCACTCACGAAGACACGGATTGAAAGCGGAGGCCGCATCCTCACCTGCAACCGCTGACTGTACAGCGAAACAATGCGCTCCACCTGGCCCCTGTCCAGCCTCCCCGCGTTGCTTCCCCGCACATACCCAACGTGCGCTTTTCCCAAGAACGGCAGCAAATGGTGCTCGCACTGCGAAACTAGGGGCACGCTGATCTCTGTTACGAGCTCCGTGGCCCCACCCCCCAAACCGTTCCCTTGACCCCTCAGGATACCAACGCTCACCCCGTTACCAACTCGTTCCTGCATTCCAACACGCTCTTGCTCTCGGGACTGCGCATGCGAGCACCCGTTGGGTTCGTCCGGCCACCGCTCTGTCAGCACCCCGTCCACCATCTGCTGCGAGCCCCTTGTCGCCGACAGCAACCACCTCGCGTACCGCTCCGCCGTCATGCTGACGTCATCTTGCGTCATGCCGACGTCGTCCCCGCCCTCTGCCGCATGCAAGAGCGTCTCCACGGCCGCGACCATCTGAGGCAGCGCCGCTTCCCGAGCGTCGCCCCCCTCCAGCGTCTCTGTGCCGCTTGCTGGCCGCCGATGCTGCCGTGCGCCCATCTCCGGATCCTGGTGCATGGCGCACGGCCGCTCCTCGTCCAACTCGGCGATCTCGCTGAAGACCTCTCCGCTGGAGTCGCTATCAGCTTCTTCTAATCCCCAATCTACGAGAAACTCTCCGGGCCCTCCGGGCCTGCCAAAGGGACACAGCTCAGGGCTTGCTAAGAGCCCGTTTCTCTCTCGTTGGTATAAGATTCTTCCCTCCTCTGGCGGCGCCTCTAATCTGCTTTCTACCTCAGGATCTAAGCCGAGCATGGCCACAAACTCGTCCCAGAGCCCTTCTTGTGGGTCACAGAAGCAGCCGCTAGCTGCGGCCGCCACCGAGGGAACCCAGTCAGAGGTTGAAGCGCCGAGGGTGCAATCCGCCTCGCAAGCGTTGCGGATGTGCCAGGACTCGACCACGACCGCCACACCTACATGAAGCAGGGAACTAGCATTCAAAGAAAGACAATTGAGGCCTGCAAGGTGGACCTCGGCATGTCCCTTCCCTAAACCAGACTGAGGAGGTGGAAAGTGTACCTCATTTATTACAGGTTTGCATAGATACGAGTTCTTCATATCCTGAGGCATACAAACGGCATGCAAACGCAACAACAATCAGAAGATTGGAAACAGCTGCTGATCACATGATCCATCAAAGCCTCCAGTAAGGGCCACCATCGCTCAGAGTTGTTGACTGCCGTTACGTCAAAGCTGACCAGCTCTCAGGTTCCTTCCTTCAGCCAAAATGGACTCTTAGGGGGCCACTTGAGGCAAGCATCGCCTGTCACAAGCACTACTTGCTCTGCCAACTTCATACTAATCAATGAGATCCTCCAGCAACGACGTTGTTTTGCTGAGGAAGTGGCCAGAATTTGCAGCTCCCCAGAGAAACCGTGACCCACCAAACTAGATTGAGACGACGGCAAGCAGCAGCCGCACCATCACGGCTCACATCCATACCAAAGGCGGAACCAGGATGGAACCCTGGTCTTGATCAGCATTCTTGGAGGAGCGCCTATGGCCTCAACTGCTGAGGAGGAGGGGGAGGTGACCGAAAACAGAAAACGCGACAGAAGTGCCGCACCTCGTGCCGCCAGCACGCTCGCCAGCCCATCTGCAATGTCCTGCGCCAGCCGTTGAGGGGTTTGCAGGCGGCGCGAGAAGACCTCGGCCAGCCTTGCCAGCTTGGACAGACCCACCACGCACTCTGCCCCGGGAACATAGGCGATGTGGCAGCGGCAGCGGAAGGGAAGCAGACAGGCGCGGCAGTGCGAGAAGGTGTCCACGTCACGCACGACCACGGTGCCCCCGCCCGAGCTCCCTGGCAGGGCAAACAGGGCGGTGCCGACTGCGTCCCGGACGCTCTCCCGATAGCCTGCATGATAAGCGATCGGCACTCAATTGACCAGGCTGATCGGCAACTGGTAGCAATCCCAGTCCGTTTTCCAGCATGCGGTTCGGCTAACCAAGCGGGGCAGTGCAGCTAGTAAAGCGAGGAAGCCAGCTTGTGGCAAAGTGAACATGTAAACAGACAGGCAATGATTCGAAGTGCTACAACTGTCAGGCATGGAGAAGATCACAAGCGCCATCAGAAGGGGACGGTGATCGCTGAACCACTCAGCAAAACTCTGAGGGGCTCTTTCGCTACATCAACCGCAACTGTGCTTGTGTTTCTTAACCCATCAATCGGACAAAAAGCCCTATAAGCAACAGCAGACTATACAACTATACTAACCCTAACTTGCAACTCCATCACTGCTTCAAATGACAATGCTGAGGTTAAGAGGTGCAACCTCTCCTGCCGCTGCAAACCTCACGCGCGTTACAAATCTCAATTGCAGATTGTAAATACACTAGCAAACCCTCCCTCCTTACCTTTGGTTGCGAACCTGAGCGCCTTTGCCACTCGCAAGGGGGTCCTGATCAGGCCGTCCCGCCCCAGATCCTCCCCCAGCCCTTGCAGCAGCACTCTGACGGCTCCCGCCATCCTCGCCAGCGTGGCGTCATCTGAAGGGGCGTCCATCTCCGGATCTTCCAGCTCTGCCTCATGTGCACACCCACTTCCGCAGCTGGTTCTTTCTTGGCCACTGTGAGCCGCACCGTTGCCGACACAGTTTGCAGGGCTGAACACCCCTTTCTGCACCTGCACCTTAACCGGCTTGCTCAGTGTGCCTTCCCTTTTCTTATCATTAACCTCTCCGTTTGTCCGAAGGTGACCATTCCCCTGCATCACCTCGAGATTGATCCTCCCCATGTTGCTGTGACCGCCAACTTTTCTGGTTTTTGACGAGGGCCCTAGATCACGCTCCTCCTCCCAGATCTCGTCTTGCTCCTTCCGGTTCTTCTGATATCTGCAGGCAGAGCCGCCCCACCCACTCTGCCAGCACAAGTTCAGGTCCTGCTCCTGTGCAAAAATAATCATGGCGGTAGCTGCGGCCATGCTCAGTTGACACCCCTAAAGAGAACGCCGCTGTCCACCATGAAGATTTCCTAGTAACAGATGCTCAAGGGCGTCTCTTTACGAGGAAGGCCGTTACCTACACAACTGGAAGAAGCCCATGAAATCGAATCATTGAGGGCGTTCCAGACTGAGGAGGGGAACCCAGAACTTGAAGATGGCTGAGTGGCTGCATGTGGCGTGTGTGGACCAATTTTACTGGTCATTTGATAAATCGTATTCGTGGATAAATGCAGAGACTCTAGGAGCCTGCAATATAAGGGGTTAGCGCTCCAAGTGATCATGTTACGTGACCCTGGAACCCCTTGGCAGTGGGCCCTTGCATGCAAACCCTCGTGGTCTTGGGCCTGGGTTTAAGTTTCTTGATTTGGCCCTAATATGTTCGACTGAATATGTAGCCAAGTCCCCTCCTTATGAACCGAACTAGAATGGTCCAACTTCATAAACCCGGCCTGGGACTCCAGTCCACTATTTCAAGTTTACCACTGCTGAAAGGGCGGCCGCGGCGATGCAGGCGACGTGCGCATGCTGTAACAAGGGTTTAAGGTTTTAGGGTCGTGAGAAACTTTAAATTCCTTGTTGATCTCTACGTCTATAGGCTTAGCTCCCATTCACAGACGCCCCATTCCAACAGCAGTGCTCTGCTGAACATCAGTGTCGGATGTTGCAAAAGCCAAAGGCATTAGGGAGGTGCACTGACTGTCGGCTGCATGTGTCGCGTTACTGAGCCTGCCTAATGAACGGCTGTCAAAGCCTTCGCAGCCTCCATAGCCTCACAAGTTTGGGCAAAGCCCATTTCAGTTTGCGAGATGCGGACCGGCCACCAGCACGCCGGGCGCTTCATCCGTCACTTTTAAAGAAGCCCATTGGTACTCTGGCATTGCCGCTGTTGAAAAGGTCAAATTACCCTCCTGCAGTGAGTGCACTTGGCGCCCCATCCGGAGGCTTTGTTCAAACGGTCAATTGTCCAAGGACGATGTCAGATACTGGGACATGGACCTGCGGCACCTGCACTTTCGACAATCTCTCACATACCCCGCGGTGTGCAGTGTGCGACTCAGAACGAGCGTCTGACAATGTGGGGCATAGTGGTCAGAGCAGCGGTGCGCAGCATGTGGCAGAGTCTGGACAGAGCGAGTGGGGATGCAGACAGTGTACGTTTATGAATCCTGATGGAGCTGCAAGGTGCACAGTGTGCAACTACGCGAGAGAAAAGACGAGGGTGGTGGACAAGGGGCAAGAGTCAGAGGGGGAGAGAAAGCGGAAGCGGGAGACAACCGAAATGAATGGTGGCAGCCTGAGTTCTAAGGACGCCGGGGAAAGCGGAACAAAGGCTGGCGACGGGAAGCGCAGCGGACATGGTGATGGAAACAGGACGGTCATTGATTTGGAAGATAACGAGAGCCCCCAGCGCAAGTCCAACCAGAAAGGAAACGAGGGAGGTGCTCAGTTGGATGAGATAGCAGGTGCTGGGGGAAGTGGACCGGGGCCCACTGGGGCGTCGCTTTTGCACCAGCTCCATCGGGAGCGGCTAGCAAGGCTAGCGGCAAAACAGAAGGGCGGCGCATCTGGGGATGCTTCCACCTCGAATCCTGGACCTAGTGGTGCCAAAACGGGGCACTTTTCGCAGAAAGAGAAGCTCGGAGGAAATGCGGTGGGGGGAGGGGTAAGGGAGCGCGCCGGAAGCAGTACTTTCAGCCGGCCCGACCTGGAGCCAACACAAACAAGCGCGTCTACAAGAAACTTTGCCAGCACCTCGGGAGGGTCCGGCCCGGCCCCCTCCGCCAAAGCTTCCGGATCAGCAGTGTCCTCTCAGAGTGCGGCTTCCTTCGACCCACTCGTCATCTTGAGCTACAACGTGTGGTTCAACGAGTCGGTCCAGCTGCAGCAGAGAATGGCAGCTGTAGGGGCTATTATTGAGGAGCACTCGCCGGACGTGATCTTCTTCCAGGAGGTGACGCCGAACATCTACTCGATCTTCCGGCAGGCGCGGTGGTGGGCGCGGGGGCGCTACAAGTGCTCCCTGACGCCGGCAGAGATCGATCGTCAGTACTTCGCGATGATGGTAAGCAGGGAGTTGGTTTGGAGACAGGAAAGCCTTCTGACTACTGGTTTTGACTCTGTTGTTACTGCTGCGAACTCTGGTTGGGAAGGATAATGTCAACCAATGAAGGCTCGATCTTCCTGTGCAGTACATATGGCTGAAGTTGGCCATGCGTTCCGGTGATGACAGCTGGCTAGGGAGTTTGTTCTTTGAGATCGTCGTATTCAGTGATGAGGAAAAGCTTGCTTCGAAGCGGAGGTGCTTGCCCCCAGAAGGGTTACTTCAATGACGGATCGAAATACGCCTTCACTTGTAAGGTCTGTGGTCCTCTACTTACATTCTCTAATAGTTCATCCAATCCGTAGCTACTCTGTCATCGAATGTGTTGTTAAGCTGTTTGAAATGCTCCTGGAATGTGCCGGCTTTTGATATTCGACTTTTGAGACGAGAAAGGGCGCAGTTGGGCTTCGAGCTCAAGGCGCAGCGTTGAATGGCCGAGAATTCGCTGTTTAGATTAGCGCCTGAACATGCCCGCCTCCTAAACGAGACCTTGTGATGATGCAGGTGACACGGGTCCCTGTGAAGGCATTCCGCCATGAGCCGTTTCGCAACTCGGTGATGGGCCGGGACCTGGTGACGGCCAAAGCGGATATGGGCGATGACCTGGAGCTTACGCTGGCCACCACTCACCTCGAAAGCCCCACCGGCAGGGACCAGATGTTCTCTGAGCCTCGAGTTGCCCAGGTGCGCATCTTATGTTTAGGTCATATCGTGTTTTTGGCCTTTCATAACTTTCCGAGTTCATGTCTTTTGGCCTCCCAAGTCGTCTTCCAGGCCGCAAATCGATTCATGCAGGTTCTTATTGTGATTTAAGAAACTCCGAAAAAAAGCTTCGCTTGGGTAGGCGAACGAATTTGCGGACCACAAATTTCTGGAGCATGATCTAGATGCAGAGGCCGCGCTTCTCTGTCCATCCTGATCTCCAACTTTCGAGGTTCAGAACCAGCAAGAACGCCGAAGTGCCCCGTTGACACCCAGAATTCTGACCAACGAGAAGCTTTGCAAAGGAGCTCGGCGATCTCTTAGCACTTCTCCCAAGTCTCTGGTGACTGGCGTGCGCGCCATTGCAAGCCTTTGGGTTTCTGATCGTTTCCCGCTGGAACGCAGACCACTCACAACGAAAAGCTTCCCTTCTATCGGCAGACGCTCGTCGTGCTGACGTGCCTGTTGCGGAGTGAAACTTCAGAGTCCTTGTGTTTCGACAACCAAAAGACTGCTTCCGCAGGCCCGCCACCCTGGCGCGAGACTTGACGCGGCTGATTCTTGAGCGAGACGTTGAACTAGGCGAGATGAAGTCCAAGGATCAACAGCACCTGCAAGCTGGATTGACAAGCAACCCTTCCATTTTTCAGGCGCGCACTGCCCTGAGTCGGCTGTCCCCTGAGCGGAACGTCATCTTTGGCGGGGACATGAACTGGAACGACCAGCGAGACGGCCCGGTGCCCCTACCCGACTGCTGGATCGACCCCTGGCTCGAGCTGCACCGGGGACAGGTCGGTTGGGTTCCTTCACTGCTTTTCGTCCAAGACGCTCTTTTCACTTCCTCAGTTTCGAAGCGAGTCGTAGTTTACAAGTGCTTGAATGCAGTGATGCAGGGATTGTTTCTCTTTGCCGTGCGAACTTTTGGCCCTTACGATCGTTACGGTGATTCTGCCCGGTTTCTCCTGCTCCCTTGCTTCCAACATGGAAGCTCTGCAGCCTTTTCTGTAGAAGACTTCGGTCGACTGCTCGCTTCAATAGAGAACCTCTCGCCGTTCCGATCCCTCGGCTTTGGTGCTGGACCACCAGCAGTGTCCAATTCCACCCCCCGGTTTGAAGCTGACATTGTTCACCATGAACAAGCCCGCAGAATCAAGTCTGCGGCATTTTCAGCCGTGTGGTGACCTCATTGCTCAAGCCACTTGCAATAAACTTACGGCAGCGTCCCCGATTTTCCTCCTCTAAGCGGAGCAATCCTTGGCGATCTCAGTTTTAGTCAGCCAGTCAATATCTATGCCGCCAACCTCGCCGGGGCAGTCCACAAACTCATTTCAATTCTGTCTGAACCGGCCATCGTTTGTCCGCAGCCCGGCTATACGTACGACAGCGTCCTGAACCAGATGCTGTTGGGCACGCTCAAGGGCCGGCTGGACCGCTTCTTCTGCCGGCTGACCGACTTCAGCGTGCGCTCCATCGAGATGGTTGGCCGGGAGCCCCTCCCGGGCGTGACCTACGAGAAGCCGGGCTGGGGCCGCAACCCCAAGAGCAAAACGCTGCCCGTACTCCCGAGCGACCACTTTGGGCTGCTGCTGAAAGTCGCTAGAAAAGGGCGGTGACGGGATGGGGCAACCGGCCCACGGCCAAACTGCGGGGGAGGAAGGAACGGCGAGATTAATCCGGGGGCCCCATCCAAAGCGACTGAAACGGAGGGTGCCTACAGTGGCGCTAAATGGGGCCATGTATAGGAGAATAGCGTTCCAGTTTACCGCATCATGCATCGAAGCGGGCTTCCGAAAACTTCTCTCATCTAACTTAATTACTTCAATATGCAGGATCTGGCGGACAATCTCTGGCATTCGAGCTTCCTTCTTGTAAAACCTCTGGCCCATTGGAGTTCGCTTTTTGTAGAACTGGAAACGCGTCGCTTGCTACCGCATGTGTGACACTCTTCTTTGACAGCCTGGATAAAGCAACCGTCAACTGCAAAGCATATGCACTCTTGAACCTATGTAACTAATTCATTTTCAAGCGAATCGCGATCTGCGGGGTGCAACAACAAAAGATAAACCGTATCGTTCATTATGCTGGCATCAGATACATGATGCTAGAATCCAGCGTCACGGCATACCATGGCCGGTTGCCATGACTCAGGCCCGTCTGCGGCCGGATGAAATCACTGGAGACATCACTCATTCCGGCTTCCTATGGTGTTACCTCCTTGCACTTTATTCAATATATTTAAACGTCGCGCCACATTTTCGATCAATCACTGCATGTCGCGATGGGTATCCTACTCATTGCAAATTAAGCCGGCAGAACCATTAGGAGTATCATGGGCTGCAAGTGACAGCTCACTGGAACATTTTCGAGACGTATGCTCAATATAGCTATCTACTCATTGAAGGGACATCACCGACTTCGATCCAATGCACTAGCTTGTATAAGATCGTACGTTAGAAGCCTGTCAGCGGGACTCGAAGTCATTTCAGATTCGTTGGCAGCACCATAATGACGTGTACTCCTTCGTCTGTTTTCAAAAGCATTGGACACTACAGCAGATTAATCGAGCCTTTGCAGTCTTGGAGATTGAAGGTGCTGAGATGGGGCTGCATCTTCTGCTTAGAATTTCTGACGATTCTACAGCTTGTCCCGCGACGACTACTTCGTTGTGACTACGATACTCTGAAGAGCCCTAGCTGGACTGCTTTGGCTTCCCCCTTCTGCTACAAGTGACGATCGCGATCCAAACCTTAGACCGGAATCGACCCGGGCTATCCCGCCCCGTCTCCTCATCGTCGCTTCCAGCTTCGACAGTGGAGGCTGCCCCAGGCAGCACCGGATGCCAGAATCTTCCACCAGAATGATTATGTGGCATCTTTGCTTCCATCAACGACATTCGGTGCAAGAGCGTCTGCGCGGTGTGCACCTAGGTCCTAGCCTACACGGTGAAGATGCTCAATGAGCTGCAATCCGCTTCCGCGCCGACCGGAAAACTGCTCTCCTAATCCTCGGTCCAAGTACGAAGGACCCGAAACGCATGTTCCGGCTGAAAGCTGCACGTCCAGATCCCAGCCCTACTGGTCTGGAGGAGCAGAAGAGCTTTCACGCTTTCAGTTGACGCAGAATTGAGAAGGAAGCGCCAAGCAGAGCTGGTTGAATTGCAAAGCCCTGGGCCGCCATCCGCATCCTGTCCGCATCCGTTTTGCAGAGTTTAAAGTCTCAGGAGTTGATGCATGCTGAACCCTGATCTTATGCGAACCACCGCTGGCTGATTATCTTCGTAGCTTCTTCATACAAGCATACGAAAGATTGTTTTAAGTCACGTTTTGATCTACCACTAGTGAAGGCGCACAAGCTTCTTGTGTCAAGGTTCTCAAGAGGACAGGTGCGCAAGTCTCACGCTTGACAAATTAGCAGCAGGCACTGCAATCTACTTTGGGTTGAAAATCTGGATTTCAAGGCGAAGAGTAAGCAAATTGGGATAGCGAAGGAGGGTTGATGATGTCAGCCATCGTTTTGGAAACCCATAAGTGCTCCATGCACTTCAACCCGAATGCAGACTGCTGGAAAGGTCTTAGCACAGCGGACTCCTGAAACGAACTGGAGTCCTAGCTGAAATTCGAACTCTTGGTGGCATGTTAAGTGGACCTGGCACCTTGAAGGGAAAACGAACGTGAATCTGCAAAGATTGAGTGCTTCTTTTTGTGGATCTTCGATAACGTTTTTTTCTGAGATTGGAGTCGTTCTTGTAAACCTTTGTTAATCTTCCTGTTTGGGGGGTCCCCTGACGCTGGATTTCCTACTTTCCCAGGGACATTGCGCAGCATGGCCTTTAGCAGAAGTTCCCGCTTTGCAAAAGGTAATGAGGAGTCTCACTACAGAAGACAAGGTAAGTTGCACTTCATTTGGATTCAGCACATGCTCAGTCTGTTACCTACTAGGTTTGGGAAAAGAGAAGGTACCAGCTTGTCTCGCCTGATTTACTTATAGGTTTTGAAGCAGGAAGACGGGCTTGAACACTGTGCATCTCGAAGTTTTTGTCAGATCATGTACATTGGAAGATCTGGAATATTTCGAAGCTGTCCACATGTCTTCTTCTGCAGAGAGGGATTTCGAGACCCTTTCAGTTTGATTGGTGGGATTGCTGCACCTCATTTTGAAACTAATGGAACTAGAAGATATGCAGGGATCCACGCTAGATCCGCAACCTGAGGTCCTCGCTCACACAAGGATCACCGCCCGACCCTACGTGAACCCTTGCTGATTTAAACTCTCAACCACCAATCACGATCTGATTGCTTCTTAGAGAACCACCTTCTATACATGCACTAACTCGGATTAAGATTGAAGAGAAGCTCTCAGAGGCTGGATCGTCGTCAGGTCCTGCAACGAAGTCGTGATGCCAGGATCCACAATTTCAAATAAACAGCTATCCAATCAGGAAGTATGCTTAAAGGTCAACAGAGTCTTCTCTTTTTCAGGATGATTGATTTTCATGTGACCTTTTCCGTTTGCTTTTAGACCTTCGCATGTACCAAGATTACTATCAACGCAAAGCCTGTCTTCCTGGCAATCTGTACAGCAGCTCTGGATTTTGCAATCACCGCTAAGCTTGCAGGACCATTTTGTCTCCAATCAGATATACCTGAAATGTATTTTCATTTCCTCTTGCAGGCGTTATCTCCTCCGCGCGAGCCGCGGTCCCCAACGCGCGGCACTCTCTCACCGAAGCGCGCTGCCAGCGGCGCCATCGGTCGCTCCAAGACTGAGAGCGCGCCCTCGTCAAAGACTCCGGCGAAGGGGGCTTTGTCACCACCACCAAAGGAGATGGCAAGCCGCGGCCATAGAGAGCTGACGTCTCCTCCAAAGGTGGCTCTCTCATCTCAGGCGGACACCAAGGAGGCAGAAGAAACGGAGGTGCTAACCCTCCAATCTCAGGTAGGCGGTTGCTCAAGCGAACCTGTTTTGTTCCGCTGGGAGTCTCCTTTCAAGCGGTTCTGAGAAGACGCCGGTGTCTAACGCCTGCACCTTTTGGAATTTGCTTGCATATACGGAGAAATCAAGGATTTTCTACAAATGTGTAAGTCACGCTTTTGAGGGGTCATAGAGAAGTGATTCCGCTTTGAACGTGGCTACTTAATACATAGAAGTTTCAGATCTTCCGTTAATATCTGCAAAACGGAGAAAACAACCTGCACCCTAGCAGGGAATGCACCCAGTTGGGTCCTCGAAGTAGCTGCGTACCGTTCAATGACCAAGATGTTACACTTAGAGGCGGCTTGATAGACCCAACCAAATGCAGCTCCCGTGAGAAACAGGGATATCGAGATTGTCAACCCCACTCTGTTCTACTTGCCAAACAATACCCAAAACAGACCAAGAGTACGAACATACTGCCAAACCCGTAGTCTGCTATTTTCGGGTTTGTCGTTGACCCAAGTGCAAGCAGTTCTGAGTTCAATTCTTACTTCAGCGTCTTTCCAGTATTCCAGAACTTTTCCGGCTTTCCAGTCATTCAACTTACGACTCATCGCAACCGCTTGCAGGCTCTGAATTCGTCGTCATCGAAGCGCACTCCGGCGGGCGGCTCCGCGGCCGCCGTCCAGAAGGTCCACGTGGCAGAGGCAGAGCTCCCACAGCTGAAGGCGACGCCCAGCTGGCCTGGACCAAATCCCCTCTACGGACTGGCCCGATCGGACACGCCGGAGACACAGGCAGGTGGCCTTTAAGATCTTTTAAGTCTGATTTGCTCGAAACCATCGAGTCGACGACGGATTTGATTGCTCGACGCATTCATTGTCATCTCGTTGCTCGATATGAATGTTTAACAGGAGATTAGAAGAATGATACACGTACAAATACTCAGACAGAGTCGTAAGGTGGTACAGGAAAGGCTCGCTTTTCAAGTTCGTCCGTAAAGAAGAAGGGATTTTGTCGAACATGTTCATCGAGGCTTGAGTGTTTCAAAGAGTTGTTCTTGAAAGCATGGAAATGAAACATTGATATTGCTTCCTCAAGCAATTGTAAGTGTCGAACCTGGAAGAGAAAGCAGCTTGAGGCTTGGGGGAGAAACACTGCTCTTAATCCTTCGGATGGTTTAGAATTACTACTGTAGTCTGAACTTAGCACCTTTGTGAAGAAAAAAGACTGAAGGAGATTTCTTCTTTGAGATCCTCGATTCTTGCCTCGACTGACCTTCCGCATGTCTGTACCCTCTGCACGGTCGACCAAACCAAAGGAACTTCAGATGCCGCGAATATTTTCTTGCACCTTTTTTCGCGGAAGAGTTTGTGGCATCAAGGCTCAGACTCTATTTTGACCAGCAATATGTTCTTCATTCCATAGTTGGCCTTCCACAGAATCAAGCAGTCTCGAAGATGCAAGCAGAGTTTGACAGACTTACTTCCTCCCACAGGTCGACGCCTCCCGAATCCGGAAGACGGCGGAGAAAGGTGGACTGAAGGACCCTTCGAAAAGGCTGCACGTGGCGCCCCCCATCTCTGTGGGCACATACGTCGGCCAGAACAAGGCAGAGGCCAAGACGCCCGAGCACCCAAGGAGGAACAGTCTGGACCCTGACATGCGCCCCCCTCTGTCCGAGTCGCCGGACTTCCAGGCAAGCAAAAGAGTTGGGACAAAACCAAGTGGCCCTGAAATGGATGTTCCTGTGACCTCGCTCGGACGCTTCGCAGAGGACGCTAGCTTTGACAAAAGCTTTCAGGAAGCGTCCAGGGAATTGCTTACTTGACTCAAGCACTGGTTCACTGCATCTTCCGACGAGCAGTCCCAAGGTTCGGAAGGGATGTCTGCGCACGCTACTTCTAGATTGATTAGGTGCTCTTCGGGTACCGCAACGCCCTGAGGAGTTGCGTTTTTCGTGAATTAACGCGCAAACTTTTGATAACATTCAAGATCTGGAAAAACGCTTCTTACGTCTGCTTTGCTTCTTTTCTGCAGTTCCCTTCTGACTCGGAGCGTCTCCTACAGAAGTCAGCTCTCATCGATTCGCTCCAGGAGTTGGAGTGGGTCACGGAGGAGGCCAGAGAGCAGGTAAAGGCTGCAACAACCCGGCGAGCTGCTCTTTGCCCCGTTATGCTGTTAGTTTTATCGTCTCATATTGTCCTGTTCCCTGAAGACTCCCAGTCTTGTGTTTTCGGGAGTCGTAGCACCCACTTTCGATCATTCAAAGCGTACTGAAACCCTTGTAAGTCAACAGATGACCAGATTCAAAACCTGACAGTATCATGCACCCCTGCGTATCGTCCGTCGTCCGCAACCCCTTTTGAGATCATCCAAAACCTATCCCTCCAATATAAGGTTCTTGAAGTTCCACGATCACAACGATTGAGAAAAAAGATATGATTCAGCGACGTGGCAGAATGAGTTGCAAGAACAAAATCTAGGTTTCCGGACAGCGACACGACAGCAAGTTGGTCATATGGCAAGGTGCTGGTTTGCATTCAAATTTGGTTATTCATTCTACAGGCGTTCGCCGCGTTTCGCCTCGCCGCGGAGTGGAACGCGGAAATCTGCCAGCGGAAGGAGGAGCTGCGCGAGCTGGAGCTGCAAGTGGCGCAGGCAAAGCAGCGCGTCGCGGCGACCACTCCGATCCAAGATGAGAGCCTTCCGGTCGCCAAGATGGGCACGGGGACTGGGGAGAAGGGTGGGGACATTGAGGGCAAGGGGGCAGAGACTGGCCGGGGAGTGAACGAGCGCGAGAAGATCGGGCGGGCAACCGGGGGAAAAGAAGACAAGGCCGGGCGAAAGGACGGGATAGCCCGAGACGAGAGCGAAGTGACCGGGGAAAAGGAGGACGATATACGCGATACCAAAGAAGACGGATCGGAAAGCGGAAACGAGACAGTCAAAACAGGAATTCAGGTGGCCGAAAAGGCGTTCTCAAAGGGAAGCGAAGGAAAGGTCACCCGGGAGATGGGAACGGACGCTCCGACGCCGTTCGAGGTGCAAGAGCTGGAGATTGCGGCGCTGCAGCTGCAAGTATTAGCCAACCGGGGGGATCTCCTCGTAGCAAAGCAGAAGATACCGGGCGAGATGGCTGGTGCAAGCGGACTAGAGGATACAGAGGCAGCTCTTTTGGAGACGCTGGACGAGATCAAGGCGGCACAGAGCAGAATGCCGGCAGACGTGACACGGACGAGCGGGCGCTTCGAGGCGGGGAGGCAGCTTGGCGGTGAAGACGCGGAAGTCGCAGCGGTGGCAAAGGTGAGGCCCTAGTTTGTTGTCTTTGTTAACTCGAAGAACCGATATTCATCAGGTTGAATCCGCCTACGTCATCCAGTCGTTGTCTTCTTGGGGCGGATATCAGACTGCCGTCACCTTTTGCTTCGACTCCAGCCGTGTAGGCGTCGGCTCGATGACGGATCAATTTACCATAATGAAAGCTCCTGTGAGTCAGATCGCAAATTCCACCGCCCTTTGGCCGCCCGGCACTCGTTCAATATTGGAAGCACACAATATTCAGCTCCGAGCGTTTCATCACAGGATGAGCAGCAGTCTCTTTTCAGTCCAGGAAAGCGCCCCAATATCCACTGTTTGCCTGCAGCAGTAAGCAGTTTGATGTCTTTTTGGCAGGTGGATCCGGCAGTGGCTGCGATGGGTACCGCAACGGACACACGCGTCGCGGATTTGGAGTCGGAGGTCGCACGAATGAAGGTGGCGTCGGAAGCAGACGCGAAGGAGGCCGCTAAACAGGGCCAGATTATCGGGGACCTTAAGAAGAAGGTGCAGACGCTGATGGTGAGTTCTAGAACCGCTCGGAAATCACGGCTTCGGCAGAATCTTTTGAAATATGCGCTTCTGATTCCGCTGGCTTGGTTCCGCTGGCTTCCGTTGGCTTGATTACGATCGAGCACCATTTGAGTCTCCAGCTCAGCCCTGAAGAAGCTCACGAAGCTGTCAGAAAGACTGAGGAACGGTTAAAACAGGGGAACATTACCAGCAGAAGAACGAACGCTTGCTCGATGCAGAAGTGCTGACCGCCTGAAAAACTCGATGCTATTACCTCTTCAAATCTCCGAAGAGTCTTCAGATTCAACGACATGAGTCTTGTCAGGACCTGTATTCTTCGACGAACGATTCATGCAAGCGCGTGCTTGAACTTCTGAGTTCTTCTTGTAGACCAGTTCTCCCAGTTCTGCTGCACCGACGTTTATCGTAAGCATATGTCGCGTGCTGCTGTGTTCAGGTTGAGAAGCTGGCCCTTTCCACGGAGCTCGACGGGACGATCCAGGTGTACGAGGAAACTTTGGCGCGGAGGAACGAGGCGGAAGAATCGCGTGTCGCGCACGTGATTGAGCTTATGAACGAGCAGGTTGAGTTCCACCGGAGCGAACTAGAGCAGGTGCACAACCGGCTGGTGACGGCACTGGACGAGAACGCGAAGCTCGAGCGCGAGCTGCGGGAGGCCCAACTGAAGCAAGATAAGAAGGTAAGCGAGCGGCGTCTTTTTGGATCTGCAATCTGAACGGAGCATCACGGATTGAGCTATCGGTTTGATATGGTGCTTGGTAGCCGTGGTGGTAGCGCTAACGTTTCTCATCGGATTTTTTCCGAAGAGAAGAAGAAACACGAGAGTGAAAGTGCGATGAATCTAATTACGAGTACACCCTACTTTCTGGTCCTCATCACCAGCTATCATCGACCGAGCAACTCAAGAAACTTAAGACTCATAAGTGGATTTGACTTGCAGATGTCCAAGTTCTGGAGGGGTCCGGCATGGGAAGAGGGCAGTGGGTCGGCACAGTAGTTCTAGTTAGTGTGTTCATCTGCGGGTTCGCATCCATATAGATTCCGAGCATTGGGGGAAAGATTGATTGACTCAAACACGTGTCACTTTTCATCGGAGCGCCTAGTTTTCCGTTGCTAGGTCGTTGATTAAGGTGCCAGAGTGTACAGGACTTTTTGAGTTCCTTGTAACCGAGAGTTCATACGACCGCACCACGTTCGTTTCTGGGCCGATGAGACGATCACACGAAATCTTTCTGGGACAATTTCTTCAATTCGGTCGGTTTTGTTTGTACAACACTAGGACTTAACGACTGAGCGAAATTCGGCGTTCAATTTGAAAGAATACTTCCGATGCTTCTGCGTGCCAACCAGCTAGCCTCCACTAGCGCTTGACAGCTTGCATCTACAGCTGCTTGGAAGTTCCCCGCATGATTGTGGCGGGGGGTGGAACCCAGTGTATAATGCCTCTACAGTATATAGTGGCCAAACAGCCAAAGGTAGCTACACTCAAGCGGACCAAGTATTTACATGACAACCTCAAACCTTTCGTGAGCCTTCAGGAACACCCCGAACTCGGGACCCCGCGTGCTAGCTCAGATACCTTTGCACGGCCTGCTCATGAGGACAGTCACTGTCGCCTGACACAAAAATAGGGCTCAGGCTCTGAGAGATACCGATGCCTTTTGAGGTGTCACTGTTCATGAAGGCCAATAGCGGATTGATCGGCTCGGCTTTATAACTTGCGACATACTACTGCTGCGCGTGGCCTCCATCGTCATAGGATGAAACATTCAAAGGATTTATATGACGTCTATGCAGACGAGGTTTGGTTATCCTGGCCACCACTTGCCATCAGCATATGACAACGAGGCTTTTGTCATTCGAGCTCGAGTGACCATGTAAAACCGCTCGCCATTCAGTCGATCGTGATCGTTTGCAATCATTCCCAATCTCTGACAAGAGTCAGACTTACGGCAGAGAGGAGCTGCAAGAACATACTCACGTACGGAGATAGGGACCATCCTGGAAAGATGCCCGCAGTATTGCACTACACAAGTGCTTTGAACATACAGGGCAACCGACGACTCCAGATCAAATAATGCCGCACAATATCTGGTTGCAAGTTGCAGGACATGCCAGGATTTCTCCATGCCAACGTATATGGTTGCAAATGTAATGCATCATTCTCGGGCGCCGCAGTTTGGAGCATCAAGTCCAATGAAGAAAGGCAGAAACATAGGGCAATCTTCGAGAGCTGCTCTTCTGTAAGAAATGTCAGGATCTCAAGCATTGTAGTACCTCCTCACACTTCAAGTCCTCTGGAAGGCTCTCTTTCGTTACCCCTGTACACCCCCTGACCTCTAGCCTGGTCTTTCTGCCGCTTCTGCGGTAAGCCCTTAGCGATTCAGCAGTGATTGAATCATTATCACAGAGCACCAAGCGCTTTAGACTCTTGCAACCAGCAATGATCTTGTCCACCGTCGCATCAGTCAAGTGAGGGCAGCAAACGAGCAGCAACACTTCAAGGTTTGTTTCCGCAGAAACATCCCTGAGAACTAGGTCGGTGGCATTCCACCAATACGCAATGCGCAATTTTTTCAAGCGCGTGCTGGGCCTGCAACAACGGACAAGAAGATTAGACTTGTACAAGAAAGCTATATGGATGCATGTATTGAGATAATACCATGTCAATCTTCAAAAAGCACAAGGTGCTTCCTATCTTTTGGAAGTCTTTTGGAAGCCTTTCAACTGAAAAGATCCAGATTGAAGAATATCAGACTGTCTCTTTGTGTTGAACATGATCCTACAAACATAAGCAGTAGGTTGGCATAGACAAGTCCAGAAGAAACGTGGTCACATGTCAACCTGCAGTCCTGTGGAGCTCTGCCACTCACCCGAACTTTGGTACACGGGAAAGCCCTCGCATGGTGTGCAGCGCTACTGTTTCCAGCGCCGGCAGCGCCGCAAAGAAGGCTGCCAGTCCACTGTCCGTAACCGCATGCTCACAGGAGACACTGAAAGTGCTCAACAAAGGGCAGCTGGCAGCTACGGATTGCAGCGTCTCATCACCGACACCACAACCATGGAGCAAGAGCGCTCGCAAGCCTGGGCATGCCCTGGCAGCCCCTTCCAAACCCTGTCCCAGAGACGCGTTACCCAGATCGGCTTGTACGCTGAGATCTCTCAAGTTGGGACACGCTTTTCCGGCAGCCAGCAAGCCCTCGTTTGTTAACCCAACACAAAGGTCCAGGTCCAGCACCTCTACTCTGCACTTCAGGCCGCCGAACGCCTCGCCAGTGAACCCCCCGCAGTCGCCCAGCCTCAAAGCAACCAACTCAGAACAACCCCTCAGAACAGCGTTGAGGCCAACGTCTGAAAAGCCAGAACACCCCTCCAGTTGCAACTTGCGCAGGTTGCGACAGCCTTGCGCAATGATGTTCATTGCAGAATCGTCCAAAGGAACAATGTTGGCCTGCTCTGTGAGTAGTAGTCCTGGCGCGGGGGAATCTTGCTGCAGCATCCTTGGAGGGGGAATCTTGGGGCCTTGTATGTGCAGATTCTGAAGTCTTGCAAAACGCGTGACCAGTGACGGGAGGGCAGTGATCTGGGGGCCTTCTTGCAGACTCATGAGCGTGCGCGCAAAGCTGGACACCTCGAGCCACTCACGGCAGACCAAGGAGCACGCCTGAAGAGTGCTGTTGTCCACACGGGACATGATTTTTGCCAAGCAACCCCCATCCAGCTGAGCAACGCTAGCGGCCCCCATCGCCAGTGACAACTCTGCAACCTCATGCCCCACCAACTGACTCCCCTCCTCCTCAATCTGAGGCAGGGCCTCCCCCTGACCAGCCAAGCCCTCCTCCAAACAAAAAGTCAAAGTCCCCCCCTCCTGCTCTCCCCTTTGAGGCAGGGCCTCCCCCCTGCCGCACAATCCCTGCTCGCACAAAGTGAGCTGCAGCTCTCCCTCCTGAGATTTAGCGTCGGAATTCAGGCTGAGGGGCTCGAGGGCGGAGGCGTCAGACACCGCGTGGTTTTGTTCACCATCCGCATCCTCGAGGAGCTGAGCAGGCTGAGAAGAAGTAGGGAGAGGGAGTGCCTCATCAACAGCAGCAACCAGCAGAGAATCATCAGAGGAGACACTCAGTCCTAGGAGGGGAGAGACGGAGTGGTAGAGGCTAAGGAAAGGAGCGGCGGTCAACTGGTTCGCTCGCTCCACGCGAAAGCGAAGCTCCTGCTGGCTCATGCCAAGCAGGCCTGCCACAAACGCCGCCATGCTACAGAGTAGGGAAATGCTCTGCAACAGGTAGCGCGCTATCTCCTAAACTCTCCTAGCCTCTACAACAGATCGCTGGTCGCTGGTCGCTGGTCGCTGAACGCTGGTCGCTGAACGCCCCCTGAACGCTGAATGCTGATCGCTGATCGCTGATCGCCAAAGATCGCCTGGGCGCCAAAGCGCTAAAACACAACTTGCTTCCAAAGGAAGGGAAAGTTGTGAACAAGCAGCAGGCTTGCAGCTGCTTTTACAGATCCCTTCCTGAGTCCCAGTCAGCTTGGATACAGACAGGCAGCAGACGGTACCGGACGACTTCCAGGTACGGTACCGTCTGGGCTATCTTCAGTTCCGGTACCTACCTTAGATTCCACGTGGCATGATCCGATTGATGCAACTACACCGACGGTGGAGGGGATCCCCTCAGCCGTCCAGTGTCCCTACCTATCCCGAGTCAGACCAATTGGGAAGCTTTCTTTGCCTTATTCTATTCTGCGACTACCTATTTGCCACTGGTCCTTCCAGCATGACTCGCCCGAGTCCAAGGTGGCACCCAGGCTTCTCTGCTGCGCTACCCCCGCCTCCCTGACCCGCCATTGCATGCACTGAGCCGCCCGCTGAGCCGGCCTCTCTTTACAAGTTTGATGGTGCAGTCCTGCATGCGAGGTCCATGCCACTCAACAGCGGCGCCAGACAATGCGGGCTTGTCACCTGGTGCACACTGCAGGCAGCTCTCCAGGGGCTGCTGCACACAGTGTGCACACAATGTGCACACAGTGACAGTCATGGGATCCCCCAAGCAAAACGCCCGAGACGGAAACCGGGGCCCCGAAAGGGGTCATTTTACATACTGGCGATCCGACGCCCGGGAGTCTCTCTATGTACAGCTAGTCTGCAATGATGAGTTGGCAGAACTGCATGTGCCAAATTGTTCACGTTTTGAAAACAAAGGCTCAGCCGAGCCGCTTGTGAAAGCATTGATCGCCTCGCAGCTTGCAATGCATGGCGACGGTGGGGAGAACTGACCTCCTGACATTCTGAAGAGATTAGTGGGCGATTAGTCTAGTGCTATTGCAGTGTTGACTCCATGCCAGCAGCCATTATGGCCGCAACAGCGGCCAATGGCGGGTCTTCGAGGCCTCCGACCAGTCCTACAGCATGCAAGGGAAGCCAGGGACTGCCCCCACTGGAGAAGTTCCCGGCACAAGGTTACCTTCACAATATCTGGCAGGGCTTCCGCTCCATCGTCGCGTACCTGCTGTGGCCTGTGCACTACATACATCGTGTGGGTTGGCAGGTAATAAGCGACCAATGCTCCAAGTTCCCGGTTTTGATTGCCTCGTTCTCTGCCTGCTCCAATATCTGGGTTGAAGTTTCTTGCCCAAATAAGGAGAACGTTTTATTTCAAAGGAGGCCAAGTCTCAAGGTTGTCAGCATTGGTATAATAGAATTTGAAGAATCGGGCCTCCGTGGATTTTCGTGCTTAGGAGAGTTCTTCATGTGGCTGTAGTTTCTCCGTTTTTTTTCGAGCTGGTAAAGAGGAACTCTACCTCTTTACCAGCTCGAAAGACTCTGCCTAAGGTTCGTGAGCTGATTATGGGACCCTTTCAGCACTTCCGACAAAAAGTGCAAGCACTGCCTGCTCTCACAAGAATACAGCTTGTCAATGTCTGATGGCACGTTTGAGGCATTCAATGTAGATTGAGCAAGAAAGACAGGCCAATTATGCTGACGATATTCACTAACTGTTTTCAATCCCCTGTGCCAGAGGGCCTTGGCCTCCGCCATCATGTGTCTGTTGACATTCTTCCATGGAAAACCCCTGAGGAAATTGGGCATTGCCATGGAATGGCTGGGAAACTCCATACTAGGTGGGTCCCTTGCTTCGCTCTCTTTAAGAATGTCATCATTCTTCACGCTATCCTCTCACATGGATCAGAATGTACTGAAGGGCGCAAGAAGATCAAAGTCAATCATCCCCTCCACACAGCTGATTCATTTCTGGCTAATCCGCTCTGGGATTTCAAAGGATTAAGGGAATTCTAACAACAAGAAGCAATGTGTAGGTGACTCAAGGGTGCGGCCATCTCCTCCAGCCCTTCAATGTAGACATGCTGGAAGCTCACGAAGTCTTGGCTTTGCATAAGCAAGTGCTGTCGACCAGATTCATTGCTCCTCTTCTAATGACTTAAAAGAATGATACCTTCCAGCCCTTAGTTTCCAGAAGCTTCATGTGCGAATATTTCAGAAAAGTGCTATTCTTTTACGCTGGCGAAGCTCCAAAGGCTCAGATTCTGGTTCACATTCCCAACCCTCAGCACTGAAGTTTTGTTCTGAAAAAAGGCAACTCCCCGCTCAACTCGCCTCAGACTTTCAGGCTCAAGCCACTAACCAACGAAGCTATATTCTTGACCCAGTTGCAGTCAGAATCCTGTATTGACCTCAAGTTTTTGGCTCTTTGGTGGGAAGAATTCTGTCCCCTGAAAGATGCTCTGCGGTTCTACTGCAGGTCCGGACAAGGATACCAAGTGCAACCTGACGGTGATTGGCCTCCTCGACAGGAACTTCACTCTGGATGAGCACACGGTTACCACCTTTCCTTCGGAAACACCAAGCGCACGCACCAACGCTTTGGTGTGCTGCATGGCTTCCAAGGTCATCTATGAAGACGATCGCCTTGTAGAGCACGTTGTCAACAACGTGTGGAACAAAAACGTGAGCACCAATTGAGTTTGAGCTCCGCGTTATCAAATCAGTCCTCTCCTGATAGCATTCAGATGCTGGCTGCTTGGCTCAGTAGTTGTGGAGCCTTATGACAACAATTAAATGCACGTACCCTCGTAGCCGTACCTTGGTGCAACCTCAATAGCTACTTCTTTGATCTACCTTTTATTGAAGAGTCAACGCTCGAAATGGCCACTTATTGCTTGGGCGTCTAACCTTTCAGCTCAATCTGCTTTGCTTTCAGATTTTCTGGTCCGTTGGACTAAGCTCGGAGTAAGCCGATCTAGCTTGCCGGTTCCCTTCCTATCTATCTTGTTAGCTGCAAGTGGATTAGATGCCCTTTAATGATTGGAAAGACGGCACCTTGGTTTCTGAAGGCAACTTTAGTCTGTCCAACCATGACGCTTGAAGCCAACTTATTGTCTTCTCCTTTCTACGTGCAGAATAAGGGCGAGAAGTTCAAGTTCATTGAGTGGTATCACTACACGACACAAGGGCAGGATCGCGTAGGTAAGCGAACCTAAAACGGATCGATTGATAGACACCTGAGTCGAGTCTAGTTCTGATGATCGGCCTCGTTCTTGCGAAACGCTACACAGATAGTTCTGGTTGTTGTTTGACTTTCCCCCATCACACCTTGGCCTTCGCAATCCCTCCTCGATGCCGATTCGCTATAAGGAACGCTACGACGTACCGACCTTCGAAGATTGCTGCAAGGAACCGATGCCCTAGGCTTCTCAGGTCCCTTGTAGTGCGGTGACTACTTCACGGCACCAGCATACGACTGGAGTGCTAATATCTTCGCTCTATATCCGACACACGGAATGTCTGCAACCACTTGAACCTTTTGATTTGCTGGGCAAGCTGTTGGATACGCTGATGCCAACCAGATCAAGCAAGGCAGAAAGTTTGCTCTAGCTCTCTGAAGGCACCTCATCTTAACCCCAATATTGATACTTAAGTAACGCTGGTTCTGATCGACTTTTTCCAAAGGAATGCAGACACTCAAGCCATGCTCGTGAAGAAGGGACACGCTGTCATCGTTGCTTTCCGAGGGACGCAGCCTTTCAGCGTCGTGGACTGGGCTACTGACTTTCGCTTCAGCTGGTGGGATGGTATTCCGCCACTTGGCAGGTAGGCACTGTGTGTTTTCGGATCAACAATGCAAAGTTCCGCACCACTCGCATATAAGTTGACTCAATATCAATGATAATCTGACTCGCAATGATTTGTACAGCCACCGATCAAGATGGCGCTCGAAGTCTAGGATCTTATGGAGAAGTTATGACTCGCAAAACTTCTGGTTAGAGGATGCGCTTTCGAATCATGAACGCGACTTGGACTCTTCCCTTGAGCGGTTTGTGTCAAAATGATGCCCAAGTTGGCTCTTACCCGAGTGAATTCACAGCTTCGCTGAGTTTCTCCGTTGCTTCGGGTTTTGCCTCTTTGACTCAATACACTTCCACATCTGACTCAATACACTTCCACATCTGAAAAATGCTGCAAACGGGCTTCAGAGCCTATGACTAGACTCGCACAAGTACCACTCCTATCTTTGAGTTTGCCATTTCCGAGCAGAGTGCACATCGGCTTCCTCGAGAGCCTCGGCCTCGGTGCCCCGATCGACGACGAGGACCCTTCCGAGAAGGATGAGTCTACCAGACTAGAAGAGGACGAAAAGCTGAGAGCTTTTTCAAAGTGAGTCGTGGTCCATCGATATCGCCACAAACTCTGAGCAAGCTTTCTTAGAAGTGTCTTGGGTGTTTGCTGATGGCACCCATCTGCTGACCATGTGTTTTTGCTTGGGTCCGCAAAGCGAGTCACCTTGAAAGCTGAGCTTGTACCGAAGCTGCCGTAGTTGAACTACTGTTGCAGGGGCGCGTGACGCTCAGGAAAGCTTGCAGCCGGTCAATCTATCCATGTCACAATCACACTTTACCGTAGAGTCATGTGCATAGCAAGAGCATGCACTGCACAGGAGAACGTAATGACTAAGGCTTATTGGCAACCTGCTTTTAACTCGGAAAGTGGGACCGGGCACGTAGCCTGAAAAAGCCTGGTGTGAGCGACTTGTTCCGGCCGAGCCCCCAGAAAGCCTTCGCTACTAACCTGTTTGAGCTTAAGTTTCTTAACCAACGCTTACCAGCTTCGTCGGGTAGAAGGGCATCTAAAGAAGCCTGTTTAAGCCTGGTTTTTCCCTGTTTTTGTTAAACATAGATCTGTACGCAAACGCCTCCTTGGCAGGTACATCAACCTGTGCCAAACCCGCCACCGCCAGGGCACAAAGCGCCGCGACGACACCGCGGGCCGCAAGTCGCGTGCGGATGTCCGAGACCCGCAAACCCCGGCGTCCGACGAGTCTGAGGCCGACGTGCTAGCCCGCTTCTTAAAGGATTACGTCCTCGAGGACAAAAGCGCGCTCGCCAATAAGGCCGCGCCGCTGTCCGAGGAGGTGTGCGACCAATGGAACGTGCGCGACAACGCGCCGCTCTACTGGAAGATCCGACTCGCGCTCGCGAACGCGCTGCGCGCGGACCCCGAGGCCAAGGTCTACATCACCGGGCACAGCCTGGGCGGCGCGCTCGCCGCGCTCTTCGCGGGGCTGCTGGCGGCCGAGAATGACGTCATGGCGGAGCGCATCGGCGGGCTGTACACGTTCGGGCAGCCGCGCATCGGGGACTGGTCATTCGCGGAGTACCTGCACAACAAGCTGAACCTGCCGGAGCAGCGCTACGTGCGCCTGATCTACGCCAATGACCTGGTGCCACGTGTGCCTTTCAACAGCAGCATGCATCAGTACAAGCACCTGGGGCCGTACCACGTGTCCAACGCGTTCTACGCCGTCACGGTCTGTCACATGCCGCATTTCTGATCGCATACTCTGTACGTTCTCGCTCATCGGAGTCGTTTTCAAGGCGCTGCTCAATTCTAGCGTTGGCCAAGTGGTTTGGGAGATGGGCTGCTGCGCTTCAACTTCGAACCAAGAATCAAGCAGGCATCCTGTTGAGGGAGGAAACGCTTGGGGAGTGCGCGTGTGCGTCGTTCGTGCGGTCGTCTTTCTGGGCCGTTGACCTTCCAAAGCTGTGCTTTTTGCCAATGCAAGGCAAATCTCAACGTTTGATCTTGAAAGAGCGTTGCATACCAAGGTATAGGAGTACTCATTATCGATTAGGAACGGCGTCCTGGGACCGAGCGTGTCACCACCAAATGCAGTCAGATCTAGATTGCCACGTTTAAACTTCAAGAACACTTTCGAAACACCCTGCAACTCTCCAGAGAGAGCAAATACCTCTGTAACTATTCTTATGTTGTTTCCCGAGGCTGCGGACCTGACCCCTAAGCACTCGTGCGTCCATTGCGTTGAGTAGTCCTGGATCGCTTTATGGTTCGTTGATTTTGAGTAAGCTAAGCAGAAAGGCTGGTAGTGCACAATGGACTCGTCCGCTCGCGCTGGTTTTTCTGAGTGTCTGGGCCCCCGTCTGCAGCATCTTTGGTCGGTTGTGGTTTGCAAATCCGTATTCAAACACTCGATGTGGCGGCAGGCAATCTTGGCCTGTTAATGAGGACTTTTGCTACACATACGACCAGGCAAAAACCTTTGCCTGACAGCAGATTGATTCCGTTCTCTTCTTCCCGGCAGGTCGGCACATCCACCGAGCAGCCGGCGATGGGCGTGATAGCTCCGTACCTCACCATCATTCTGGAGTTCTGGTACAACGTAGTCTGGAACGAGATCGCAAACCTGTGCTTTCGGGACGTTCCAAGACCCCGGGAGACGTGCTTCCAGATGCTCGTCCGAGCGCTTTCTATGTTTGCGCCGAGGATCGCGGCGCACAACCCGGCCAACTACCTGAATGCGGTGCGGTACGGCTTCCCCCACGGAGAGCAGAAGAAGCAGCCGCCCACTTGAGGTGGCGGAGAAGCTAAGAAGTTTAGGTGACCGAACGACACAACAGCCTGTAGATAGGCCCGAGCCCCCCTGGAGCCCCTCAGTTTGCAGTTAAGGCCCTCAGCTTTTTTTCGGGTTGGGCTTAGTGATAGAGCAGACCGTTGGCGGTTTTGAAAGAAACGCCGCTTTGGAGCTTGCTATTTTGAACAAATCAGGGATAGGTATAGGGCATGATCAGTGTTGCATTTGAATACTGGCGCAGGGCTTAGTGATAGAGCGCGGACCGTTGGCCTTCTTGAAAGAAACGCGCTTTGGAGCTTGCTAGTTTGAACAGATCAGGAACAGATAGAGAGCGTGATCAGTGTTGCATCTATTGTTGGCGCCGCGTAGGTCCTAGTGTATTTCTGTTAGCTGCTGACTCATGTCTCGTACTAGACAGTAGTCACGATCTAGGTCAGTCGGGTACCATGAGCTGTTGGTCAGCAATGAAATCTGCACGAGAAAGGGTTACAAGAAAGCTTCATATGTAGGGGATCATGCTTTTCAGAGCCTCATTACAAAGTGCTGCATGCGTGATGTCGATCGCTCGTGTAGCATACAACGAAACTCTAGCTTACTTACCAGATCTTGGCTAAGTGCACGACGGTGATCTGATGCTAGTAAAGTTGATACAAGGCACGAGGTTGGTGGGCCGATCTTGCTGTGGTGGTTTCGAGTCCCCGGTCGTGCAACCTCCTTCCTTTATGCATCATTTCAGAAGCACGAGTCGACGTCAAGATGTGTGTGCCATTATAATAAGAGCGAATTAAATAACCCTGGATTTTTGGAACACAATGATCCGATGTCCTTTGATTTGCGTCACTTTGTGTGTGTGTGTGGGTACATGATCATGTCTAAGATCGGTGAATATGGGACAAGTCCGCAGCACGTGAGTCGATAGTCGGCACATGGCTGTCCCGGCATCTTTTGCATAGTGCATTAAACTATCTCGCAAGCAACGGTCCGGTCGGCTCACCGTACGTCAATCGTAGTCCGTAGCGTCCGCTCCGAAGAGCAGCAATATGGTCGTGAGCTCCGTCGTCACCTTCCGGTGGGCCAACCGGCATGGCTGGTTTGCCTCGTTCCGCAGCAACGGATCCGCTTGGGACCTCACACCGAAACTCCGCCGCAGCAGACAGGGAGACCGGAACGACCGCCTCAGGAGCGTGGAACACCCATCTCTGCAGACCATCACGGCCGCCTGGACCTCCTGAGGATCTGGTGTTGATCAGTGCTTCAATCTGTGCCGTTTCGCAACTCAGTATAATCTGCGACTCTCTCTGAAGAGTCCAGATTTGTGAACGCTAAGCGCGACACAACGACTGATAATGATGGTGTAAGCAGCCAGACAGGCAAGTCTGGACTCCTCTGTCAAGCGAGGAGTGGGTGACAGTCACAGTCCAAGTCAACGATATCTCCGTTCAGGCAATTCCCTCCTTTTCCCTAGCTTCGCGACTGCGCCGCTGTTGCAGCTGGTTGGCTTCGCCGCCGCCGTCAATGGAGCAGAAAGCGTCACCCAGGTTGCACTAAAGTACCTCATCTGTACAGGAGCCATGCCTTTGTTTAACAGCCTGGTCTGTGCACCAATTTTTTCCCTCAGCTGCAGCTTGTGATCGCGCAAGGAGTTACATGAATTTCCTTTCGAAGGAACTCGAATATGATCGGCAGATGCCGCTTTGAGCAGCCCAAAACAATTATGCGAAGTAATTGGGCATTCAAACCATCAACGCTGATGAGATTTTCGCGACAAGCAGCCGGGATCTGCTAGACACCGAACAAGCTGCTTGCACACGTACGTAGCTACCACAAAAGAATGGGCTTTCTGCACAGGCGCTAGCTTGTTGAGGGTGCGGTTCAAGAGGTCATCTGAGAAACTGAAACATCCTGTAAAGTATCTCCAGTTGCGTCCATAGCTTCTGCAGGGCACAATGATCGTCCTGATAGCGGGATAGATGGTGGTGTTTCTCCGGCAACATCGCAGTTTGTCGCCAGCCGGGCGGGCGGCCGGCCCGCGCGTCCGGCCGCGCGCGCTACTAGCGTACCATGTTCTACTGTCCCTACGAACCTCCTAAACCCCGTAAACCCTCAGGCCTGCCGAGGCGGGCGCCTCCGGCATCGCGAATCCACAAGTTATTCACAGATTCTGTTGCAAGCGTTATTATGATGCTTCGAATGTCAGAGCGCCTCAAAGGACGTTCACGAGCGAACAGACCCGCAATCACTGCCTTTCTCAGGCTTTCTGATCAACCTGGGTTTTCCTGATTTGAGCAGCTTCCTACCTCGACAACTGTTGCAGTGATCATCTATTGTAGCACTCTCTGTGTTTGGTCAGATCAGGTCGAACGCTAGCTTGGACACGAAAATCAAGACAGTGAGGAAGCCCTCGTTTAGTGAGACTCAGTTGGAAACGCTTTTGTTCAAAGAGTCTCCGTTCGGTGGAAGACGGGACTTGAATTGGAAGAATGGAGAGCGGATGTGCACCCCCTGCGACATTGGTAGACCTCGTGCTGCTTCTGGATCTTCAAAAGGCGTGCAATGAGACAAGATATTGAGTTGTCTGGTTTGCTAATCCTGGAAACATCAGGAAGTAGGTGTACGGCCACTCTGTTTGGATCACAGTCTTTGCTTTGTTTTACAGGACTTGATAATTTTGGAAAGTGCTAGATGGATGCGCTGAGAAACCAGGATTGGAGCGTTCGCATGTCCAAGTAGGAAATCAGAATCTCAGTAAGAATGGGTTGTGTAGGGAGTTGTTTGCTGCCAAGTAAAGAGTCACCGGCAGACGTCAGCAGAACGGGTGACGCTGACGTCCGCAATACGCTGTGTGACCTTAGTAGTACAAAAGCGTCCGTAACAGCACCGGCTTCCAGTGTACTGGCTTTTCCAAAAACAGAGGATGAGCCAGTGAATTCTACAAAACATTCAGAACTTCAAGCAAGTCAAGAGTCCAATACCAATTCTGAATTGGAGCAGAAAGGCTGGGGCCGCCTCTCACCACTGCAAGTGCGAGTCATGAAGGCTGCCAGCCAAAGGGCGAAAGCCTGCTCCGACGCTGCTCTCCCCCGGCTCCAGCAGCGGTTCCGTCGGCTTGGGTACAGCGAAGCGGACCTGACGTCCGCTTTACACTACGTAACACAAGAGGCGCCCCTGCTGATCCACTTTAAGCCTCAGATGGGCTTTGGGTTCTTTTCCACTAAGACGGTGCTCAAGGCCTTCCTTGAAGACACCCATTACCGCAGCACGCGCGAGACGGGGATCGGCGGGGGGGCCCGAGGGGTCTGGCGGGAGAAGAGGGAAAGGATCCTGTTCGCGGGTCTGTACCTTCAAGACTCGTCGCCGTTTGAGCATTTCAAGTACGGCTCGCTCAACGTGTTCAAGGAACCGGGGGGGAGCGCCCCCCGCTTCGGTCCGTGTTACATCGAGCTCAAATCTGACGTCATGGAGCGATGCACCTTCGTCTACCGGCCGTCGTTCGACGACCTGCACCAAGTCCCTGGCACCCGCGAGAACTTCGCCCATACGTTGGCGGAATTCGACGATAAGGAGATAGCGTGCCTCGTGGAGAGGCGTCCGTTTAAGTTGTTGAATCCTACAGTGGGCGGAGATGTTCTGGTAGAAGTCCAGATACACGGTCCGCTGGAGTTCAAGCGCGACATCAAGGAGCTGCGCTTCCCCCGTTCGACAAAGCGGAAGGTTCAGAAGCGGTTACAGAGGTGGGCTGACACAAACGGGTTTGCGGCGAGTTGTTTCTGATCTTAGAATTGTCCTTCATGCTAGCTGCAAGTACTTAGACTTGACCCTGAGGAGTAGCCGCCACAGCTAGAAAGACGTAATTCCGCCATACATGACTCTGATGAGCTCTGGGCACGTGATTAGCAGAAGCATTTGCGCGAACTTCAAGTCGGACATGCTCAATTCAGTTAATTCCAAAACCGTGCCCGCACTGGGTTAATTGCTTCAAGTAGCGGACCTGCTCAAACCGAAGTATGCCTGCTCATGCATGCAAGACTCAGCCCTATATAAGATCGCTCTGCGCCCCACCGCGGGAGCATGCTGTCGTGATATATGAATGAACATCTCGTTGGATGAAATGCACCAGTGCATGGGCTCATGCCTCAACATTTTCGGCATGGCAGGAGAACACATCACTGCGGGCGTGGACTCACGCAAAAGCCGACAGACATGGAAATGAGCGGATCGACCTGATTACACCTCATATGATTATCCGGTTATATATCATGATGTACGGTCGCCGTCAGGCCCTGCGTCTAACGTGCCAAGGAAGTAGTCATGAAAGCTCGCTCTTAGTTTATACGAAGACCTCTTTTCATAGGTTCTGACTTCCACTTGGAGACACTCATGTATCCTCAATGATGTCAGTGCGCTGCCCGTATCTCTCAGATAGAGTAAATGTAGCGCACCAGACATCGCCAACTGCAGCTGGCGCGATTCTCGAATGCCTAGACAAGCACACGTAGTCAGTGGCAACAGTCTTGCAACCACATTCTCAGAAACTGTTGTTTGCAAAGTTTTCTTATTCTCTAGAGAAGAGACTGAAGTCAAAAAGCTCAACGCGGATTCATCCCTTCGGCTCGAGCGCTTTCACAACCTGTTGTATACTCTCGAATTGCGACCGCTCCTTCAGCAGCACTTTGCCAAACGCTAGCGCTTTTTTCTCGCAGCTTGCGCGAACGTCGGGATCGGCGATGCTCTCCAGGTCTTCTACGTGGGCGATCCCGACAATCCGCCTGCAGACAGAAGCGCGGCCAAATCGTCTAAGAATCGTGCAAGAATGGCAAAACACAAGATTTGCTGGCGCCTTGTCAAAATGGCGAAAAAAGACGAGTGTGCACAAAGCTAGGCTGGCTGTTGGAGGATCTACAGAGGAGAAGGGCTGCTTCGCGCTGGCCCCATCCCAAAAGTCTGCAAGAGAATGGGAACCATAAACGCGCACAGAAGATACAGATGAATAGACCGGACCCTCAGTCTGACACTATGTTGATGATGATGAGCCGGCGGCAAAGCGAAAAGCAGGTCGAGACTGGCCCACATACATAACTAACTAGATTGCGGGACTCTCTCACTTCACTATCTCAAACTCTTCAGTTTACTATAAGCTGTTCGTTTGCAGAGATACTTCCCCAAGACGCGGGGCTCGGGCCACCATAAGTCGCATGCAAACTCCGAATGAAGCAAAGGATGCGGGACAGCGCTTTTTACCTGACAATCTTGGCGCCCGCGAAGCCCAGCGAGTCCTGGAAGAGGTCGCCGAGGAAGGCCTTTTGGTATTCCGCCAGCGTGCGGTCGCCGGTGCCGAACAGGAGCGTGGGCGTGAGGTCGCCCGGGGACTCCAAGCTAACAAATTTCTGCGGAGAAAAACAGAGATCCTGATTGAAATGCCTGAACCTGCTTGCAGGGCGTCTGCTTGCTGCGCAGACGAGACGTCGCCCTTTTGAGTGCCTCGGTTCAGGAGGCTATGAAGCCCAGCTTCTTACTGGGCAACCTCCGCGAATGCTTTGCAAACGAACGGAAAAACATTCACGCCAAGAGCGCAAATCCCAAACAAAGTCGGCGTCCTTCTGCAAAGAACACGGTCGCAAAGAAGGAATTGCTAAGTTCTCGTTGGCGGCGGCGACTTTGCCACGTGGCAGCACGCTCACCGACCACAGGTCCACGAACTTCTCGGCGAACAGGGCCCACGTTTCGATGATCGTCTTCGCGATCCAGTACTTGCAGTCGTTCCTGGCGCCAGGGCTGGTCGCGTGCCCGTCCTGACTGTAGTACGCGAGGATCAAGTTGGCCAGGAAAGCGCCAATGTCGAAGCCCATGGGGCCGTAGAAGGCGAACTCGGGGTCGATCATCTGCGCGGAAAACACGGGAGGGTTTGATCAGAGTCGAGGCGCAACCGAGTGCGCACATGGCAGGGAAGCCACTTGTCAAAATAGCCAGGGTAAAAGCGCAGGCGCATACAAAGCCGGTTTTCATCGACACCTTTCGTGTTACAGTTGAGCGTCCTCTTCAAAGATAAGGGGCGAGCTAAGTCGGTGTCCGTCACTTTTTTTTCATGTTTGCAACGCTTCCATCGAGCATCTGCAGCCCTCACCTGGGACTTTCCGGCTCCTGTTTACCACACATTGCGGTCACACACTGCCCCGACGCCATCTCATTCATAGCGCGACCAACGTAGTAGCGCGTTCCGAGCCACAACCTACATTGCCAGACTCCCCAATGATTGCCAGCTTTGAGGAACCAGGTCAGTCCAACCCAAAAGGCCCCGTCCAAAGCTTACCTGCGTGGAGGTGTCCGTGACCATGATACTGCCCGTGTGCAGGTCGCCGTGCACCAGGGCCTCCGCCTGCTCCGTGAACTTCTTTTTCAGCGCCGTGATGGCGACCTTCAGCGGCACGTCCGACCGGAGCGCGGCCGCTTCCGCGTCCAGCTGCGGCGACGTCCAGTGGTTGTTGGCGGCTTGCGCGTACGGCTCCGTGAAGATCACCTGGGGGAGAAAACTGACTTTCAGAACTCGACAACCTACGTGGTTTTAGAACCTCATGGAGCTAAAAGAGCGCCCGAACGACGATACGCTGTCAACAGGTGAACCTAGAGGGTGGGTGGCTGGTAGAATCTGCGTTGATGAAAATGGTTAAAGAGAAGATGTACAACCAAAGGAAGGTAATATGGGTAGCGTGGCAAGTATCAATATCTAGATTGAGACATCCTCTCTCCGGAGGCTTGAGCGGCAACCCGCGGGCCGATAGACCCCCGATCCTCCACCTGAATAGAATCCAAATCGTAAAGTAGAAAAGAGAACCCGAACCCAAAACTCCAAACCCCAAAACTCAAACATCCTTGTTCAGTAACTTACCTGCTCCGTGAGCCTGCACAGCTCGACGTTGACCACAAACTTGGCGACGGCCGCCTTGTGCTGCGCAGTGTCGAGCGCGAGGAGGGAGGTGCTGAACAGAGTGCGCGCCAGGAAGGTGGACACGTGGTCGGCCAGGAGGGGGTACACGTGGCCGGCGATGAGGCCCTTGCGCAGGATGATGTGCGGCGGCTCCAGGTAGCGCATCACGAACAGGGCGCGCGAGCGGTCCACGTGGTACACCTGCGGAGAAAGGATTGGCTTTTCATAGGCTAGGATTATGGGGATTTTCATCTTTTGAAGCGGTTTGTTAGGCTCGCTCTACAGGCTACTGATACACGACAATCGCTCTTCGTAATGTGGACCATGCACAGACCGCAAAGAGAGCCGAACTTTGCACGAAAGTCTCGGTGAAAAGCGATACGAAGTTTTTGGTAGCAAGAGGAGGTGCCAAACACGAAGTCGTATTCTGACCTATGCAAATGGGCACAGTCTGTGAGATTGCGGGCAACAAGTTCACTTTTTTAAAGGGGAAGGCAATCAGCGGCACGGGTTCCCACAAAAATTAGGGCAAAGTGGGCTTGCTAATGCTTCGACAATCACTCGAGCGGCCTCAAGGGCAGAGCCCACCTCCTTTCCCTTTCAGACCAGACGGGTCATGAAGTCTACGCCGTGAAGCGGAATCCACAGACTCCCTTGGCAACAAGCATTATAAGTACTTTCAAGCAGAGCGTTGCAGATGTAGTCGGTTCGACATAATCTTCGCTTCAGCAATCAACTCGTTCGAAACAAAGCAAGAATCTTTTTGAACTGCGTTTCCGGACGTTCCCTTCTCCCCGCCTCACCTCGGGCACGTGCTGCGGCACGAGGCGCCCCTCCTCTTTCAGCGCGAGCGCCTCGAACCACGACCGGTCCACCGTCAACGGCCACGATTCGCCGACGCACCGCACGTACGGCAGCGATTGCTTCAGCACGCACGTCCACTGCGGCCCCTCCACTATGAACACCAGGTTTAGATTCCCGTCCCCGACTTCCCGCACTTTCCAGTCGGTCGGCTTTCCGCCCAACCTCGTTGCGAGGTCCGGCGTTTTGGTCGCAATGTAGTCGACGAGAGTCTCAGGGTTGAAACCTACGAAGAGGGGTTTTACGTCCCCGGCTTCGGTGGCGAGGGTTGGGGGGTTTTGGGCGGGCGGGGCGGGGGCGACGCGGGCCAGGAAGGCGGGGATGTCGAACTCCGTTGCGCCGTCGGCCTTGTAGATGACGCCCTGCGAGAAGGAGGATGGTATCCCGTGACAATCTGCAATTAAGACGCAAGCGGTTTGCTTATATTGCGCCCACAGAACAATCGACAACGATGCAGCCCCGACAGCATCAGTTGACAGGAAGATTGAAACTTCAACCAAACTCCATCTGCTAAATTGAAAAACAGTAGCGAATAAGGCGTCGAACAGCCCGCCTGAAATCGCCCCGAGGGCAGAAGTTGAGAAAAGGAGTTTCAAGAGGCTACTCGCAACAAAACTAAGAGCAGACTCTGCGACCTGCGTGCCAGAATCGGGCCTTCCTTTACCACCATGAAGCGGCTGGTTGCAATGCATGCAAAGTCTATTTTAGCGAAAGACATTCTAGAGAATAACCGGACGCTGCTGGGAAACTTTCCAAGCAGAAGCTAGTCGTGTTCTGCCAGACTGCCGTGAACAAAGCGCGGGGAGCCCACCTTTTCCGTGATGATGCCAGCGATGAGGTCAGCGGGAGTGACGTCGAAGGAGGGGTTCCAAACGTCGATGCCGGCCGGAGCAATGGGATCGCCACGGCCGCCGTTGGCGTGGGTGAGCTCCTTGGGGTCTCTTTGCTCTACACACGAGATGGGGGAGCAAACGCTTATGCGGTGGGCTGCAAGTGCCGCTGTCAACGTCCCTTCGTTATCTTGTAAATACCTGATACGTCCTCCTGTTTCTCCTTATAAATGGTTCTTGGCGAGCTCGAAAGAGAAGGAAGCGCCCGGAAAGCAATGCCGCACGGAAAGTTGGCCTCTCGAAGCATCGAAAGGGCGACGTCGTCTCAAGTGCAGAGCAATGAGAATCATATAAATTCCCTTGGGGCATTGATGAGGAGAATCGAAACGTTCATGGTAAATGGAAACACGATCGAGCCAGGAACCCCCAACAATTCTAGACCCCAACAAACACATCCACAACTTCTCCAACTCACCAATATGGATCTCGGCGCCTGAGTGAATGTCCAGATCAATCGACGTCACTGGCGCCGCCACAAAGAACGGCACCCCGTGGTACTTCGCCCCGATCGCGAGCGAGTACGTCCCGATCTTGTTTGCCGTATCTCCGTTCGCCGCAATCCGATCGGCGCCCACAACGATCGCATCCACGCCCCGAGTGGCCCCAAACGCCGCAGCCGCAGAGTCGGCAACTAGGATGGCGGGAATCTTCTCGTACACGAGCTCGTAAGCTGTGAGGCGCGAGCCCTGGTTGTATGGGCGGGTCTCCGTTGCAATAGCGGTCTCCAACTTGCCGGCGGCGTGAAGGGAACGGATGACACCGAGGGCGGTTCCGTATGCAGCGGTGGCCAGGCTGCAGGGAGGCGGGAAAAATGCCCTCGGATCGGAAAGGTTTCGGCGAAGCTTTCGTGCACAGGTGATACGACAGGTGCGTCAGTGAAGACGGCTGTAGCTCGGTGCCGTCTTGATTACAAGCTCACAAGGACATGAGGCGTCCTCCTCAGAACAACTCGCTTGATCTCCGGAAATCGAAGTTCCCACCGCCCAAAACGCAGTGATGATTTTCCACATATGAGGAACCGTCGATCGGCAGTACTCAGCCAGATATCATTGTTCGAACAGGCAGATCCCTCGCCGCTAGAAGCCCTCGCTGGAACTAGAGAACAGATTCCAAGCATGGACGTCCAATTCTTGCTCGCTTCCAATTTGACCCGCCCAAGGAGTCCAACTTGACCGCCGAAAGGGACCCCGATACGTCAAACCGGCGCCCCAAGCAAACTCTGTACTGCCCACCTGCCTGTGTTGCAGTGCGTCATCACGCGCAGCTTCTCCTTCTTTGTGGCCGCCTTCACGATCGCCTCCGCGCCGTTCGCCCCAATCGCACGGTTGGCCGCCACGTCATCCACCAGCATTTGCTCCGCAGAGACCACGAATGCGTCGATGACGCTCTGCGCGGAAGCTTCCGGCTGGTCCGCCGCAGTCCGAGTGACTTCGGACAGCTGCTTGGCGGCCTCGCCCAGGTTGACGGCAGTTGGACGGCTGCAACGAAAAGTCGATAGTCAGCTTGAGCTGGACAGTAACAGGAAGCAATATCGTTTGTTGTTCGAATCTCTGCATTTTTCACCTTTGAAGGAGTGAACCCCAGCCAAAATCGTAGTAAGAATCATGCGGCTGTAGTAAGCCTGACACGTTCTGCAGTGCTTCTTTCGCGCAAAGGCTGCTCAGGAGCACTAAGCCCTGTAAATGGAATCTAGCCGACCTCACCGGGTAGCTGCCTGACTCATGTTCACCGACTCCTGGTTTTGTCTCACCTAAGCACACCTCCCTTCGACAAAGTCGCTACGTGTAGACTGCTGTGAGTACTGTTGGGTTCAAGTAGCCTCGTAAGCTGCTAACATTGAGGAGAAACTTTTCCTCTCCTCTGTTCTCTAACACGGGGCTGAAGCGACTCTGGCAATTTGATCCCATGCACCCGTACTTAGTATGAACTTTCCTTCCAACTTTGGCCCCCTTGCCACCAAATCTTACTTGGGCAGCCTTTGTTGGGACCAATGCCACTTCGGAACGATCTCCTATTGTCAATGTACAATCCTTCGTGAGGATCAAAATTCAGGTTTATGAGAGCTCTCACCTTGACACTAGGTACTGCAGCCGCTCCACGATATAGGCGCCGGTCGACTTTGCATCGGGCGTCTCAGGCGGCGAGCTCACTAGCTCTGCGGCTAAGGCCAAAGCTGCCGCGATTGCAATCGCCGGTGCCCCCCGCACCACCATGTCCTTGATAGCGTGCCTGGACAGGTGGCACACTGTGGTTGGTCGGGTTGCTTCTCGAGGCAAATAAAAAGATATAGGAACCAACACTACTTCTCCAAGTCTTACAAACAGGCTTGAATGCCGTCACAGTAAGTTCTGTTTACAACTTCAAAGTCAAAAGACAAGAGCTCTCGTCCGATAAGATGATACATCTTGTGTGGAAAAGATAGATAAGAGTATAATGTTCACCACCGCGCCTGCGCCAAACCTCAATGCTTTCGAATTTCCAAGACTCACCATGCCGCTTCTGCTGTCGGGATGTCGATGTACTCGCTCACGTGGGGAAGATGCCTCTGCAGAATATAGAATGGTTTCAAAAGAAAGAAAGAAAAACACCACCATCCCTCCAATTTGCATTGCTGCGCCCCATTGTAGACATGAGCCCCAATTCTTCGTGTTCACTCTACTAGATTTAAGTCCTATTGAACAAAAGGAGAGAACAGTTCTACGTTGAGCTTAATATACCACCACAAGGCAGGGCACCCAGCCATTTATTGTCGTCTAAATAAATGGCTGAAGTGGCTAGATCTATAGGTTGATGTGCTTCGTTTTTCATAATGCCACCATCGGGCTACGCCATTTGCGAAGTCTTTTCTCCACCATCTCCTGCTATGGACAATCAGAGGCAAGGCCAGCATTGCAAAACAACACAGTACAGCCCACTTGCAACCAGAAGCAGACACCTGGCGGCCGCTGATAGCACTGCAAGACTTTCGCAGGCTTAAGAAATCAGAACTCGAACGTCGTCATACCTGGTCCAGAAGCTCGAGCTTGCCCCGAACATACTTGATCGCCTGGAGCACGCCATCATTCTTCTTCTCAATATGGACGCCGAGCACTTCGCTCGCCATGGCTTGGCCACAACAGAGTCAGATTGACGGCGCCAACGAAATGTTCTGAGCTCTCCGCTCCACTTGCTCAGAATGCTTGATCCAGCATCAAAAATCTCACCCCAATCCTGACGAATCAGTGCAATGGTCCCGACCTCCCGGATCAAGCAATGCTGCCACCGTCTTGGCAGCTGATGGCGAAGAGGCTTCACAAAGAAAATATGTGTTCATTGAACCAAGCCATTGGCGTGGAACCTCAGCCTTCCAAGTTCAAGTTTAGGGTTTCAAAGGGTCGTCTTGCAACCACCATTACCGAGCGGTAAACGTTTGAAACTAGAGCGAAAGGAGTCGACGTCGCCGAATCTCTTATCCTGTCGGAGGAATCCGATCTGCAGCAGTCACAGAGAGGGGGCCCAAGAAGAGCAGAAGAGCCGCTCGTGGAGGACGCCTTCGGTCTGCAAAGGGTAGGTAGAGAGGCCTTCTTCATCTGTAGGAAAGGTCTCCCCCTGAGCAGGTTAGAAGCAGGCGACGTGCTCAACAGGGGGTTTGGGGGCTTCACGGGGGCATAGGGCCCGAGGGCCCCGGAGAAAGCAAGGATGCAGGATACGGCAGGAGATATGTTCATGGGTGCCTGGATGGACCCTAGCCTGATGACGCCAGAGCCGCTCCTGACAGGAGACCAGAACGCTGCGTGCCAGTGGCAGTGGCCCGCTTTTGAGAAGACAGAGGAGAGGTAAGGCTTTCACAAGGAAACGCTAAGTCTTGTGGTTATGACTAGATTTCTGTCGGACATGAACAATATGATGACGGCGCGGCGCTTAGTCACTTCTTGTTCTGCTTGCTTGACTTACCAGATCTGTGGGCTCTTCTTCCAGAAAGCTGCCCCAGTATCCATTTGCATCAGTTACATTCCATAGCAAGATGCCTTTTCCATCATCAGGTTGCATAATTTGCCAATTAAACGTGCCCTGGAATTGTTGTCAGCCAGCACTGAATTCTGGACAGGGGCTCGACAGACCTGCGAGCTGCGGAATATTATCTAGCATAATTATTGGGCCATCCCCGTAGGCCCAGCCATTATCTGTTAGAGTACCATGTTCTGTCAACATTGTGGGCCTTCTGAGCTCCATGGCTTGCATTCTGACTCAGCTTTCAGCAATTTCTAAGGTGTGCAGTGCCCTCGGTTCTTTATGCTTTTGTTCCTTCTTGATGGCTGGTCTCAATCATGACTGCCATTGAGTAGTGCATCTACTGCCCAGATTCGACGGAAAGGAGGTTGGGGAATGTAGATTTTGCCGGGGGCAGAGGCCTTAGGCTTTGTGCCCAATGCCCTGTAGCGGAAGATTCCAGTTTGGGTAGCCGCCGACGATGTCGAATGCCTGCCCTTTCCTGCTCATGTGGCATGAAGCAGAGGTAGAGACTGAGGACAAGTTTGCAGAGAGCTGACAGTCGAATAAGCACGCAGCATGTGCCAGACCTCTTGTCGCCATACCTGGAACATCAGCAGAATGAGCAACATGTGAATTTTGCAGTGGACAAAGCGAGAAGGGCCCTTCATGCAAGAAGTCGGGCAGCAGAAAGAGGTGAGTGACTCGGTGGACCAGCTCGTCACCATGGGAGTACGGAGACTAGCTTTTTGACAAAGGCAACAGCATGCTTTGTGGAGCTCCGGTTGCGAAGCAGCAAAGCAGCCCCCTGAATTGAAGAGGTTTGGGGGGACTGAGCCATATTGGGTAGCCTACCCTATGTAAAAGGGACCAATGCAAAGGCGAAGAGTAGCATAACCCTAGGACGCCTCAAGGAAGCCACCAAGGCAAGGATGCCCTTAGAGCATAGGGTAGGTTCTCAGCAATGCTGCAGTCCCGAACTTGCTCTCTGTCAACTGGGAGCTGTTAGCATTATTGAACCATAGACGGCATCCCCGAGTTAGCAACGTCATTAATTGTAGGGAGTTGCAGAGTTTGACAGCCTTCATTCTCAGAGCAACCATAAGCAAGCTTGAGGCAAGCAATGCTGGATTTGAGTGCTCCACCTTCGCTCCATATCCTAACCTGAGCACCTGCGGTTCTAGTCGGAAGCATTTGATTGTGCGTTGTGCTTTGAGCGGCGTTAATCAGAGTGGTTAAATTGCATGTCCTGCTGCTTGCAGGCAAAGAGGGGAGCAGTCAGTGGCTGCTGCAGACAAGGCTGACCGGGAAAGGGAGCGCCGCAACCGGCTGCACGCAAAGTTCATGGAGTTGAGCCAGCTGCTAGACCCGGGGAGGCCACCCAAGACGGACAAGTCCACCATCCTCACAGATGCGGTCCGCGTTATCGGACAGCTGCGGAACGAGGCGGAGCAGCTCAAGGAGTCCAACACCCAGCTTAGGAGCAGCATCAAGGACCTAAAGGTAGGCGGTGCTTTTGTTCCGCTGCTGGAATGCTCCATGCGAGAGTGCTCTGCTCGATTGCTGCTGCTCTGTGGTATGTTGTCCTGGAGGCGGCACCGAATCGACCGTCTGGTCCAGAAGCAGGCACCAAGTATTGAGCATTTTGGGAACTTGTATTGCTGGTCGAGGGTTTGTATTTGGTAGGGTTTGCATGCAATATGTCCATGACTAGACTATGTTCTGCGGAGCGGAAGGGTATTTTCCAAGAACACTGTGCTGACCCAAGTGTTGCCAGCATTGTGGATACCTCAGGCTCAATGGTTGCTCCTCGCTTGCTTCGAGTCTGTTGAGCTCTGACATGCTCTATTGCAAGCTTGGGAGAAAGTTCTTTTCGTCACAGGAAGCTAACGTTCATGTTTGTTGTCTATTCCAGGTTGAGAAGAATGAGTTGCGCGAGGAGAAGGTCCGCCTCAAGAACGACAAGGACCGGCTAGACTTGCAGGTCAAGACCATGATGCCGCCCAGCTTCGGCCTGCCCCAGGCAGCAATGGCAGCCGCATTCGCTGCTCAGCAGCAGCATAAGCTGCAGGCGCCGGGCCAGGCAGCTATGGGCAACTTTGGCATGTGGCAGTTCCTTCCCCCACAAGTACTGGACACGTCTCAGGACCATGTGCTGAGGCCGCCGGCTGCTTAGAGCCGAGGAATGTTGTGTCAAGAGTCGCGGGAGGAGAGCAGAGGTGGCACTGGTCAGCCACCTTTTGTTTTGTATTTTAGGGCGGTATTTCTGAGGTGGTGCCAGGGCCACATTTTTCGGACGAGAATTTGTAGCCATCTGTTACAGTGTTGGTCCTTAATAAATGGACCTCGCTTGTGCAAGTCTTTGTTGCCAGATCAAAACGCTGCAGATGATTGCATCGTTTATGACTGCGTGCACCTGATCATTCTGCACTAGGCTCTATGAGCGCTCCTGTTTTGTAATCGCCTGGGTCGGCATGCGTGGAAGGTACTTTCAGGAACTTAATGATTACAAAGAAATCATGCAAGGAATACTGCAGCCTGCTTGGTGCGAGCTTGCGGGCTGGGCAGGGCTCATTTGCATGTGCAATGTGTGCATGGCCAGTTGCTTTTGGATGCACATTGCAAGTCAAAAATCAACAACGGCGAATGTGTCACCGTTCACATAAAGTATGTGCTGGAGCACATGCACCATTGCATGAGTGTAGCTGAAAGAGCAGCTATACATAAGCCTGTAGCTAGGCGCAATACATGCTACTACATGAAAGCGGAAAGGGTATGATGCAGATGGCTGAGTCATCGTCATGCACATCAGAAACGGCTGAATGAGCAAATTTTGTGTGCGTAGTGCGATACACAGAGAAATCTTTTCATTTAATTGCGCAAGCTGGAGTCGAGTCGACTGCAAGCAGGTTGAACAGTTTCGGTACACAAATGCTCTCCCCATAAATAAGATAGCCTAGTTTACAAAGGCTGTGCATTGACCAATGTCAAGGCTTTAATTACGGTCAGGCTAAGCGAGCAATTTTGTTATGCAGCGGACTTTGGCGGGGGCTTGCTAGCAAGAATGTTGCTTGTATGCAAGGATCACTCCGGCAACTATTTACTTACACAGCGAACAATGAAGACCTTGCTCATCTGCATCTCAGCAGGGAGATGGAGGCAAGGAAAGAATTAACAATCATGAAACCTTGACCAGCTTACTGGACATTTTAACGGACCAGGAAGCACTTATGCAGGCGGCAAATGTTCCAGCAACCACGCCCTGATGTCAGCCACTTCTTCGGGACTAACGCTATGGCCCACCCTGCACAACAAACCCCCCACAACGATCAATGATAACGATCAATGACACGTATCTTGGCAAGCCTCATGAAACCATTGGTTGATACAAAAGTTGCTCTTCGAGCCTTGCAATAATGAGCGTGTGCCCTGGATCTTTCAAACAATCCTTCATGTAGTTAGAAAGGGACGGAGTGCAAAGGAGGAGCATTCAACTGTGCATAATAAGATCCAACACATATGTATCCGCTTCCAGACATTGCCAAGGGCGGGCGACCTGCAGACCTGAAAAGAAAAGCTCTGGAGGTCCCTGCAGTATAGCAGACTCCATAACATCAGCTTTCAATCTCGGCTCGCTCGTTGGAAGTGGCGACACGCCTGCACCAACAAGAGCGGCCACAAAGCAAGCACAACAGGGATCCCCGAGCAGATCGCTCACCCGTTGTATGCATTGAACTTCGTCTTCGAGAAGCCGAGCGGCCCCTTCAAGGTTTCCGCCGTCAGCTTTCCGAACTGAAAGTTGACGACCGGGTCGACTGCAAGGGAGTGTTGCAAGGTGCTGGTGAGATACGCCGTTGCAAAACCGAAAAAGCATGTCCAGCTTGCTTACGGGAGCGAAGTTGCAACCGCCATCACCTTTCAACTCTGTTTTAACGATTAGGGCAGGGTTGGGTTTGATCGCGTTGAGCCTATAGAATTCGCGAGGCGGGAAGCTAGACAAGATTCGAGGAGCATCCGTTCCTCAAATCAATTGCTGCGAAGCTTGAGTGGCATGAGAAAATTAGAGTCCTCGCAGTTGGAAACAATCATTTATCGCGACTCCGCCTCTTTCGACAAGAGCTGTCAGTGAAGGAAGGTGCTTCTTAAGTAGGTCAGAGAAAAATCATAACAGGCTATAACTTTGATACCATTGGATCCAGAGCAGCGACGAAGACCCCAGCCTTTCCGGGCAGACAATTTATAGTAGAAAACGGAACCGGAAGAACCAGCTTATTAAACACGAGAGCCGGATCCGCCCCGTCTCACCTGTGCCGTGGCAGTGCAGTATAGGTAGGCGGCCGGCTCTTTCAAGTGCGCCGGCATCAAGGTTTCGTCGCCCCTTCGCCAAGACACTGCAGCCACGGCAAAAAAATGTCAGTAACAGAAAAGACCATCGCAAAAATACAGCAAGATATCGCAAAGGCCGGAACGTGTTGAGCTCCCTTCAACACACAACGAACAAAGCGAGATTAAGTCGGTGACTGGCGCTTTCACAAGCGCGTGCCCGATCGTAGGTCAAAACGCAGTTTAACAGGCTCAGAGCAGGCCAAGGGTTTTGCCACGGCATAAACAACTTAAAGCTGACTCCAAAGGCCACATGTTTTCAGCATAAGGCCTTTCATTTTCTCAGCATAAGCCGTCGTAGGGATCCAAGCGGAAGTGGACAATCGAACGAGGTCAACGATAGGAATCTAAAACTCAACCAAGTGGCTTCTCGAAGAGACCTACTCTGATCCTGAGAGCCAGCCACTGATGCAGGCCGCCGCTGTCAGGGGCACGCTTGGCGCCGGCTTGCCGTCCAGGTATTTGCCGTAGGTAAGGGAGGTGGCCACGTGGAGGGCCAGGGAGCCCCCCTGACTGAACCCGCCCACTGCATAACGGACGGGGGACTCCGGGCCTGCACCGTCAACAAAGATAATTGGTTAATGGCCCTAAATGAATCAAGATAAAACCTAGATGATGAAAATGTGGATGCAACCATATGCGACAGGCGACTTGACTGGGGCAGAGACGGCTCCAGAATGAGGCGCCCGTGCCGCCGGTTTTTCTGCAAGAGTCGCAAGTTGCAGAACACGAATCCTACGCGCACAGGCCACCCCTCAAAAAGAACCTTTTGGTTGCGACAGACCCATGAGCGGCCTTTCCACATGAACTGGGCCCCAGACTGCTTCGAGCCCCAAGAGCCGCGCATGAAAAGGCCTTTCTGTGTTTGGGCGGCCAAAGAAACGATCCAATCGAAAGACGGATATCAGAATAGGGATTCCGGTCACTTGAGCTAGCGCACCTACCTGCTTTAGCTTTCTCTTTTGCCAAGATGGAGATGACGTGAGCCGCCGCACGGTCCAGCCCTGGCACGTCTTCCTTGGTGGAAGGGCCGAGGCCCAGCACGTCAAACCCTGTCACGACGAAAGAGACGCTCTCAAATAGCTGGGCGTATCACGTTTCCACTGTCTGCAAGCTGAGAGCCTTCGAACAGAGCGAGTTGAACGATAGAAGCTTAGGGTGTAACGGGGGTGACATGACTATAACTGACACTGGGTGAGTAAGCCCGAGGCTAACGAGATGCGAGGCAGCTTCGAATCAAAGTGTTGACTTTGGAGAAGATTGCGTGTTGGGAAAGCCGAAAGATCTAGTCAGAAATCCATACGAGGACACAAGGAGGCAACTTGGGACGAGATTTGAACTAGGTGTCCACTGAGAAGTTGCACAGCTTTACAGTCAAAAACTTGATGTTAGGTACCCTTGCTCATTAAAAGAGCGTGCTTCGTAAGGCAGAATGAGACCCGACTCGAAACATGGTCAGCCAACACTGACGTCTAGACATCGTCTACTCATTTGGACAATGAAGCATCGAGGAGAAGAGGTTGGAAAGAGACTCACAGCCATTCATGGGAAAGCCACCGTTGATTGTGATGGGTCGCGACTCTGCCGATGGAAGGATGAACTTTATCTGTAAAACCAAGCAGGTTTTCAAGAAACAGTGAGAGAAGAAAGAGATTGACAAGCTGTCGTTTCTGAAGAGAAGATAGTAACACATTCCCTAAGTTACGGAAGGCCAAAGCGAAGAGAGGACCAGCAGGATAAAGTAGGTCAGATTATGACTCTGAGATTCTAGTTCCACAGCTGGCAGCATCAAGACAAAGCTGGAAAACGCTTTGACTGAAGCGAGATACTCACATGCCTCAGGCCAAACGCCGGAACAATGTCTGCCCACCTGTGATACAAAACCAAGTAAGAACAGCACAAACATGTGGTGGATTAGTGGCCCCAACGTCTGACAGAGCAGAACACAGCTTTCCGGCCAGCTTTTGAGGAGCACAGCTCGTGCTTCAACCCTTCAATCAACGGTCCAGAGCTTCAGTTGAATTGAAGTCAACCCTCGATCCCTGGGGTTGTAGCCAAGGGGCTCGCAAGGGTTGGATAGGAGTCCGAGTTCTCCTCCATCTGTTTTGAGAGGCTACCCTGAGCCAAAGCTGAATCCTCGGAAAACCAGTGCATCCAACGCATGATCTGCTGAGATTGGTGACGGCAAAGGGGATTCAATGGCAGGGGGGGCTCACCCTCGGCCAGAGTCTCCCAGTCCATGCAAGAAGACCACAGTGGCGGTGTGCTTCTCAGTTGGTTCAATCACTATGTCACCAAGAGCAGGTCGCCCTGCAACACAACCGCTTGATTGTTGTGACCATCAGCTCATGACCACCCCAAAAGGTGAGCCTGTCCGATTGAATCGGTGATGGACATGGCTCAACTAGTTGTACAGAATCAGTCAGCTTGATAGAGTCCCAGTACCTCTATGCAATCCCCGACGTTCTTACAAATCCTGCATGATTCAAATCAGTGCGTTCTTTGGCTAGATGAGTTGCCGGGATGAGAACAGGGCCCGTACCACTTTTCCATCAAAACTCTGGGATGCATGTGAAGGTCACTTATGATATTTTAGTCACTGCGGAATACTTACATGGTGGCGACACTTCAACGACTGGTGCTGCGCTCATCGCGTTTGCTTGAACGGGTGGGAGTTTTCTTCCTGATGGAAGAACTGTTACGAGTCCTCGCCCCAGCTGGGCAGCGCCGCCAAAGAAGGAACAGCGGCGTGACAGCATGCAACGAGTTTGACTGTGCCAACTAGGACGTTTAAGGCGTTGTGACGGACAACCTCCACCAATTGTGGAAGAAGCAAGTGGACTGTTGGTGGTGTCAATCAATGAAGGCTGCGAGCTCCAGCTTGGAAAGCGGGCATGCGGCTCGCGGAGCCGACTGTGCTGTTGGTTGCCAGGCGCCCCTGTCAAGAAACTTTGTCCAGATGCTGCAACCTGGGCACTGCTCATACAGCTTCCCACCGTTTGAGCAAGGGCCATCTGCTGCAGGTGTGGTCGCTTCTGACCAACCGTGAAACCAACCCTCTAGGCGCTAGCTGCTATAGATCTTCTTCACAACAGGCGCCCACAGTGACGTCGGAGAACGTTTGGAGGCCTCAACTGTGACTCAATTGTGCTCACAGTGTGAGCACCTTGTGCCAGCTGCAAGATGTGTACTGCTGGCTGCTGCCTCCTCGGCCGACATGCTGGAAACTAGCTACGGGTGCGTTTTTCGGCCGGCAACGAAGGCCTTTGAAACTCAGCATCCATCCAACGGCTGCAGATCGATGTAGATTGCATAGAAGCTATTGAACGGCTATCACCGTCCGAAGCAAAGCGCCGGGATCCAAAAGGTACAACCTGGACCGTCCAAATTGTGTCAATGCCCACGTGCTGAGTGGAAAATATCGAGACTGGACAGACTGCTCATGACTCATGAGGAGGCCGAAGCAAAGAAGGAAGGAAGACATCACTCACATTCTCCAACCAAGCTGGAGATTCTCCAAGTTCCACAACCACCTCCCTTCTTCGACTTTTGACATTGTCGCTGTCTAGTAGCAAAGGACATTCCCCATCTCAGGCGCCAGCTGCTCGCAACAGCGTTCAGTACAATTCATTCAAAATGGCGACTCTTTCTGGCTCAGCTTATGCTGGAAAGTATGCAGGCAAGTAGTGGGACGTTTTGGCTTGGGTTTATTATTTTGCAAACCGTTTGGACCTGGCCTCCTCATGAGTCTCTTCATAGTGCCTTCATTGCATTTGGATCCGTTATGATCCACCTCTTTCTATCTTCCATCTATCTTGCTTGTTTTACGTTTCAATTATAAAATGTGCTTGTATCGCATCTGCTCCTGCAGATTGATTCAGCTTGCTTCCCCTTTGCGCTTGTGACAGAAGGTTTGTAGTTCAGATATTTTCTCTAAATGCTTTCAGAATGCATACAATCGCTTTTGCTGCCTGTATTCATTGCATCTGTGCTGGAAGGGGGCCTTGCATAATGCGGTGCTCATAGAGCCTTGTTCTCTCTGCAGAGGAGTTGGTGAAGAATGCCAAGGCCATTGCCACTCCTGGTAAGGGTATCCTTGCTGCCGATGAGAGCACGGGCACCATTGGCAAGCGCCTCGCCAGCATCAAGTGCGAGAACACCGAGAACAACCGCCGCATCCTCCGCGAGCTCCTTTTCACCGCTCCTGGGGCCCTGCAATACCTGAGCGGGGTCATCCTCTTCGAGGAGACACTCTTCCAGAAGTCCGCTGCCGGAAAGCCTTTTGTGGACATCCTGAATGAGGCGGGCGTCCTTCCTGGGATCAAGGTTGACAAAGGTGTTGTGCCTCTGGCTGGGACCGATGGGGAGACCACCACTCAGGGCCACGACGGGCTCGGTGAGAGGTGCGCCAAGTACTACCAGGCCGGGGCTCGCTTCGCCAAGTGGCGCGCGGTGCTGAAGATTGATGCCACCAGCCCCTCTGAGCTGTCCATCCAGCAGAATGCGCAGGGGCTCGCCCGCTATGCCATCATCTGCCAAGAAAATGGCCTGGTGCCAATTGTGGAGCCTGAGATCCTGACGGACGGCGCGCACGATATTGAGAAGTGCGCTGAGGTGACGGAGCGCGTCCTGGCGGCCTGCTACAAGGCTCTGAACGACCAGCATGTGCTGCTGGAGGGCACTCTGCTGAAGCCTAACATGGTCACCCCTGGATCGGACAGCGCGAACAAGGTGGATCATGAGAAGATTGCTTTCTTCACCGTCCAGGCCCTCCAGAGGACCGTCCCGGCAGCAGTTCCAGGTTTGCACTTCTGATCGCTGCAACACAAGGGTTCTGCTTTACATCTGCTGTCTTCTAGGATCAACTCTGTCAGACTCTATGTAACTCCGTGCTCACTAGTGTGCGCCATAGGTGCTTTTGGTCGAGCAGACTTTTGCTGACTGAAATTCTTAGACTTCAATGTTGCATCGTCTTTTGAATTCTCCGCATTGCAGTAACTTCGCCTTTTGTCTGAATGGTTGTCCCGCTTTGATTTTCAAAAAGAAGTTGCCAAATTAATCGACAAGTGGTTTGCTGCAGATGCTCAGCCTTTGCGGTTTTGATTTTTGAAAAAGCATTTTGGCGAAAGGCATTTAAGGCACAGTGGTGGATGAGTAAATTGCAGCAGAAGCAAGTTTGGGCTGCTGGTGTGCTTTCAGGGAACTGCCATGTTGATACCAAAGAGGCTATCTGAGGAAGTTGAAAGTGTCAATTGGTGGCAGTTCAGCGCGGGTGTGTCATGACTCCTGCTTTAGTTGACTTTTCACGATGCAGCAGAGCTGGAGACACGTTTCTTTGCATCCCCGCAGCAACTGCCTATACATTATCTGGTCTCTCTCATCCTTCTTATGCACTATTGATATCTCTTATTCAGGTCAAGGTCCTGGTGACTTGTGATGGCAGTCACCAGGACTTGTGTTGTTATTCCTACGTCACCAATATTGCCTCACTGTTGGACCGCCAAAATGGTTACAACGGCTAGGTGTGGTTGGAGCATGTGCCGATCTTTGGCAGCGTATCTGCCAACTCTAATCCTGCTGCATTTTACCTGCTAACATTCCCTGATGGTTGCTCTTCCTTTCAGGTGTTGTCTTCCTGTCTGGTGGACAGAGCGAGGAGGACGCCACCCTCAACTTGAACGCCATGAACAAGCTGCAGACCAAGAAGCCCTGGACCCTCACCTTCTCCTACGGCCGTGCTCTCCAGCAAAGCACCCTCAAGGCCTGGGCTGGAAAGGACGAGAACATTGAGGAGGCACAGAAGGTGTTCCTCGGCCGGGCCAAGGCCAACTCCGAGGCTACTCTGGGTACCTACAATGCCAGCGGGGACGCTGCGGCGGGGGCCAACGAGAGCCTCTATGTCAAGGACTACAAGTACTAGAGTTTGCTGACGGTACATCTTGTGGAATGACTGCAGCGTTCGTACAGCATTGCTCGGTCCACTGAGCAAGCAGAGGATATAGAAGCAGACGGTTTTGACCGGGTTCTGGATCAGTGAGAAGAGCGCATATATAGGTCTCAGGAAAGCAGAGGGGTTGTCATGCTTGTTACTGAGTTGTAGCTAGACTCTTCTGAGGCGGTGTCGTTGCTTCAGGTTTTACAACATAAGAAGGTTCTGCTTCCAATCCTGACGGCAAGATGGCATGTGACATACTGTAAAAGGAGTCTCTAATGGGGAGCCTCCATTGCAAACTGTGAATGAACCCAGATCTCAACTGCTGATGGCAGGTCTGAAAGCACGGACCTGACTTATACTACATCAGAGTCAGTTGTTGTGAGTCTGCCATATGTATAATCGGTTGTAGTAGCATCGCTGTCTATACTCGCCATATTTGGGGAAGACTTAGATGCGATGTATCTCCGACGATGTCAACTGCACCAATGCATTGATGAAGTCATCGCGCCGCTGAGTTGTGGTGATCTGCAGTATGCTGGAAAAGTCATCCGGGCAAGACATAACTTGGAGCCAACCGTCTCGCATGGTGATTATTGCCAACAGCATGCATGAATCAAACCACTATCCATGAGTTCAATGCATCAAGCAACGGCAGGGACGATAGTGTACATGCATATACTTCATGTTGCGCTGCAAGATCGATGATGCCGCATAGCCAACCTAGAGCTGCGTGGATCGGGCTTACGCAGTCAGGCGCGATCAAATCTGAATTCGAGCTATCAAGCTATAAGCTCATGTCCAACCAAAGTTGGCAGGAACTAACGCCACCACAAGAGCTAGGCCCCCCGGCCATGCATGTGCATGTGACAGCTCTGAAAATCCTTTGCGCATTTACACAAGTTGACGTTTGTATACCATGTTGACTGCATGCATGGCCGTCAGGACAAGACCACTCTGTATGCATCCAGGCGCCTCGGTTTCATACTGAATTATAAGCATCCACAGAGATCCGCTGCAATCTTGTTGCAGCGCGCCGCTGACTTGTGTTTGAGATACTTTAAGCGCACATGGGATAGTAAGCTCAATCTGCACGCTGATAATCTTTGATTCGAATGATCAGATGTTCTCGCAATCGTTAGTCACTCGCTCCAATAGACAAAAGCAACTAGTCGTACAAGGAGAAAAACGTCCTTTTCTTTGCGATTGCTGATACCTTCTATACACCTAAGTATGAACAAGTAAGTTACAGAACTGATAGTGGGATCACCAAAGCCAAACACTACCTGCTGCAGGACACCAACCATCTCAAACACATTCTGTCAAACTATATACACGCATCGACGACTTACTAACTATACCAGTTATTTTTTAGTCAAAAACTCATCCAGTTTCTACAAAGTACATTATTTTTTTAACGTGGCTGTTTTACACATACCAACCTGGTTACAGAACATGTCAGCGACGGTGCGTCTCAGTCAACGACTGTCCCAAGTGCGCGGAAAACCCAGAAAAGGCGAGGGGCCCAGAAGTCGTCCCAATGGGAGCCCGAGAGTTTCTCAGTGGCTTCTTGTGCCACTGGCTGGGGTGTCTCAACCAAGCTTCCGCTAGGAATCTCGGCTGAGACTCCCTTTGCAGTTGCTTGCATCTCCTCTGCCACTGTAGCAGACACCGAGAGTGTTTGAGCAAAGCTCGACTCCTCTACGTGGTCCGGTTCAGGGTGCGAGGAGCCCCTCTCCTTCCGAGCCTCCATAGTACCTGTAAGCTCAAAAGGGACTGAATCACCTTTGTAGGAAATGCGATTAGCGATTCATTTATACAGGTTGCTTGCTGTGGCAGGCTGATTCCCCCTTGTTTCTTGAATTCCACCTGTGCAGACATGACGGGAGACTTCCAAGCTGAGCCGTGGCAGCAAGGAAGTTGACTTGAGAAACTTCGTATCAGCTGCCGCTCTGCTGGAAGTAGCAAATTTCCAACAAGAAACTTTTTTTCAGCTTGATTGAGTAGATCAGCAGCTTCTAAGTCAAGCATTTGCAAGAATCGACGGGCTTTATTGAGGTATTTGTATGCAGACACTCATCTTCCCCTTTCCTGTGGTACCAACAACGTACAGGCACCAATCCTCCTCCAAGTTTCTTAAGGTTATCGAGTCAGCAAAGTGCATATGGATGTTGGGGGATGCCGCTATCATTGCCATCATGCCAGCTGGCGCTTTAGAATGCAGATGATTTGCAGCATATGTCTCTCTGCCACATCTGTGGCTCCTTTGCTGTTCACTTAGCAAAAATCAGCTTCGGCCAGGAGTTATTCTGAGATCATGGCACTTGCTATTCCAGCAAGATGTGGTTAAGGCAGTACAGAGGCAAAACCGGCAAAGCAAGTGAAAGAATCGAATCACAAGCGGTTGTGTCTGGTCGGAGTGGCACTGAAAGTAGGAAGACACTGTTGTGAGTATGTAAGCTTCAATCATGCAGAAAAGCCGGTCGATGGTGGCAAACCATTCCTGTAGATGGAGGCAATACTGCTGGCCAGTGCCCGATTTTGAGAGACAGAACTGCCCATGATGACATCTTAAGAATAAAACAAAAGAAAAAACCACTTTTGAGTTTTCTATTTTGACTTAAAGACCTCGAGAGCCAGAGGTCAGAAGCGTGATCAGTCCATTAGCAGGTTAGCTTGCCCACGGTGACTGAACAGACAATAAATGCATGCAAAGTGTATCGATTCCGCGTACTATGGTGCTCTCAGAAGGAAGCTAAACGGACACCACTTTGCCCCTTGACATTTGCCCTTCCCCTGTGAGTATTTGCTGTAGCGAAGCACAGCAGGTGCATACGCCTTCCCTTTCCCAAAGCGACACAAACCACTGACCTATGTTTGTTCAAACACAAGCCATCGCCCTTTGAGTTGAATCAGACACACCCAAATTAGTACCATAACGCCACAACCCTGTATACCTCTGATAGGCAATGGCCTCAGCTTTGCCTTCCATCTTTGACGTGATAAAGAGTCAAGTACTTGCTGATTAGTTCAGCGGACACTGAAGCTTTCAAGCAACCGGCTTTGCAATCCTAGAGTCAACATGAACATGTCTGGTGAGCATTGAACCATTCTATTTTCGCTTCAATACTGCACTTCTCACAGGAGGGAGGCGGAATCCAACCCTGCACTAGACGCGTTTCCTACCTGGTTTTGTCCTGACTTGAGCTCTTGGTGCAGGCCCACTCCTCAGCTTGGAAGGGACCACAGGACCGTGTTGCGGAATGGTGGCATGGCCCTGCCTGGCATGCTTCTTTGACTTCTCGTACCGGCTGTGTCTCTGGGTCTTACATACAATTGTGCACCCAGAGGACGGAGAAGCAAACCGCCGGGAAGAGGCCGGAGCTCTCAAGCAGGAGAGTTGAGTACTGCAGTCCAAAAGTGCACAACTGGCAGTGGCAGCCATGGGGAAACTTTAGCTGGACCGCTAGCTAGAGAATGGTCACAAACGCGACGATGAAAATCGGAGGGCTTCGCTGTCTTGACTTTCACAAATGGTGACCAGCCTGCTGGAACATGAATCATGATGGTCATGATGGAGGAGAAGCTGGCTGCTGTGCTCTTCTCTGAAGACTAGTCCTACAGCCTTCACACTTTGAACACGCCTGAATCAATGCTGTTGCTGGACACGTCAGGATGCGCGTTGAACCGTCCATTCTGGATATCTTGACTTATCGACGGTCAACATCTGAAACAGATATCTTGAACTCCGTATCCACCATGGCCGGGAAGTGCTCCAGCTACAGAAAGCCTGGCCCGGAGGGCAGTCAACCTAGGAGCTGGCCGGATGTTAGAATTTGACGTCATGCAGAGACGTTGTGATGGGCAAACGAAAGCTCTTTAGCCTTGGCCCTAGCTGGAGGATAATGCCATATACTTCCTAAGCTGAGAGATAGCATGGCAGGCCCGCCTAGTGGTGAGTCACAACTAGTTATAAACCCTTAGTGCAACGTCACTACAGCTATCTGACCATGGCACTCGACACTAGCTAAACCTAAAGAATCGCCCATGCAAGTGATTAAATTTCTGAGAAACTTTCACCAGATGTACGTCGCATGAATGACAATTTGCGAATCAAAGCTCTTGCACAGATGCTGGTTGCATGGCTGTGTGAGATGCGTTGTTTGCAAAAGGCTGCGTACCTTGTACTTCGTCCATGTGTAGAGCGGACAGATGATTGATGATCTAATTTCAACTTGAAGTAACAGCTTAGGAGTCCGCAGCTGTGACCTTTACTCTTACTTTTGGCATGCAACCCTTTCCGTGCTTTCCACGGACCTGAGAATCGAGTGCGAACACAAGTCGCTCTTGCCACTTGAAAGAGGACAACGAACGTGGGTGATTATCAGGAGATGGGTATGCAAACGTTTGGATGGCAAAGATCACCATAGTGCGAGCGTGTATTGTTGCGTGAGCCTGTTGGTACCATAATGATTGTCAGACGTAAGATTATTAGCATTTTCCACCGCCTGAAGCATTCAGTCAACTTCCTTCGCTTCAGCACACAAAACTAGAAGAGCTCGGTGCTGTTGAACTTGTTGTATGCTTCCTGCAAAGCAGTAAAGAAGGGCTGCAGTCAAAAATTGCTGACAGAGATTACCAAAACCCGATAAAGCACCCCGAAAAGAATGTCAGGACAATCCATCACAATCCCCGGTAATATTTTGATTGAACGACAATTGACAGCAGACTTGAGAATGGAGATCAAATTGCTGCCAGTCCCTCGCCACGAACTCAGGGTTGCCTCGCACATGAAAGCAACAACTTACCTTCAGCAGATCGAACACTTTGCCCGCAATATACTTCTGCTTGACGGTGGCCCCCTTCTGCTGGACCTTGTCCGGGTGCACCCTGAGAATCGCCTTTTGGTAGACCTTCTTCACAGAATTCCCCCTGGAGGCGAGGACAGAAAAGAGTGTGAAAAAGGTAGATTGCAGCCCTCCAATAGAAGTGACGATGAGCTGATGCACTTCTCGTAATGTGCTTGACAACTCTCCTTGTGAGATCAGCGACAGAGGCTTTCAGAGGATACATGGGCCACACTGTGCCAAACTGGCGCCAAAACCCAAAATGGACAAATACGGAGGATGGTACGAAAGATGCTTACGTGATGAGGTCGCTCATCTGCACCGGGGCCCACTCGCACTCGGGCCACAGCACCTGCAACAAGCAGAACCTCAGTATCATGCGATACATCCCTTACTGGATTGAGGATCAGATCCTTGGTGACCAATTCACACGTCAACCAACGCAGACTGTTTCTACATGTCCTTCTTGCCAACGCACTCCAGCGAGAATGCCGACAAACTTCGAACACTGAAACGTCGACAGCTTTGCATGCATGTTGCGGCGCTGTCAGTGTACAACCTTCCGTTTGCTAAACGGTGCGTTCAACATCACTTACAAATTGGAGCGTCGACAGAAGCGCTCGCAAGTTGCCCTCCTTTCCTGAGGCCCACTGTTTGATGTAGCCGCCGTAAAGCTCGTCGCATTTCTGCAAGACATGAAACGATGGTCAAAAACCATGAACAGAGGATACATTCCTTTTTGCTGCCAGCTAACCCATGCTTGGCAGCTACATTACAACTACTATGGTCAACGAGAGTTGGCTGACGTGGTGCACGGTCCGGTAACAGAAGGACGGGTTCCTTCTAATGATGATCACGACTCTATACGGAAGATATCTGCACGGATGCAAAGAAGTAGAAGATGCTCACGTGACGTTCGTCGGCCTCCGAGGCTTGCTTGTCGTCGACCTCCTGTTTCGCACGAAGCGCTGCGTCCTGTTGGAAAGGAAGAGAAGGGGTTTTTAGTGGACCGAACGCGAGCAACAGCCAGCGTTCAGCGTCTCGCGTGTTCCTAAATTGAGACAATCTCTGCATTTGCTGCCTGTGGCGCACGCAGATGGCTCAGGATCACCCAAAACAGAGCTTGAAAATCAAGAACGGCACAAAACGCAAAGGACGTAGTTTCAAAGCTGCAAACACAATCAAGGTGTTTCCAGATGAAAAAAGAAATTAAGTCGGGCATAACGACAGACGAAGATGTCACCAGCCCTCAGGCCGCGCCTTTCCCGCATTTCTGCCATGCTGCTTCAAGCCCCAAATCTTTGCAGAAACAACACTCGTGCAACAAGCCTTTCTTGTCTCAGATCGACCGCTCGCTCTTCTCCAAGCTCGAAAACTGCATGATCAAACATCGCTTGTGCACAGCCCTTCCAAAACTCTGACTCACCGCCCGCTCCTTGAGGCGCTCGGCCTTGGCAATCTTGGCCTTGCGCCGCTCCTCGCTGTCCCCGGCCTCGATGCCGGCGTCGGCCTCGGGGTCCGCCACGCCAAACGCGGAACCCCAGTCGGGAGTCTGCAAGCCGCTTAAGTCGTTTGCGGAACGCGAGCTTGGCTTCTGCTTGCTGCCAGCAAGGTCGTCCGTTGCCGAAGCTGCGGGGAAAGGAGAAAATCCTGAGCGCTTGCGGGTTAATGTTGACCTCGCACCAGAAAGCAGATTGATCTCCGCTTGCGCCTTTTGCGGAAGTTGTGATCCAAAGAATTCGGAGCTTTCAGCGCTTGCGAAGTTCGTATAAAATGAACGGAAACAGAGCGCGGCTTTTTGCTTGCTGCAGGCGAGGGAACAAGGCAGGCGATACTTCTGTTTGACGATCGATGGCTAAAAAGGAAAAAAAATTCCGCGGAATGATCCGTCGCCGAAGCTGAGGGAGAGAACCGACAACGCCAACTAGGGAGGCGCCTGTTGCAGAAGATCCAGCCTGTTGCGGAAGATCCAGCGGCTAGAAGTCAATGTGTACAGTTCAAATTCACTGGAACACAGGTCAACTACGTACCCGCCATCATGTCTAAAGTATCCGCATTTGCAATTCGCCGGCAAGTCGAAGACATGTCACGCACGGCCTCAAGGTCAGCAGCATGCAGTCGGCTCCTCTCAAAACCATTCTCTGATTCAAGAGCACTTCGATATGCAGAAGACATCGGCTAAGTTGCTTGCTTCCTGTGCATGATGCACCTTAAGAAATCCGGATTTCACGCAAAAACTTACTTCTTCTGCTCCCCGTCCCAAACAAGTCCTCGACGGACGAGTACGACTTGGGAGCATCCTGGCTGCTGTGCATGAGGTCAGGCTGCACCAGAAGAGCAAGGTAAGCTCCCATAAGAGGGCAGATCTCAGTATAAGAACACAACCGTTCGCGACAGGGCTCGAAAACGACACCAGCTTGGATACAGTCCAGCTTGGACTAGACGTCTTGCATGACACACACGACAGATAGCGAGCGAACGTTCGCCCCAGAGAAAAAACCTTGGCTTCTCCACTGCAGTCTACTAGAGAACCAGGACTCACCTCTGCGGGTTTACTGGAACGCCTCGGGGGGGCGCTAAAGAAGTCAGCCGTCTGCGATTGCGGCTGAGGTGCAGGCTTTGCTGCCGGTCGGGGGGGCGCGTTGTTGGACGGCCGCCGCTCCCGTGCCGGCGGCTCCGAGCTGGCACTCGACTTTGCTTGCTCCCGCTCCTCGCGCTGCTTGCGCTCGTAGGCAGCCTTGTGTCGGGCCTGGACAGAGATACCATCCGTTTCGGTCCTGGATCTCTTCTGCCGAGCCTGGACAGAGATACCGTCCATTTAGACCAAAAATGTCTTTGTGGGGGGCCTAGACAGGGGAGCCATCGGTTAGGCAACACATGTCCCTTCTTCTCTTAGTCCAGGAAGGCGACCTAAGGAAATTCGGCGTGTCTTTTCTAGGAGCCCTAATCTGCCGTCAATAATGTTTCAATAAATCCCGTCATTATTGTATGCATTTACGCGTATGCTTTGACAGCAATAGCATCAACCCTAACCCCTGAATTCTTCCAGCCAGTCACTGGACCGCAGCAGCGACACCGTAAGAGTCGATTGACGGTGTATTTGGGCAGGAGGGCTTCAGGCTTTTGAGGGTTGCTTGTTGGGAGGGGATGCAAACACCTTTCTATGGCCGACTTGATCCTGACAATTCCAAGGCTCCAGATTCCAAGTCAGGAACACATGAAGGGCGGAGCTGCGATTAGCCGGATAAGACCTTCCTCGAAGCTGGCAGCTCAGCGTCTGATTGACAGCGTAGCATACAAAAAGGCCCCCAAACCCATCAATTCGAGGACCTTACCTGCGCACGCTCCAGCGCAGCCGCCATGGCCGCTGCCGAGGCAGACGCCGCGCTCGCGGCCCCCTTGGTGTCCGGATCCTCAAACGTCGGCGTGCTCTCTCCTGACTGCGTCCGTGGCGTCCCCTGGTTCGACTTGTCCCCGTCCGAGCTCCGCGCGCTGTTTGAGGACCGCGAAAACCCGCTGAAGAAGCTGCCGCTGCCCTGCGACTGCGGCGGGGGGGTGGAGGTGCTCCGAGGGGCGGACGCAGAGCGCTGGGGGTCAGCGGCGGGGAACGGCGAAGCGCGGCTCTGAGAGGCGGCCTGCTGGGCCTGCAATGAAGAATTGTAATGAGAGGGGACCGAGATTGGGAAAAGGGTCTCTGTCTCCAGCTTGGTAACCCGCTTGTCTCGAGCACGCAGACTGGTATGGGACGAGTAAGGTCGCTAAGCTGATGCCCATACCAGTAAGGTCGCTAAGCTGATGACGCACAGGGCTTGGGCCTTCCGGAAATGCATCCTTGACGACTCTTGCATGCGAGGAGATGACGGAATTCATTCTGCAGAGACATAGCTAAGGGGCCTGATTCCTTCTGTTAGACTGTACTGGGTATTACACAGTGACTGACCAGCATAGACAAACTTATCGTTACAGAAGCGATGCTGCTTTGCACTGTGATTTTTGAGCAACGTACCATCTTCCGAATCTGCATCACAAGCAGCTCGGATTACCGACTCAACGACTCGTACCTCTTTGTATGAGGGGGGTGGGGGCTGCGAGCGGCGGGACTCAAACGAGGGCCGCCGTTCTTCTCCTGGCTTGCTGGGGGGCATGCGCAGCGGCGGGGGCGCCTTGGTCGGCTTCGTTCTCAGGACAATCTGATCAACAGTCAGGAACTGAGGCCCCGCACTGACTGGCGCAACGGGGACACTTTGAGCTGAAGACTCCTCTTTCCTTGAGGGCTCCGTCTTATTAGCCGACCTGCAGTCGATGAAGGGACGGGCTCAGATGGCGCTCTCTGATGTCAGGACAACCAGTGAAGCATATTCTGGATCGCGGTGGTGCGGGCATGCAGCTGCTCGGCACAGGCCGTTGATTCTAACACTCTACCTAATCTTGCAGCAGTCCTGCATCCTCGATTCCCTCCCGCTCGACTTTAATGGCTATATCCGCATATCATATGGGAGAGGAAAAGCCCAAACAACATTACGACTGCATCATCAGCCGGCCTTCTGACTTCAGCATACAGTGAGAAGCAGGCAATCAGAACACAACAACATGCACGACCTTGGCAAAGTCAATGGAGCGCGCATACCTTGCCGCGTTACTGACTGGAGCCACTTTCGGTACATCTGCAGCTTTAGCCGGAGCAGTGTCCGCAGGTTTCGCGGCCCGTCCCTCATTTGCACCGGACCGGTTTTGGCTGCTGACGGGCTTAGTCGCTGCCGGAACTGGCGCCGGCATGCCCCAGTCATCGAAGGCGGACGTCGGCGGAGCACTAGGGGCACCATTGGAAGCTGCAACCCCTGGAAACCCTCCGAACGGATCCGAGGTGGAGGACGCAAAATCGTCCAGAGGATCTGAGTCACCGTACAGATCTGGGACCTTGGGCGCGGTGCTCGCTTTTGCAGAGGGCCTGCCAACAAGCAGGGCTCAGATTGTCATTTGACAGGCTCGATCCAGTCAATGTCCGCAATGAATGCCAGGCAACTGTAGGCTGCCTTTGGAGCACAATGTCGTATGTCACAAATGAGGAGAAAGCCAAAGCCAACCAGCAAGAGGAACCAAGGACAGCAACACACCCTCTGCCAGCTTTAGCTGCGCTCTCCTCCTTAAGTGCCAAACTCAAATCGCACGTTGCCCGGACCACACCTTGAATTGGCCGGCAGCTGACAATCTAACAGATGACCAACTCTCCTGGTGAGGCAGTCCCATGTGTCATTGATCTACCATCAAGTTAAGAGAGAACCGCTCAAGAATCTGCTTGAATGACCAGGTGGGGACTAGCAAGTCCTGTCCTTGGAACACTTGAGGTACTCTGTTGTGACCAGAATGCATGTCACCTCCAATCAAGATCACGACGAGCGAAAAGCTGTTAATGCGGTCCACATAGTGTCATTTTGAGCCGACATGAATGCAAAAAGACCAGCATAGACACTACCTATACATCAAGCAACCCTAATTTTCAGCATTTGGGAAGGGGGCACTCCATGCTCTTGCAGGATTGCAAAACTTAATACATGTTCGGCTCGATCATGAGGCATGCAACCCAGTTCTCGACTCAGCATTCCCCACAAACAAGCATGGCAAGACATGATGAATACTAGATGGATCAATCCGTGCTTTTGAAGTATTTCCAACGACTTAAGAAAAGTCTCAGGGCATCCTCTCACCTTGCAGATGGCTGCCCTGTGCCCAAACCTCCTAGAATGTCATCCTCGCCGGCAGCTGCAGACTTCTGCGGTCTCGCAGCGCGGTTCGACCTCGAGCCTCCAAGATTGCCGAGCAGATCATCCATTTTGAGTCCGGCATTCGTGCTGCTGCTGGGTGTTCCCATCCCAAAAACATCATCACTTGGACCCTGTGCACTAGGAACCCCGCCTCCAAGGCCACCAAAGATGTCATCCTCAGCAACCGCGGCAGGCGGCTTTCCTACATCCCCGAACAATTTATCATACCCCGAGGTCTCTGTAGCCTCTGTCCGATTTGGACTAGTTGATGCACTCGCTGCTTGAGACAAATCTGCAAAGACATCCCTTGGAGGATCAAAGATGCCGGCAGTACTTGGAGCAGGAGCAGTCCCAAAGTTATCTGGGATATCCAATTTAGGGCCGGTCCCACCCCTTGTTGATCCAGAGCCACTTGGTGCAGGCCTGGTGCCAAAGGTTGATAAGCCAGGCCCTGCTCGGCCATTGCTGCTTGGATTGACTGGCTTCGCCGCACCCTGAGCCCGGCTCATGGGCGCTGCCTTCCCACTAGGCCGCAACCCAAAGTTGCTCTGCAGGATGTTGGCAAAGTCATCCCCCATTTCGATCGCTTCGTGTTCTCCTGTCAACAACAAAGTAGATACAAAGGACCCGTCTGTAACGTGCTGCCTTCTTTAGCAAACTACAGCGGCGCCCTGACCCTACCTGACCCACATGAACCGACTGGAACCCTCCACTGGCGTCACCAACTTCGCATGAACGCTGCGGAGGCTGACCAGCGCCGCTATCAATTGAATTGATGGCCTGCTCTGCAGCAGAACCCTAGCCCGCATGACCTTGCCTGCCCTCCAGGCCCCATGGGCGCCCTGCAGAGACGCCATATGCAGCCAGCCATAAGCCATGCTCCTGACAACTAGGGCGGAAACGAGCTTTTAACACCTTCAAGTGACGTACGGTCGGAGGCTTGGATCGGAGATCGATGATTGACTGGCAGGATCTGCGATGACGTCACACGCGGCCACTGTTGTTGTTTGCCAAGTTCCAACAGGCTTGAAGGCCCGGCCCGCTTGAAGGCCAATGCAAGACGTTTGGCCGCCATTGCAACCGTGACGAGATGGTTAAAGATGGATAAGATGGAAGAATGATGTTCATATACCTATGGATTATGTAGGATGTCCTACACGTTATGGTCTCTGCTTGGTCTATAATGTTCATGATATTCAAATATTCGAAATATGTCTCATGTCATGTTGCTCTATTGTTAGTATTAAACCGCTCAGTTTATAGAATGCCAGCCTACTAAAGTAGCCATCAGCCTCGTCGTAGGACTCATTCAAGATATTTACCCTGATGCCCAACAACACTGCAGCCGATCCATGCGGACAGGCTGCACCATGCGGACAGGCTAAGCTATATCCGCTAATTATGCCATGCATGCCGAAACTTTGATCAACAAACACCAAAAAATTGCAAATATGTGGAAAGCTGAAAGACCTAGTTCGTAATACAGCATGTGCTTTTCGGGGGATGCTTCGATCCTCCCGTACATAAGGGTTGCTTGCACAACGTCCCTCTGCTTCATTCGCATTCAAGGAGAAATCGTGGCAAGATGTGATAAATACAAGATACTGCTTTGTCAAAGGCCCATTTCCTTTTTCAAGCTTGCCAACAACTCCTCAATATCATCCCCTTTCTTCTTGTGATCCTTCTCGTTCCTCCGACCGCCTGTGCCGGGACCATCTTCTCTCTTCGAACTTTCCGGTTTCTGCTGATCCCGACTGGATTCCGTTCGCGGAGCCCCAGTGCCGTCAGCTGACGGACTGCTTTTCCGTTGTTCGGTTCGCTTTTTACTCTCCTTCTCGTCCAACCCCAACTCCTGTTCCAAGAACTCTACAAACTCCTCCCCAACTTCCTGCACAGTGCAACACACAAATCGACCTCAACCTACTCCAATTCATGGTATAAGGGGTCGACGAGATTGCTCCGCTCAACCTCGTGTTAAATCTGAACACTTCGTTTTTGGAGTTCGAGCGTCTCAGAGTTCGCAAAATGAAAGACGTATATAGACGGGTGTCTGCATAATTGTAAGACTCGCTTCCTGATTACATCATCATAGAAAAGCTGAAGTTTTCAGAGGTGCTTTCTAAGAACGTTCTTAGATAGTCACTCCTGTCAACATCGACATAAAATCCCATAAACCGAAAAGCGCTCATTCAGGGCAAAATAGCCCGTCGAGTCCATGCTCTACATATATCCAGATTATTTCACTTTGCAACCACGTATCCACAAATGATGGTCGATACCGACGGGCAAAGTCGCCAGAAAAAGTGTCACTCACCGCCATCTCCTCCCAAAGACTCTTCGGCGCTTCCGACGAACCCCGGTCACTCTGCCAACCCTCCACCTCCTTTTGCAAGTCACGAAAGAAGTCCCCTGCAATGTCAATCCAAGCACAGCTGAACTTCTCAAAGAGCGAAGAATGACAGACCGTTGGGTGAATAATAGCAGTTTGGTATCCTACAGAGCTGCAAACCAGCATCAAACGGCAGCTTCACAACACTTGGACCCGCCGGACTCCAAGCGTTTCAAAGCGAGACGCACAGGACGACAAAGCCTATGGGAGGAACAACTGAGCAGCAGCCCTGCCTGTGCGTCGCCCGAGCTGAATGACGTCTTCTGAAACGTCTCGGAAGAGATCCCCTGCAGGGAGCGCAGCGCGTGCAACTCAGCTGCCAATACAGACAAGAATCTTTCACAATTCTAAAACAACAACTCTGAGAAGCTAACAAAAAGCTAGGAACAGTGCATCATGCCCTGCGCTTACAAGTCAGCTCACCAAGCCCGTAGAACTCTTCTTCCTCTTGCTTGCCCCCCGTTGTCCTCTTCTTTTTGTATCCGAAGGGGTCAAGTGGATCCCAATCTGTAGCGCCCCCGCTGGGGAAGCCCCAAGCGCCGCCCCGTAACTCAGAATCGTACTGGGACCGGCTCTTCGAATCAGACAAAGTGGTGTACGCTTGCTTGATTTTCACAAACACCGCCTCGGCATTTTTCTGCGGGCCACAGGAAGGGGGAAAATGTTACACCTTGCAACTTCCTTTTGAGATGGCAGTCAGGAAAGTGCCCTACTTACAGAAGTGGATTGGCAATGAAGACCAATTGGCCAGGATCTGAAGGAGTTCTTGCAAGTCCAACCTTGTTACAGGTTTATGAACGCAGTGCGAAGCAAAAGAAACTGTCCACTCTTCCTGCCCCAAGATACCGATTAGCAATTAAGAACCTTTCCTTCTTAACTTGAGGCCACCACCACCCTTTGAAGAGGGGCTGAAGGAGATGGGGCGAGGAAACTTGGAAACTTTGGAATATAAGAAAGACACGCACCTCCTTGTTTACATCTGGATGGTACTTCAGTGCCATCCGGCGGTACGCTTTCTTTATCTCTTTGTCATCTGCACTCTCAGGAACCCCCAGAAGTTCATAGTAACTTTTCCCATCGCTGTCCCGGGCCGCAGCATGAACACGCCAATTTCTCCGTCGCCCCCCTGGATCGATGCTGGCATTCTTCCGTAACAGAGGCCCCCGGCCTTGTCCTCTTCTCCGCAAAGAGAGCCCCCCCTTCAGATCAATCGGCACCAGCGATTCAAGATTGCTCAAACGGCTGCGAGCTGGACACCTTCTCAACCCACTTGAGGCGAAGTGTCCACAAGTAGAAGGGGTACCTTCGAGAAGGGGAGCAGCAGAGCAACTCTGAGGAAAGCCTGAGTGGACCCCCCCCCTCAACTTGTCATCGGCTTGCAGTCCTGCATGCAGGGTAGCTGTTGAAAGCCGGCGCCCTGCTGTCTGTGCCGGGGTGACCCGCCCGGTCCGCTGATAGTGAGGGCACGCTACTGTGGTTGCTAAAGCTGCCCCGGCTTCCCAAATAAGTGCTGCTGTGCACCCCATCCAAGCAACGGTTGCAAGCCCTGAAGCTGACGATCTGCAACTCCCTGATGGTGCGTACTCCACCTTCTGAGGGAGGTGGCCTCCTGTCCTGCGCTGCAACGCCTCCTCATTTGAACTTGAAGAGCTCTGGAGTCTAGAGTCTAGACCACTAGTACAGGTAGGTAGAGCAGCTCTGCGTTAACCTTTGGGTTATGTCAGTCAGGCAATTTTGAGAAATAGACTCAAGAGTCCTCATTTACAGGGTCACAGCCACAAGGTTAACGGTGACCATGGGCTGATCATGTCAGCGAGGCGAACTTGAAAGCCTCACCTCAGGCTCAGGCTCAGGGGGTCGAGGAGAAAGTGAGAGCTGTCAAAAGTCGGGGGCGCTTCTGCTGGTGACAAACACCACGTATCAGACAAACACAACCCAGGCCCAGGGTCTTGCATCAGTAGAGGGTTTTGGGTTAAACGATCATTTACCACGTGATACCTGCAATATCTTTGTTGACTTTGTGTTGGGCAAGGTGGTATGCGTGGCCCGGCTTGACGCCCTAACGGCTGGACTTGTTTGATTATGTAGGAAGCAAGATGCCGCTGAATGTCCTCACTGGGCTTTTTAGGGGCATTGGCAGAGCTGTGCCTAAAACAGGAAGGAACCAGCTGACGGGCAAGTATGGAAACAAAAACTATTACAAGGGAAAGGGCGCAAAGTCCATGGGGACGCATACTAGGAAAGGTGAGCTTCTTTTCGATTGCCGAAACAACTGGTGTTGGGGTGTGGGATGATTTAGTGGTGAAACCAAGCACCACTTTCATAAATCCCTTCAATCATCAGAAGCGTTTGCTCCCTGAATCCTTTCAACGTCAGTTTGTTGGTTAGAGCAATGTGTACTCTGGAAAGCTTAGACCACCTCCAAGTTGGACTTTTCATGGTGCTGGGACTTTTTAAGAGTCAGACAGATCTTCTCAAGCAGTAAAGACACTCTCTACCGACGCCCAGAACTGGCGCGCGAGTTGTGAGCTTGGCTGATTGACCGAAAGAGGGTACACAAAGGGGTTCACACTGTTGAGGATTAAGGAGACCAAATGGGCCACTTGAGTAAATACCCACTACCACCACCCAACATTACACTGAGGTTTGTTGACCGGTGTAAACAAGGACAAGGTCTCTTACTCGATGTGCGCAAGCAACATAAAACATGCCACCAAATCTCAGCGGGACCTTTAGTCCAGCTTGAGGGGCACTAAGAAGTTCTGGCCGCACTAACTTAACATAGTCAAATGGGCTATATTCCTTTTCTTTTCTTGCTGGTCGCTGGTGTCCCTGCCCCTCTCCTTACTTAGTCTTGTCTTGGGGCAGGATCCGGACCAGGCTATCAGTGACCGCCCGCCAGTATTTGGGGTGTCCGTTATGATCAGCGTTTGCCAAGCTTTCTTCGGTCGAGCATGGCGATCAGCAAGCAGTACATCAGAAGCACACTCACTGAAGCCGTTCTATGGCAACTGCGTCGCTCGTTTGCTGACAAGCCTGAGAGCCCGTCGACTTGCCCACCTTCTCCTTCCCTGAACTCCGTAAAAGTTTCGACTTGCAACCTTTCTTCAAGCCTCCACATAAAGGGGATGCTGACGAGGAGTTCACTTCATTGATAAGCCGAGAGTGACCAAGATATTTTGGACGACTTGGGCGCCAGTCGTGGCATCACAAATATGCATCTGGTGGCAAGGTGTCCTCGACCATTGAAAGGAAGTTTGCCAAAATGGTTCCACGCGATCTGACCATTTCCAGACTCTTATCAATCTGACTGTCTGCTCTATTTCGTAAGATGGCTTTCCCACAGTTTCGTCGTACAGGAGGAGCGCCAGGCAAAAATGCCAGATCATTATCGCCGGGTGCTGAAAACTGGAAAAACGCAATCTCATGAGGTCGTGTTCGAGTTGCAGGTGGCTATGTCATCCAGAATTGGAAAGTTCCAGAATATGTTGTCCCTGATCTTACAGATTTCGAGGTGAGCGTTCATTGACTGGGTTCGGGTGGTATTCATAATCAAAGGCTCACTGCTCCAGTCAGAATCTGTTGTTTGTCTTGGATCTGGAGGGAAGTGTGTAAACCTTTTAGATATATGCGGTCCTGTGCTTACATAGATGTCTTTCAAAGCTGGTCGACCCGCTTCTTGTCAACTTTTTACATGCTTTTTGGAACCGCCTACCTTCAGAGTTTCGTCATCTATAAGAGCTGTCACAGAAATTTACCCCGGTACCATTAGTCATCAACGCTCTGCTAACATGAATTCGGCTTTTCTTGCAGCTAAAGCCTTACGTCTCACATGACACACCAAAATTAGAAGTTTCTAGCGGACAGGGCTCGAAAGATCCACAAACTTGATTTAAGTTGACTGATTATCGTGTGCCATAGATCCTGTTGGTCGAGCTTCATAAACAAATACACTTAAGAGTTTCAGTCGTATCCAATAGGAATGATAAGACGACTTAAATTCTAGCACCGAGCTAATCTTCGACCAGTGGTCCTACCGCAAGGTGGCATAACCGTCTGCAACAAAGTGCAAATAAGCCGATTTGATCGTCAACTTGGTTATATAGTATACCTGCATGGCATTCCGTCCGCGTCATGTTGATTAAATGCATGTCGATCATACCGTCATCCTACACATGTGCCGCCATGCAGTGCCTAGCACATGATGCACTTGCTCAAGCCTAGCAGACCTGGATTTAAGACATGCATGGGCGATCTGTGCTCGGTCACACTAAGCATGCAAGCTCTCCGGCGATGCAGCAAATCACGTTTAGGCAGGGCCGTGGGCCGGCCAGCGTGCGGCGTGTGTTCAATCAGCATATAGGCATGATTGACGTGGACAATCTCAACTTTGAATGGAAACGGTTACAGGACTTACGAAAATGCTGCCTGACGGTCTTTGGACAGGCGGCTTGCCTAAAGATCATCACTCGTGAAATTCTTCGACCAGGAGGATTCAAACCACATGTAGGCACATGCGACGACGATTGAACATTGAGGAACGTGACCAGACGGGACAAGTAAGTTCGAATGATCGACGTTGCAGAACCAATGTCGATCGTGTCAGACGCCCTGTTCGGAGATTCCCCATTGTCCAACTCGTCATGCAAAAGCAACCGGGTGCTCTTAAAATGCTTTCGACTCAACGCTTTGCTAGCCTCTTCCAAGCTGACGTCAGCCAGATTGAAGAAACCCTTTGCATACTTATGAACCTGTTCACCGAACTTCCCCTTGGTCTCGAAATGCTCCCTCAACTTGCAGAGAAAGTCGCCATGTGCTCGACCCTGCAAAGCTCGAGAAGTAAACGCAATCAGCGAGTTGCAAGAAGTCTTTCGTCAAACCATCCGGAGCTTTTTTGCAAGGAACAAGCTGCTCTGCGGCTCTTGAGACGACAGTTGGAGATACTTTCTTGGAAACTCCTGACCACGTCCAGAAGTAGCCTCAATTGCCTTCTTGGTTACTACTGACCATGTAAGTCACAATTAGTCCGTTATTCAAATGCCACACGCTCGCATTTTGTAGCAACTTTCACAAGAAGGATGGCTATCGCTTTCAGATTGCTCCCTCCGCAAGAGCGGTTGTCCTGATCCCCTCCCGGTAAAAGATTGACTGGTTAACATGTCAAATTCACTTCAGGACTCACAATCGGCACAGGTTCCGAACCACTTGCAATGAATCCTCCTTCAACACTAACTTCGACCACTACGTGGTCTAAAACAGCTGAGTGATCAACGACGCGGAAGCAGACGAGGCCCTCCCGCGACAACGATTCAAAGCGATCCGATCCTAGATATCTTTGTTATCCTTTTCGCCAGGAACGCTCTCACGTTCGCTGTCTCCCATAGGGCATCAATCCAGGTCCTGAAAGATGACGCAAAACATGGATCCAGAATGCAGCCTTGCCTCGATGAGCTTTCAGCTTTCCAACGTTTCCTCTCGCCGTCCTTCAACGCCAAACAGATTGCCCCGACGACTACTATAAGAGATAGAGTAGGGCTGCTCACCTTTCGGTAGTCTGGTGCCCGATCCGGATGTCGTAACAGGTCCATGTTTTGGTCCTGGTAGTCCCACAGGAACGACGTGTGGTGGAGCCACCGCAGCTTGGTGATGGACTGAGCGTTGCCCCCAAACTTCCGGTTCCCAAAAACGAAGTCTGGAGGACGGCCACAAGCACAAGACAGTTTGAAAGCGTGTCTCTGTCTGAACTGAAAACAGGATCCCTGTCTTGTCCGAAACCAGGACACTGTTGATCGGACATGCTTGGCTAAGATTATTCCAGGAACATAAATTGAAAGCGATTGCGTATCAGGAGATAGTAACCCGGCGCTACAGCCCAGGTGACCGGTGTCAAGATGCGGTTGCCTGATCTTGGACCAAAAAAACCCCGGATGACGTACGAAATAGGTCAGGCAGCATGCTTTGGTTAGCTGTTTGATAAAAGTTAAAAAATTCCTAGCTCACACGAAACTTCAAGCGAGGGGGTCTTGGCACAAATTGTAGAGCGCCAGACAGAACCATATCTTTTGGGACAAGCCTTTGATACAATGAAGCCTTCAACATCAATGCTCTTTTATTGAGAAGCCCACAAAGGCATCACGCTCCACCCCTTGACTCACCATTCTCCCTCAATCGAAACGCCTCTGCGCCAGGCTTCGCAAACACATGCTGGTAGAAGGCCTCCATGAAAGCCATGATGTCCCGGGGGTACGGGCGGACATCCGGCATGTCATCCTGCTTCATGAGCAGTGTTGCAAAGAGGGTGTCCTTGTCCACCACCACAGTGCCCCCGCCGGTGAAGCGCTTGATGACGGGGATACCGACCTTCCGGACCAGGGGGATGTTCAGCAGAGTGGGGGGCTTCCTGCAATGGGGGAGAAGGAAGGTAAGGTTGCTAACAGAAAAGAGATTGCCAGATGTGCCAGTGCTTGACATAGAAGCTGATAAGGTGACCACGTGTAGATGTACTTGTTGAGGGACAGCTTGAAGCTGGCGACTGAGCTTGATGAAGCGTCAACTCAAGCAACCTTGTCCAGATGGAAGTAGATGTGCCTAAATGCGTTTGCTACTGGGCCAGATCTGTTGCACCACTATCTTTCGGGCCAGTGAGTCCCATTGGAAAGTTTGATGTCTCACTAGCTCAATGCCGATGATCTCAAAGGACAGTGCCTCCAAGTTTGCCCGGTTGCCAAGCTTCAACGAAGTCACCCCTTTCAAAAATCAGCTTCCAAGAATCTTATCATTCTTACCACCACTGAGATCAGAGCTGCTTCAGAGCTCACCCTGAGATTCCCATCACAATCGCTGGCTTCTCGGTTCCCTCATTGAGCAACAGCCAGTTCCGGTCATCTGTGCGCAGCAGCGCTTCTTCCAGCTGCAGCATCCTGAAAATTGAGTACCCCCTCAGCCGCACAACATTGACCAGTGGCCGCACCTCCGCCATTGTGAGAGCAGCCGTTTCAGAGATAGCAGACTCGTAGCTGCCCCCCTCATTCAACTGAACTAAGAAAAGCTGACACTTCACTGTCAGCTACAAAGCACAGGCCAGCAGAACAGGTGGCATTGATCGCCTCTCAATTAGCTGTGGCCTTGCTAGGATCCCTGGAATCAGAAGCATTCAGTGAGACGAGTGAGGAAGCAGCAATTGAGATTGAAAGGAAGAAAAGGGCGCCACTGCACTAGCTGGTCTTTCAGGAACAAAAAGGGAGGAGGTATTACTACTTTCAGAGAAGCTAGTGAACAAAAGAATGAACGCGGTTGGGTATGCCGATGCTACTCGACATGATCGGGTGCCTGGGGGACTGATGAGGTCCCACCGAGAATTGAACTCGGGCATTTGGATTCAGAGTCCAACATCATAACCGCTAGATCATGGGACCGCGACGTAGCCAGATGCGCCTTCTAAATAACTAAAGCAAATAACTACTCAAGTGGCTCTGAACGAGAACCGTCGATAAGCGGACTGCTCCAGTCTTGGAAGGTCTCTGAGGTGCGAAGTTGCTGCCCAGTCTCGATCTGAACCGTCCCTGAGCCTGAGGGGACTCGGTCGATGACACGTGGATCCGGTCGACCACATGGACACATGGCCAGCATAAGTAGACTAGGACCATGTTCTGGGCCGCCGCCGGGCGTCGTGTACCAGAACACATGTGCAAGGGCGTCCGGAACTCCGAAAATTGGCCCTCGCTGGGGGGGGCTGGAGGCTGGTGGGGGCAACATCTAGGGGCAATTTTACCCCTAGGTAAAATCGGGCATTCGAAGGAGCGGGGAGGGCTGGAGGCCGGTTTTATTTTCGGAGTTCCGGACGCCCCTGCAGACATGTTTTGACCCCGTTTTGACACGATGCCCAGGCCCGTGACCGCGGACTGGGTATGATAGTGAGGGGTCGCAACCACCATGCCATTTGTCTCATGTGCCAGGTACAGCGGCTGCTCTACAGTTCCCTTTTTAATGCCATGGCAACTGAAGCCCGCTTCGTACAATCCGAAGCACACTACTAAAATGTGTTCAACGTCAAACGTTAGTACAGCAACCCCTCTAATAAAGTTTGCATGAAATCATCAATATGGTGGCAGCCAATCCATTGGTTTCGCCGCTAGCGGTGGCTTTGAGAGTCGTTATAGCGCACCTTACGCATGACCGTGAGTTGCAACAACAAGATTGCGAGGTACTACTGTCAAAACGTACGTGCAGCCTTTGAATACCAATGTATGGTGATTATTGCACTCGGCTTCAGCAAAAGGGTATCAGCAACTGTAAGCGGGCATGTTCTTCAATAGAGTAAATCTCCGAAATCCTGAAGACGTCAAAGCTGGCTTGACGAGATTCCATCATCAGCTTATATTGCAGCACCTATGTAACCTGTACACAGACCTTCTATTTACAAAAATGTGATACACAGACATACCATATCTTCCCGATGATACCCCCCTTCGCATCAGACCTGTCACTGCGGGCTACCATGACCAGCGCTACTCTCACTGCGCTATCTAGTCATTCTTATCGTGCCTTGCACCGTGGACCGTTAACTTCGCGTCAAACGTTCGAAGTCCCGCGGGTGACAGTCTTGATGCGCGGTTTGCAACCCGTCACCTGAGCCGCTTGTCTCGACTCCTCTCCCGATCGGCTGCCCGGCCATCTTTCGACCAATCTCCTCTAGCGTGTAGCCCTTCGTCTCGGGCATCAAGAAGAAGACGAAGAACCATGCGATGGCGCACAGTCCCGCGAACATGGTAAACGTCCAGGGCAGGCCGATGGACACCCGCAAGATTGGAAAGGCCTGCGGCAATGGATGACGAGTCTGAGACTGGCGCTCAAAAGCAAAGTTTTGCCCGGAAGTGCAGCGACCAGATAAGGTCGAGTTGACAGCAAGGATGCTGATGGCCCATTTGGACAAGATTGCTGAGACAGTTTGTGAACAGAGTAGCTGTCTTTTCTACTTGCAAACACATTCGCCAGCGACCACTTTCAGATGTAAGGTAAGCCGAAGCGAGTCACGGTCGAAAGCTAGCGAGCTTCTCCCTGGACGCTTATGACTTTCTCGGATCGTTCTCGGACCACATTTCCTCAGTCAGGCAACAAGTCCAGGGGTCTCGTCAACGGCCTAATCCGCACTACCAGGCATGCAATCCAGGGGATTGCCTAGCGCGCACTAAATCGCGCTCACTCTGTCAACACCCGTCGCAACCAAGCAAAACTTTCTGCTGATCGCACGCTCGCCAGAAGTACAAAGAACAGACACGTGGACGACTGAGAACCCCGCCCTCACCTCGGTCATGATGATGTTGGACACCCAGTGCATCGAGAAGCAGAGGCTCTGCCCTACGCCACGTGTCTTCATGGGGAAGATCTCGGAGATGACCACCGTAGGGACTGGGCCCAGGCCAGTGGCGAATGCGCACGCAAACAGCGATGTACTGCAGGGGTGGGTCTGAGAACGAGTCAGGCTTAGGTCGTATAGGACCAACACTGAGTGACTCTACAGTGCTCATGAAAGTTCTACATGGGAATGACAAGCTTCTGAGACCGACTCGGATGCAAGTAGCGAGCTATTTCGAGGCGGCAAATCTTGGACATCACGAGGCAGCAGAATTGTAGTAAGAACATCTGAAAGAAAGTGACCACGTCTTCAAACATACAGCGGCCCGAAAGGCCGCTCTTGCCAATAATCTGTTCCAACTTCTTACGTATCGCCCCCGCTTGATTCTCACCGTCCTTTGATCACCAGGCCAGAGGATACCGTCAGCACAAAGCAGACGGATCGCCCTTACCTTGCGAGAGACAGCGCCGCGCGCAGCGGCCCTTTCTCGAGGTACGCCGACGTCAGCGCGAGCGTCAGCAGCGACGCGATGTTCACGGGGATGCTGGAAAGGAGCATGACGCGGCGGCCGGCGGTGTCCATGAAGCGGAACGCGAGCAGAATGGCCGGAAGCTTCATGGAGAAGGAGCACGCGGTCGCGAGGATCGCGGCGGGCTTGAGGCCGATGTGAAAAGGCCCCCCCGCGAAGAGGGACGCGATGCCGGACTCGCGCAGGACGACGGGGGTGTAGTACAGGACAACGCTGATGCCCGACAGCTGCGGGGGGAAGGGAAGCAGTATTTCAGGAGTCGGCTTTCGTACTACAATGAAGACGATATGCGACCCAATTTTTGGAACAATGGCCTTACATGACCACCCCCTGATCCCGTTCCAGGTATTTTGCGAGGTCCGTGATCTCGTTCCACGTATTGATCTGTTAATAGCAGGACGTTTAGGAGATTGATACAAAGCCAGGCGAAGACAAGAGCATCCAGCAGCAGAAGCAAATGACCATCGTACAAGCGGCTGCCACAAACCAGTCTGCTCGCCGAAACCACAAAACAATGTTATGCGGATGGGGGCTGCATGCTCCAGTGAGTTGAGAACAAACACAAACGCGTCGCATGCGAAGAAGGGGCGACTTATGAAAAGGTAACATCATCGAGGAGAAAGCCAACGAAAGAGCAATGGCTCCCGAAAGCAACCGCACGACACAGAGACGGAAAGCCGAGAAATCAGAACGCAATCAAAACGAGCTCCTGTCGGAAAGGGCAAGTGTTGGAAACTCAACGAAATTTTCCAGCAGAACCGAGGACTGTCACGACCACGAGAAACAACAAACGAAGAGGTGTCGATCGTTCTTCCCGACTGCGTTGTTGTGACGTCACATCTACAACCTACCTCCCCGCAACACGGGGGCTGGACTGATTGACCAAACTCACCTCTTGCAGCAGCTTCAGCCCCATGCCCAGCCCCAGGGCCCGCCAGCTGGCCCACAGCGTGTCGCCCCCGCTCGGTGTCACCATTCCTTCCTCGCCAACTTCTTTGGAGCCGACCGCTGCCGCCCCGCTGTCGATCTCGTCCTTTTCTCCTTTCCCTTCCTCGTCGACGCCTTCCAATGCCCCCGGGTTTTGGCTCGAGTACCCTCCTGGAGCGTTGGTCCCACCTTCCCTTGGAATTGGTTCATCGCCCCCTCGAGCTGCGAGCCCGTTTCCAATCCCCTGATTCGCAGATTGCACCCCTTGTGTCTGGTCCGGCCCTCCTGACTGCGCTGATCCAGTGTGCGCACTCCCTGTGCGCACCTGAGCGCTCGACAGGGCCTCGCCGTTTGACACTGAAACCCCAGAGCCGCCCAGCGTGGTGACTGCGAGGCCAGGTTGTGCCAGGGGCATGTCGAGCTCCGGCCCCGGCAGGAGGCCCTCCTCCAAACCGCCTGACACCTTGCCGTGTTGGCAGTCGAGCACGATCAGCGCCAGCTCGTCTGAGAAGAGGAGAATGCACCTCGTTCGATATCCAACATGGACCAAATTCCACGCGTTTGGTAAGGAAGCAATCATCAAGTCAACAAGAACCAACATGGACTCGGCTTTTATGCGTATAAAGAGGAAAGCAATCAGTAACTCAACATGAACCAACATGGACTCAGATTTATGCGTTTAAAGAGGAAGGCAATCAGTATATCAACAGAAATCAACATGGACTCGGATTTCATGCATGTAGAGAAAAGAGCAGATCCTTACGATGAACTAGCTTGCAAGGGCACTCCGCGGGTTTGTAACGCTCGTGGGTCACTCGAATCATGCTTCAATTCAGGGCAGGAACATTACGACCGGACTCGAGTCACTCCCTCCCTGTCATTCAACGACTCTTGATGACTGTGCAACTTCGACGTTGCCTTGTGACAATCTCACAACACCGTCGAGCATAAAGCAAGTTTGACTACCCGACACAAACAAATACCACAGGTACGCAAACTTCGCCAACCATCCCCTCACCAGAGATGTCTGCATCGTCGCCCCGCAGCATGCGCAGCGCCCGCGCGGCCTCGTCCTTCCTGCCCGCTTTCACGAGCCACCGGGGGGACTCGGGCGGGAAATTGATGAGCACCAAAAAGATGGCGGCAGGGACGCAGCTGAGCCCGAGCATGAGGCGCCACAGGGGGGCCGAGGAGATGCCCACGAAGAAGTCGGCGAAGTACGAGAGGATGATACCAATGGTCACCGCCAGCTGGAAGGGGGGTTTGAAAGGGAAAGTCAGGGAACGATCAACTTGCTAATCGAAACTGGAACAGGGGGGAACAGGGGACTGACGACCTTTCAGAATCTGGTGGTGATGACGGTGCTGTCATAGGGGATGCTGTGAGGAAGTCTGAGCTGAGAAGTCCAATGTTAAGCCAGCAGTTTTGAGACAAATTTTATAATGCCCACTATTCATGGTGGATTCGTTCTGGATCCTTCGTCTTGTTGATGACTCTTTCGTCAGGGGTTGTAGTCGAGCTACCTAAGACCACAAATTTTCGAGGCAGAGCTGATACAACATGACCTCCTCCTAGGAGTTACAACTGGATTCGTCCCCAAGGATTGCAACCGATTTGACAGCAAGATGCCAAGCAAATGCGCCACAGAGCGAACGCAGCTCCTTTCTCCAACCTTGCAAGCTTGTGGACCACTTTGAAACTGGTCCTAGGGCAGAAATGAAGACCAATCAACAATGTTAAACTCTCAGCTCCGTTCCTAAAATTCCATTCTTGGATCTCACCTGCGGCATCGTGTTGAGACTGCCCCGGATGAGCGCCGGAGCGCACTCTGCTATGTACAGCGGAAGCACGGTGGATTGCAGCCCGATCGCAAGCCCCAGGAGCGCTCTGCCAGCAACTAAAACGGTGATACTTGGCGACCATCCAAGGAGCGCTCCGCACCCAAAGAAGATGTACCCCGCAATCACGAGCGTAGTTCTGCGTCCCAGAAAATCGGCGGTCGGGCCGGCCGCAAGGGTGCCGATGAGTGCGCCAATGAGGGATGACGACATCTGAAAAAGTGGTCCGGTGGGGCATCGAGAACCGGGCTTTTGTGAAGGTAAACAAGGATGCCCAGGCTCTTGACAGAAGATTGGCCAATTGAAAAGGAGGAGAAAAGGCAGCGAACGAATCTGGACTTCAGATTCGAAACGACACAGCTGCTTTCCTAAGAACCGGAGGCTTGACCATCCAGTCAGGTCCTAGAAAGTCCCTGCTTTGATGCACCGCAAAGCTCAACTTTATAAGAAAACAACCAGAAATTCTTTTGAAAGACCAAACTTTCCAAGTTTCGAAAGCTTGAGCATTATCCACCCTCACATGCAAAGCAAAAATGCCACTTCAATACAGGTGCTTCAAAAGCACGCCGTATCAACAAGATATCTGCATATGGGGAATTTGACCACCCTCAGTTCAACACGGCATTCATACATGTCTTCCAGATTCATGTGCCAGCTTTCCGATAATCCAACGTCAGAGATGTGGAGCTCACCACCATGCCAATCACTTCCGGAAACTTTTCCAGCTGGAAATCCGCCACTATGTATAAGAGCGCCCCCCCGATGACCCCCATGTCATACCCCGCCAGCACCTGTGCGCCTGCCGCACACAGCACCACGTACCACACCCAGCCCTGCGCCCGGCCCATCACTCGCCGCTGCTAGTTGCGCGGCACACCACCAGTTATCAACCCTAATTAGGGTTTGGTTAAATGCTGAATGCCAGATTCAGCCTAGCATCGGTTAAATTTGAGAATCTACAGATGAAAAGTGGAAGAGCCAGAACGGAGAATGTCAGACGCGCAGCTCAGTCAGAGACCCTCGCCAACATGACGTGATCTTGGTCAGAAACTTGTGAAGGGAGGTGGTGCAAGTCCCGACGGGGCGGAACAACGTTGCGGCGCAAGACAGCTGTCCAATGGATGATTCAGCCCATGACCCATCACGTGTACTCTGAGCTCCACCATGCACATCGCCTTGTTAGCTCCCTGTCCAGGTCAACCATTGGCAGACGTAAAGCAGCGTAAGCTGGATGGATTTATCAAGTCCTTCGAATCCATCCGGCGGCGGTAGCTCAGTCAGCCCTGTGGGCTGTAGCCAGGGTCGCTAGCTCGGCCTAGAGTCACGGTACACCCACGAGGCGGCGCATGGCTGGCTGCATGTACCTACCATACGAGCCCCAGAACCAAATCGGGTCCAGAAGTGGATCGGGCTGAGCTAGAAGTGGCTAGAAGTGAATCGGTTTAGGCATTTGTTACCTTAATCCAGTCTACGCCGATCGCCGATCCATCAAGTTGTTTTGCTCACTTCGATAACTCTCGTGTGACCTAAGAGCCGTGTGACCTAAGATAGGCACCCGGGGGACGGGTGGGGTTGGTATGGTGGTTAGGGTGGGTTGGGGTGCGGAGCGGGTGATTATTTGGGTTAGGTGTTTTAGTTTGAAGTGCCCGGGTAACTTGTATCTTAGGTCACACGCCCGTTATCACACGAGAGTTACCGGTATGTTTTGCTCTTTTCAGGCGAAACGCACAATCTCGAAATGGCTGGGGGACAAGCGACCAGGCTGTCATCATCGTCCATCCTGTCAACGTCAACAAATTGACGGCTACGATTCGTCCTCTCCGGCGCAAGAGAGGAGGCCCAAGCTTAATTAATTAAGAGTCCGGTCCTGGTCGCTAGCAGCTAATGCCCAAGTGCACTCTCAGACTGGCTTCATTAGGTGAAGATCGGACGGCTGTGACAGCGTTTCGGCCATCTCAGAATTGTGCGTTCCGCCTGTTTTTGGCCAAAATCGAAGGCTTTCAGGGCTGCAAGGATCTCCCCGGGGCCAAATCAAAATGCGACTGCTGCCCCCGATGGGGTTCAGTCAGACAGGATATGTGCAGAAAACCGATTCTTAAATGGTCCATATTTGGTCTCAGCATTGCAAATAAGCGCGCAGAAAATAAGGTGAGCCGGTATATGGTCTCGTACGGTAGGTACCTACCTACCGGTATGTACGGTTCCTTCCTAGGTACCGTATTTGCGGCCGAGCATCTTGCTACGTGGCAGCTTAAGTTTTGTCAACTGAATCCTGATAGACTTCGTTGATTTTGGGATACACCGGGATTATAGAAATCACAGGTGGGGTCCCACTCACAGCCAATGGCAAGAGACACCGTACGTAGGGGAAAAGAAGAGAGAAAAGAGAAATAAATAGGTGGCAGCAAAAAGAGAGAAATTAGAATATATGACCAGACTTATAAGGAAGTATCCAAGTATTACCCGGATATCAAATGAGCCCCAGATGACCGGTTACCGTACGGTTGGCACACGGAGCATTTGAAAACCGATTATTATTTTGAGGTACTTTACAGATCCCCCAGCCTGCCGCCCATCGATCTTCTGTATCGGACGGTTGCAAACATATTCTGAATTTCAATGACGGGGTTTTCGCGTCACTATCCGTACACTTATAGTTGGCCGGCCTCCCTCTTGATCGACACGCGGCAAAATTAACACCGTCGATATTTGGACATGCGGCATTCTGAGTGGGACCAATAAAAGAGGATTTTGTCCGGCGTGCATATGCCCACTTGGTGATTCCGTACGTCTTTCATCCGTCACAGGTAAGATGAACAGAAAGTAAGCACTCATTTTCCACAAATCTTGGTTTATCCTACCGGTAGGTACGGCACGACTGCCGAGGTAACTTCACAGGAGGGTAGATTCACCGAGTCGGAAACGAAAGCTGACGCGATGATCGAGTCATGATCGCTTTCTGGATGCAGAGAGAATGGTGGCTGGTCAGCTGGTGTGCTTCTGCCACAGCTTCCGCCCCATCCCTTCGTACGCCAAGAACCTGGCCGAGTGCAGCTGCTTCCGGCCCTTGGCATTGGCGTTCTGTGCTGTGGTGAAGTTCTCAGCACGGCCATGCATATGCACTAGAAGAGGTACAGCTACTAAGTATATTTATACGTGGATCATTCATAGAAGCCACGATGGTTTGAAGTTTGAACCTGCTTCCAGCATCAATCAAGCTGAAATCCTGTTGGTGGTGGCAGCTGGGGAGGCCGCTGCGAAGCCGGGAAGACGCATCTTTCTGCATGGTTGATGCGTGCCGTGCGGAGTTGCAGGATTGAGTTGTGTGAATGCCCTCGCTTCCTCCGTACCGTACTTTTGTTCGCTTGAGTTGTCTTACAGCTGTTGTTGTTTGAGTAAGAGATTATGCACTTGCTGCAAAGGGTCTGAGCACAGAGATCCATGGACACCACTGGGAGCCTTGCCCTTCAGGGCGACAATTCCTTTGAGAGAGAGCATGGGGGGAGGCGCTCTTATGATGATGCCGTGGAGGGGTTGAATCCATTCCGGGGGGAGAAAACGACGAATGCAGAGGGAGAGGATGATGATGAGGCGCTGCTGCGAGCGGCGCTGGAGCAGCTGCCAACGGGGTGAGAGAGAAAAACAGTTCCCATACCACTTCTTCCTGGGCAAAAGGTTCGAGGAGTGCGAAAATACAGTGGCCTGAAGAGCTTGTTGAAGTTGCTTCATTGCTGATACGGGTAGACCAGAAGAAGCTCCTTCAGCATGTGCCTGGCTTCTCTTGAGAAGACTGATGCAAATACCCTCTGTATAACATGCAATCTAGAGCAGGATCAAATCCTGACATCCCTTGTGTCAAGAACAAGCAGATTGTAATAGAGGCAGATAGCATGTTATTTGTGGAACTTTAAAGTTTTGAAACAAGACTAGGAGCCCAGGCTGGATCATCATCTCAATGAGATGATTAGGAAGGCGGCCAGGAAGGCGATTGCTGGCATTCTCAAGAATGCTCGTTTTGAGCTCATCTTAACAGAAGGAAACAGCAGCTGCTTCTTGATACTTGACCACCTTTTTGTGATATCATAATGAGTGTTGGGAAAAGTTGGTGTATCAGGGCTCATGTATCATAGCAGTATCGATCTGTCTGGTCTGGAGGGCCAACATATGGATCTTTTCTGGGTCTTGGAAGGGCTGCTCCAGTTTTCACTGCAAGCCGTGCTTCTGCTCTTAATTGGTTGGAATAAGTTACTTGCTTCCGGCCCCATCCTCTTCCAGGTCCCCAGAGGCCCGAAAGGTTGTCATTCTAACTTGCAAGCTTGACATCACCTTTGCCTTTAAGGAACTCTTATGGTATTTGATCACTTCCCCAGTAGTTAAACAGGACAAAAGGCAGTGTCGAACCCATCATCGCTCTGCACGATCAGAACTCACCACATTTTATTGTTTCTTGTCAGGTTGTAGATGCACAATGAGCCCTAACGAAACATTCTGTAGATGCACAATGAGCCCTACGAAAAGAGCAGGCGTTTCTGTGCCATGAGCCCGCTTCTTAGGTTGCGACAAGTTCACATCTTAGTGCCAGGGATTGAAGAAACACGCAACTAAGCTTCTGTTTCCCCCACAGCATTCGGGCGCAGACTGCTGTGGTTGGAAAGGAGCACAGGCCCCTTTTCGACCCCACCCGTGAGGCGCTTGTCAAGGAGGGCGGCCAGTTCTTTACGATTGATGTGAAGCACCTCACTGCGGCACAGCGGGAACATGTTGTCAGCAAGGCGCTGCAGACATCTGACCAGGACAATGAGCGCTTCCTCCAAAAGTGGCGCGAGCGCATGGACAGGTGTGTGATGGCTTGTCCATGGGAATGTTTCTCGTTTGCCAGAGTTGGTGCGACAAAGGGAAACCGGCTGCTTAGTGCATCAGAGCGGGGGGTATGTGCTTTTGCAGCTGAGGTTGTATCGAGTGATGTATTGATCAAGTTGTCCTGAGATTGATGATCGGCGGAAGAAGTGGAGAAAGTGTGTACGGATGATCGGCGGAAGAAGTGGGACAAAGTGTGTAGGGAAAGAGTTGCGCGATTTGATGAGAAGGCGTAAGCAGTCTTCGTTGATGAGCTGAGAGAAGACAAGGGCAAATGTTTCTAAAGCACATTCAAAAACTCGGTTCTTGTTGATAGGAAGCGCTGACGGGTAAGGTCTTGGAACGTTTTCGGCTTTGCATCAACGAGACACGAGTGACTTTGGTTTGACCGTGTTTTGAACGAGGTGACTCTCTGGCGCGTTAATGACAAGACTCACAACTCTGCTCAGTCCCGATCATGTGCTTAGCAGTCCTGGGGTTCGTCTGTGACATGAAGTGAAAGGCCTGCTTTTTGGTCCAGGGTCGACTTGGAGCTTCCCAAAGTGGAAGTGGCCTATCACAACCTGACAGTCGAGGCCAACGTCTACGTCGGAAGCCGCGCACTCCCCACCCTCATCAACTCGGTTCGCAACGTCTTCGAGGTCAGTATTAAGCTGCCGTCGAAGTTGGATCCGGATGGAGTTGGACATACCTCCCTCGGACATCTGTATCGCCCTCGAGCTAAGTTCGTGGGTTGTACGTTGTCGGCGAGGTTATGACAGGTGCTGTGATCATTCTTCTCCAAAATTCCCGCTTGGCGTGTGCTTGATGTCCAGTCACGAGTCGAGTAGAAAGAGAAGATAGATATAGGTTGCTTCTCAGACTTGCTACTCATATATGGCTGTGGGGATTTGGGTGGGAACGGAGATTGAGCCGCGCCCTTTTGCCTTCCCAGTACACTCTTTTGCACTTTTTTGCATTTAATGACTACAAGCTTCCGCTTCTTTCCAGGACACCCTGTCGACCCTCCGCTTGAAGCGCACCAACAAGAGGAAGCTCACAATCCTTAACAACATCTCGGGCGTGCTCAAGCCGGTGAGGCCCCTTCGTTTGATCAGGCTTGTAGATACCATCGTCAGAAGTAACTCGAGAGTCCACTGGCACGATATACGAAACGCCTTCGCTTGCTGGCCATGTCAGAAAGCTGTTTGCATTTCATTACTCGAGGAATCGACACTGGCGGGGGGTCTTCAGGGCTTCTGAAGTATACTTCGTTGCTCCGCACATACATTCTAACATTCTTGAGAAGCCTCAAGCTTAATCTCTCTGGAATGTCAGCCTTCGCAATCAGATCTTGAAAGTCCGCTATTCACCTGAAACCGGCCTTGCAAAAGGTTTCGTTGAGGCTGCCATCTTGCAAACAACTTCTTTGTATCCCAAGCGGAGAGTCTCGATTCAGAGTGTTTTGTCACTATTCGGCCTCTTCTTTTCAGCAGGGATGTGCTTCATCCAAGTGACGATATTTTACGTCGTATCTGATTCGACGGGTATCCCCATCTGACCCACCGTCTTTTTCTCTTCCAGGGGCGCCTGACGCTGCTCCTTGGGCCCCCCAGTTCCGGCAAGAGCACGCTCCTCCTGGCCCTCGCTGGCAAGGCCACGAGCGACCTCAAACTGACGGGCGACATCCTGTACAACGGACACCACTTCGACGAGTTCGTCGCAAAGCGCACGGCTGCATACGTGCCGCAGAACGACAAGCACATTGGGGAGCTGACGGTGCGCGAGACGCTCGACTTTGCGGCGCAGTGCCAGGGAGTGGGGGACAAGGAAGGTGCGCAAGCTGTGGAAGTTGTAACCTAGAGTCGCTCATTGAGATGCCGTCTGAGAGTTGAACTGGTGTTTTTTCTCTCCCAAACCATGCCGCTTTCAGCAGTCTGGCTGCCAGATCCTGGCTAGCCCTCTGACCTTGTCAGTGAGACCTCGGTGGTTGTTGAACAACGAGGGAGCGTTAAACCGGGGCCCTCGAAACCAGTACTAGCGGTTGAACTCATGATTCTGCGTCAAGGCCACCTTCTTAACGCCGTTCCTACCACTCGTGAAGATGCGAGCTTACCAACTTCTCGTCATCCTCGCCCGCAGAGATGCTTCGAGAGCTGTCGCGGCGCGAGGTGCGCAAGCGCATCCTGCCGGACCCGGACATCGACGCGTACATGAAGGCGGCGGCCATCTCGGGGCGGCAGCATAGCGTGGTCACGGAGTACATCCAGAAGATTCTGGGGCTCGACATCTGCGCCGACACAATCGTCGGGAACGAGATGCTGCGCGGTATCTCGGGGGGGCAGCGCAAGCGGGTCACCACCGGTGAGGATTCTTTTGCGCGGTTCTGGAGATTGGAAATTGAGTGTCAGATAGTCAGGTTATTGAAGGACATACAACGGGATAAAGTTTTGGGACCGATATTGCGGCTGCCGCCGTTGCGTTGAGCAGCGAGTCTGCATTCTTTGGCTGCGCTTCTCATGGAGCATACCCGCTGACTGCGGCAGCTGTATCACAATTCTGTCCGAATTTCCTTTAGCTAGCTTCTCACTCGCTTGCGCTGTCGATTTACAGGCGAGATGATCGTCGGCTCCAAGAAGATACTATTCATGGTAAGGATCGGTCAGCCCGCATCTGGTATCCTGGCACATGCTTCGCGATGCGCAAGGCCGCGACTTGCCTCTTTCGGTTCAGTCGTTTCCAAACGCTAAAGAATGCAACTTCTGTTTGGTGCTCCCTTCTCACCTTTTATCTTCATTCGTGCCTTACCCGACCTAGTCAAAGTATCCGCAGCTCCCAAACTTGTCGTCACTCGACTATATCAATGTCCGCCCGCTCCTTTTCAGGACGAAATCAGCACGGGCCTGGACAGCGCGACAACGTACCAGATCGTGCGGTGCATCCGCAACTTCGTGCACCTGCAGGACGCGACCGTCCTCGTCTCGCTCCTCCAGCCCGCGCCGGAGGCCTTCGAGCAGTTCGATGATGTCATCCTGCTCAGCGAGGGCAGCCTGGTGTACCACGGCCCGCGCGGCCGCATCCTCGAGTTCTTCGAGATGCTCGGATTCCGCTGCCCCGAGCGGAAGGGCATCGCGGACTTTCTGCAGGAGGTCACCTCGCTCAAGGACCAGCAGGTGAGGCGCAAAAGTGCTCATAATCAGAATCGAGGGTGTTCGGCTCTACAAACTTTGCTTGTACTCTCTGCGATTTCGGGGTCAGTGTTGGGGCTGTCCTGATATCGTTCTGCTGTGAGAATCTCGAAACGCTCGCAGGCTCGAAGATTTGAAGACATCTAAATACGATCTACGATCTCTTTGTCGGATTGTTGAAGCACTGTTGCATGTCCCTCTCAAGCTGAGTTGTAGCGACCTTGAACTGGATCACGTGTCACCACCGCGAACTTACCTTTGGACTGTTGCCTACCACTTCCCAGCCGACAATCCTTTCTGTTCCTTGTGCAGCAATACTGGGCCCGCGGCACGCCGTACAAATTCGTCCCCGTAGACACTTTCGCAGAGGCGTTCCAGAAGTGGGACCTGGGCCGGGAGCTGACGGCGGCTGCGGCGGCGCCTTATGATAAGGCGGCAGGCCACCAGTCGGCGCTGGTGCGCACGCAGTATGCGCTGCGGTCGTGGGACATGTTCAAGGCGACCATGAAGCGCGAATGGACGCTCATGGTCCGCAACCGCTTCCTCTACATCTTCCGCACCTTCCAGGTCAGTGGGAGATTTGCGAAGAAACGGAACGGAACGGAACGGAACGGACGTTTTGCTTGCTCAAGGTCTTGGTGGACTCGCTTTGATTTATCTCAGGGGATACTGTGAGGGAGCGACTGCGCTTCTTGCCTCGGGGTGTTCTGACGTCTTTTTTTGAGTGCTGGCCGGTGCTGGCCGGGCTTCTTGAAAATCAGTAGCATTCGTTGGGGCGCGCGCTCTTCCCGGAAGTATGCAGGAAGAAAGTATTTAGAGGCCCCTCTTTGTTTCAAGATATCTGCGACTCAGGCATGTTAACTTCCCAGCCAATCAAGCACAATGGGAGTTGGTTTCGTGTCGCCCCAGTTCCATCTCCGGCAAGTCGACTCCCTGCCTTGCCATGCCCCTCCCAAGCAATCCTTTTCCGCCTTTGTTTCTGCAGGTCTTTTACGTGTCGCTGATCACGAGCACGCTCTTCTTCCGCACCAGGATCTCCCCCAACAGCGTCAACGACGGCAACCTGTACATGGGCGTCCTCTTCTTCAGCCTCATCTTCATGATGTTCAACGGCTTCTCCGAGATGTCCATCATGGTAAGACAATGTTGGAGTTTAGTGAGAACCCGCCTAGCAGTTTTGGCAGTAGAGAACTTTTCAATCTGTGTCGCATCTCGCTAGCAGGAGAGGGAATAGTCCCATCAACTTTACAGAGGAGCCGTACCGCTTTTTGATGCCAGTATATCGCTTCATGGACAGCGTCGGACGTCTTCAAGCTGCTGCTTCGGATGTTTTTGTAGATTCCTCGGCTGAAAAGCGGTCCTCACTTCACCCTTTTGCCACGTTTCTTCAGACCACACTTCCAAATAGAGTATTCAACCCTCCAATCAAGACCTTCGGGTCCTTAATCTCAATTATCAGATCACCAATGACTGATTCATCCCGCACATTGCGCAGATTGCACGGCTGCCCGTGTTCTACAAGCAGCGCGACAACAACTTTTTCCCGGGCTGGGCGTTCAACCTGCCCATTGCCATCCTGCGCGTACCCTACTCCGTGGTCGAGGCCATCGTCTGGTCTTGCGTCGTGTACTGGGTTGTCGGCCTCGCCCCTGAAGCGGGCAGGTGAGTCCAGAACCGCTAAGAAGCCGGTGTTGATTTTCAAAACTCTTCAGCCCTATTCGGCCTCATACCGACGCGTTTGGATCACAGCTGGATTTGTGTTCTTATATTCAAGCCTCGTATGCTCATGCCGAGAACCATTGTGTTGCCGGGCTTTAGATCCAGGCTTGGTGTATAGATGGTCTACTATCACCAGGTCATAAGTGCCCACAGGTGCGTAACTCGTGTGCTCGTTGAGCTAAGTTACATTCAATCAGCTTCAAACACCAACATTCAATCGGGGCAGAGTTTGCAGAACGAGCCAATGATCTTGGATCTTCAACGGCGAATAGTGAGACTGAGGTCACGAATGGCCGCCGCAAGCATGTTGCAACGCCCGTGTTCCTCCCCATCGCTTCCGATCCACCATAGATTTCATATACCTACCTCTCTCGTCACCTTTCGCCGCAGGTTCTTCACGTTCATGCTCATCATGTTCCTGATGCACAACCTGTCGGTGTCGCTCTTCCGCCTCATCGGCGCCGTCAGCCGCAGCATGGTGCTCGCCAACACCTTCGGCGCCTTCATCATCCTGCTCGTCTTCCTCCTCGGCGGCTTCATCATCGACAAACGTGAGCGCCGCTCTCCGGCACGCTTGCGACATGCCGTTTCTCCCTCGTTTGCTTTTCTGCAAATGCTGAAGCATTTTGAATGTCTAACTTGCTTGAGTAACGGGACTGGGTGACATAGGAAGCCTAAACTGGTCCTAAATCCGGTCATGGACCTCCTTTTTACCAAGCTTCAAACCCGAATCTTTCAAGCTAACCCTTTAGGCCCGTCATCTAAAATTGGAGAGTGCAGAACATTTGCTGCGACGTTCGTGCAGGGGACATCGAGCCCTGGTGGGTGTGGGCCTACTGGATTGTGCCCCTCAGCTACGCTCAAAATGCGGTGGCAGTCAACGAGTTTACGGCGCCTCGCTGGAACAAGGTGAGGCCCACAGCGCCTTCCATCCGTCCGTGTGCATCATATAGCTCTAGGGCTTTGACGGCCCTGGTCAAGATCTCAACTTCTTCCTCGTTGACTATCTCTGTCGGTCGCTGCCTCCGGCTTGTCCTTGCGTCACCATAGTCAGGCCGACTGAGGTTGAGACAATGTGCAGAGATGGCCTCCCAGCCAGACTCGCTGAAGAGGCTTCCAGCCGAATCGCGCCAGGCGACGGCTTAAGCTTGTGGTGTCACCCGGATGACTATCCCCATTCTTCGTCCCCTCCTTCTGATCTTGAATTGACATCGACTCTGACGTCTACGTTCCTCACTAAACGTTTCTACAGTACAACTACCTACCTGCATGGCACAAACCGAGATCTTTATCCCATCTTTTTCTTTACTCGCTGTTCAAACGCACTGTACACCTTTTTCCCTACCAGCCGTACCAGTACAACTTCGTGCGCGGCACGGACGCCACGCTGGGCCAGACCGTGCTGCAGAACCGGGCCATACACGAGCCCAATTGGTGGATCTGGCTCGGGGTCGGGGTTATGGCCGCTTACGTCATCCTCTTCAACGTGGGCGTCAGCCTGGCGCTCGCTTACCTGCCACGTGAGTGCCCAGCATTCGAAAGGTCCGGCTGCACCACGACACATGGAATTGTCGGAAGTTCAGATTATCAAGCTGCGGATTGGTGTCGTGTGGAAAGAAAAAGTGCTCAGACGTAGGAACACTTCTCGTGCGAGAGCTTCTTTTTTTCAGAATCTCAAAATGGTGAACACGTCACTTTCTTCACGACGCCCCTGTTAGAACTACCTTGTTATGTGTTGTCTTGAAGTACGGCGTAGTTCGCTAGCTGCAGACGGAAGTTACTTCGAACTCAACACGAGATATGAGTATTTCAAAAGCTTTTGCCACGATAACAATGAGCAACCCGCACCGAAAACCCCGCTTGACTGCTTTTTTTCCCTTCCCCCTGCAGCTGTGGGCCGGCCGCAGGCTGTCCTCGGCGAAGAGGAGCTGCGCAACAAGGAGAAGGCCCGCCAGGGCGTCGACCACAAGGGCGACGTCGAGATGACGTCATCCATTGCGCCCGCCGGTGGCGAGGTGGCCGGCGCTTCCGCCGCCGCCGACCTTGAGTGGGGCCCCCGGGAGCTGCGCCAGGCCCCATCGATGTCCCCGGTAGACGAGGATGGTGCTGACGTCAGCGCAAATGGCGCTGACGTCATCACGAACGGTGCTGGCGTCAGCACAAGCGCAACGGGAAATGGTGCCGCCGAGGGGAGCGGGATCCGAGGCGGGGCCGCCCGGATTGGGCGCAAGATCGACCTTTCGAACAGCACGATTCAAAAGTTCCAAAACGCGGGAGCCGCAATACCGACGACGGGGATGATTTTGCCGTTTGAGCCCATGGCGATGACGTTCCACAACGTCAACTACTACGTAGATATGCCCAAGGTGAGATTTGTGAGTTGTGGTTTCCAAGTTTGTTGTATGAAATGGATGAGCGGAAAATGGAGAAAGCATGCGTGTCTGGAAGTGAAGAAGAACTTCGCATCGCTCGTCTCTGAAGTTGAATATGGGCCTTGCAAGAAGTGGGCTATACTTGGATGAAGACGAATCTGTAAAAAAGGAGGGTCGTTTTGCAGTTGTGGGATGCGATGAGGCAACTTCTTCCTACTTCAATGGGGCCTGGCGACAATGCCATCTTTTGGTCAGGGTATGCTGCTTCGTACTTGCCTGTTGGTCGCATGCACGAATCCTCAGCAAAGGCAAGTTTACGAAGTCAGGACTCATCGGTTCCAGAGCAACTTGGCTGTTCTAAGTTGACACTGTTTTACTGAGGTGCAGAACGTCCTGGACGAGCACGGCAAGCCACGTGGCGGCCGCCTGCAGCTGCTCCGCAACGTGAGCGGGGCGTTCCGGCCGGGCGTGCTGACGGCCCTCATCGGAGTCACGGGGGCGGGGAAGACGACGCTGCTGGACGTGCTGGCGGGCAGGAAAACAGGTGGGTGGGCGGCGCCTCTCTGATCCGTTACTTTGTAGGACTTTCCGTTCTAGTAGTCGGTTCGACGAAGTTTGGATGGTCACAAAGCTCTCTCTGAGTCCCTAGTGATAACTCTTGGTTGAGAGATTCGGCTGCTGGGTTATTCTCAATGATAAGTGCCCTGCAAGCCCCGGTGCACAGAAGGAGAAGGAATAAAAGCATTCTTGTGAGGTGACGCTTACAAAGTCGCTTTCAGTGACGCTTCCAGTCTGCTACGCGAAGTATCTCAAGAGAGAAACACTTTTTGCAAACGAGAGAGGCACGCTTTTTCTTGCTCAATTCTCGGCGGACACTAACTGCAGCATGTTCGAGATTTTTCCGAATAACAGCAAATGTTCATGCTCGTCCTTTCTGCTCTCCACCCCGTTACTAATTGACAGCACTTGTTTCGCCCCTCGCACTTCTCTCCTGCTTCTTCAATCGACCGCTTCTTTTGACCCCTTTTCCAGCTCCTTCCATGTCTCCAACTGACACCAACCATAAATCTCGTCGTGCCTGCTCAGGCGGCTACATCGAGGGCGAATTGCGCGTCGGCGGGCACCCCAAGGAGCAGGCCACGTTTGCGCGCATCGCTGGTTACGTGGAGCAGTTTGACATCCACTCCCCGCAGACCACCGTGCACGAGGCCCTCCAGTTCTCTGCAGCGCTGCGGCTGCCGGCCAACATCGACCCCGCCATGCGCGAAGTGAGCAAGCGTCTCCTTTCCATCATTTTTGTTCGACGCTGCGTTCGAAGCTGCGAGTGTTCGTAGGGAAGTTCTGAAGGACGAAAGGTTTTGAGTTTTATTGAGACTTCTTTCAAGGTGTTTCACAGGTGATTTATACGCTGTAGTAAGCATATTCGTAAGTCAAAGCTTCGAATTTATTAGTGCGTGCCCAGAAGCAGTTAGAAGTAGATTGGTTGACTTTCTTGGCAACGATTTGGGCAAAGGGTTCGGAATCAAGAAAACTCTCGGGACTCCGCAGGAAGCCCTTGCAGGATCTTTCAAACAGACTCCAATTTTCTTCTTCCTTACGTTCAATACCGGTGCTAGCAGCTGGCCATCATCTTGTCATTGAGATCACCAAGTGTTGCCACACACCCCGAGCCCCTGCCATATTTGCTCCCAACAGTTCCCACAACGCCATTGCCTTCGCTTCCTTTCCGGCTTCACCTTCTGGTCCCGTCCAGCCGTCCGACCTGTCGTCAACCATCCCCGCCACGCTGACGTCATCCCGCCACGTGTCGTGCAGCAATTCGTTGAGCAGGTGATGGACCTGGTGGAGCTGGCGCCTCTGCGCAACGCGCTGGTGGGCCTGCCCGGGATAAGTGGGCTCAGCGTGGAGCAGCGCAAGCGGCTCACCATCGCGGTCGAGCTGGTGGCCAACCCCTCCATCATCTTCATGGACGAGCCGACGTCAGGTGAGGCGCAGAGAGTGACGTCACCGGTCTTTCTCGATCAACACCCAATGTGAAGTTATAGAAGTGACTGTAGCCCTGTCGTGGGGGTTTGATGGCAGCTTCGTGTGTATCTTGATGGTAGCTTCTTGTGCATCTTCCCAACAGAGTTTCGATAGAAAAGGAGAGAAGGTGGGCTAGTATGCGGCTGGTCTCTCCGTTTGATGTGAGTTGTAGGTGCAGAGCTGTGGACGAAAGGAAAGAACTTGTACGAATGATCCCGGAAAGGGAAACATATTTTGGAAGGCGGAAGGACGGAGAAGGGAAGACAGCTTAAGCAACTTGGAACACATAGCCATAGTTGAGCAGAATTATGCTGACCGATGCCGCCCCAACGTAATCCACCGGGCCCATTTTCTCCGATGGATCGCATTCAAAACCGCCGATCCCGTCTGTTGCCAGGCTTAGACACGCACGGGGTGCGCAACGTAGCACCAAAACACCACGGCTTTGACCATCGACGTGTCAGGAGCAAAATTTTGAAGCATCGAAACCTGTTCTGTCAGACCTGGACGCGCGCGCGGCGGCGATAGTGATGCGCGCGGTGCGCAACGTGGCTCCTAAAACGCCAGCTACAATTCTTTCCATATTCCTCTCAGGAACAATAGCATAACTTCAAACAAAATCCTGTTCTGTCAGGCCTGGACGCACGCGCTGCCGCGATCGTGATGCGCGCGGTGCGCAACGTGGTGGACACGGGCCGCACGGTGGTGTGCACCATCCACCAGCCAAGCATCGACATCTTCGAGGCGTTCGACGAGCTGCTGCTTATGAAGCGCGGCGGGCAGGTCGTCTACGCGGGGCCGCTCGGGGACCACTCGCTGCGCCTCATCGAGTACTTCCAGGTGGGCGCCTGACATTTGCCACTTGTCTGAGACCGTGGAATTCCTAGGAAGCTGTCTTGCTTGAGATTCGTGTTTCGTGCTTAACTTTCAAATATCTGAACGAGAAGATTTTTTTGTTATCTTCGAAAGTCGCCGCGCCTCATCAAAGATCCTGAGGTGGGCTCCCGTTTTTACTCTGGAAGGTTGCAATCCATCTGTTGTCGTCGTTGGTTGGTCATATTCATGATCCGGTATCTTAACGGGAGCTGCTGGTCCTGTACTGTGGGCATGTTCTTTAAGCAAGCTTCAGTCACGTGTCCCTCTCTTTCCATAGTGCTGCTTCCAGCCGTTCATAATCCACAGAAGGACACACAAGGACGACGGTAGTGTTTGGATGTTACCCCTGAAAAAGTGAGCCCGCAGTGCATTGTCGCAAACCAATCCGCCTGTGCTTATTAGCCGTTTCTTACCCGCAGGCCATCGAGGGTGTGCCCAAGATCAAGGACCGCTACAACCCCGCCACGTGGATGCTCGAGATCACGACACCTGGCGCCGAACAGCGCCTCGGCCGCGACTTCGCCGACATCTACCACAGCAGCGGGCTCTTCAAGCAGCAAGAAGCGCTCATCGCGGAGCTCGAGAAGCCGCCAGCTGGCACCTCGCCATTGGCGTTCGACACGGTGTACGCGCGCAGTTTCTTCGACCAGTTCCGGGTGTGCTTCTGGAAGAACAACTGGACGTACTGGCGCAGCCCGCAGTACAACACGGTGCGCTTCTTCTTCACGGTCGTCGTCGCGCTGCTCTTCGGGACCATCTTCTGGAACAAGGGCACCAAGAGGTGAGCGGGTCAGAAACAGGACGTGTCAACTTTGAACCAAACGGTTTGGACGTTTTTCCAGGTGTTTTTTTTGGTAGCGTTTTCAAGGTGTTTTTGTTGTAGCTTTCCAAGGTGTTCTGTTGAAGCGTTTCAAGCTTTTTTGTTGTAGCCTTTCAAGGCGTTCGTGGTAGCGTCTCAAGATGTTCTCTTAAGTGTTGTTTATCTGGATTGGATCGGAAGTCAAAGGATGAAGAGACATGAAGGAATTAGGACAGAGCATGACGGTTCTCTGGCACTTGGCTATTGCTGCGACTCGTACGCTTGCTAATCATCTCTCTAGAATTCAACCGATATCGTGCTTCGGAATCAACCAAGAACCGGATACTGCGCGCCCTGTGGGGAGGCCAGCTTGCTGAAGCGATCGTCGTCGCGCCGTTCTCGCAGGGGGAGCCAGCAGGACATTTTCAACGTGATGGGCGCCCTTTACGCGACGGTGCTGTTCCTGGGCTTCAACAACGCGTCCACCGTGCAGCCGGTCGTGGCCGTCGAGCGCTCCGTCTTCTACCGCGAGAAGGCCGCCGGGCTTTACCACCCGCTGCCGTTCGCCGCCGCGCAGGTGAGTGCGCGCGCCTAGTTGCGCGGTTGATTGCTTATTGTGTACGGGAAGCGTTCCATCGTAGACAGGGTGTGCGATACTCAGCTGGCTCGAAGAATCTGACAGTCGGGACTCAGAAGCGTTTGATTACGCATGGCTTCTTGTGCTTCAATTTTTGTGTGATTCGTAACAAGCTCAAAGGCCGCCGAGTGAAGTATGTGAAAGTATTTCTGTAGAAAAGCCCAGAGATTCTGGGCAAAGGAAAGCAAGTAGCAGAGCTGGAAGCCAAGAGTTCCTTTCTTCTTCAGTGCGGAGTGGGCTTTTGTGACATTCCTGCTTGTGGACAGGTCCTGATATACACCCTCAACGACGCTGTGGCGAGGAAGCCCACAAGCATTCCATTTGTATACATCACTCATTTACTGACCCCGTGCTGGAGTTTAGGGTTTCAGCATACTCTAGTTGCGCTTGACACCAGTTTTTTCACGCAGGGCCTGGTGGAGCTGCCGTACCTGCTGGTGCAGGCGGCGGTGTACAGCATCATCACGTACAGCATGATCCAGTTCGAGTGGCAGGCCGGCAAGTTCTTCTGGTTCCTGCTCTTCATGTGGCTCACGCAGTGCTTCTTCACCTTCTACGGTGAGCCGCCACACGAACCCTTTGTTCCGTTTCTATTCTGTCTGATTTCAATGTCTGCTGCCTGGGCAATTGTTTGTTGGCATGCGCGAGTCGGTCTATCTTTGGTCGCCCGCGCGCGGTTTGCCGACAGAGCGTGAGGAAGCAAACAAGCTTGCAAGTGCTCTTCCCAAACAACATCTAGTCCAGTCGATGCCGTCACTTTAACGCTAGCCATCGCACCTGTCACAGCTCCCCAATGTCTTCCAAAGATAGCTCTCAGCCCGTTGGGCTCACAAGTAGCTGCTGATGTCGGTCTATCCTGCCACTGACATCATCATCCGCTCACCGGCAGGCATCATGGCGGTGGCCATCACTCCGTCGCAGCAGCTGGCGGCCGTCATCAGCAGCGCCTTCTACAGCATCTGGAACCTCTTCTCCGGCTTCCTCATCCCGCGCCCCGTAAGTCACGTTTTCGAAATGCAATCCAGACCCTCGAACTGCACACATAGTGCAGCTGGTTAAAGTATTAGCTGCTTCTTTGCAGCAGCGGAAGAGTCTGTCTTTTCATCTTTTCGCTGGTCGGTGCTGGTGGACCGTTCGCTTCTCTCCGCTGTGCGATGACCGGCCTCCCTCAATAACCCTTTGGGATAGTAGCCCAAGTACTTCTTCCCGCTGAATCCACGCTTCCCTTCTCCGACCTTTGCCACATGCTGTAAAGCAGAGACTGGGTCTCAGCGTCCCCCGCCTAAAAAGTCGTTACATTTCGCAGCTGCTGATCCACTTTTTTCCCCTCGCCCCTGCAGCAAATCCCGGGCTGGTGGATCTGGTACTACTACCTCAACCCGATGGCGTGGACCTTGTACGGCCTCATCTCGTCACAGCTGGGCGACGTGTCCGAAGAGTTTACGCAGGAAGACGGGAGCCGGATCGCCGTGTCTGCGTATATCAAGCGTCATTTTGGGTACCACCACAATCAGTTGGGACTGTGCGTCGGCGCAATGATCTGCTTTGTGGTCCTCTTCTGGGCGGTCTCTGCGACCGCGTACTGGAGGATCAACTTCCAAAAGCGGTAAAGTTATCGGTAATTTCAGCAGAGGCAGTTTGCAGGAAGTATTGGGAGAGGGAACGATGGGAAGACGTCGGACGGGCGCTGCGGGGGTGTGAACGACGAGCTGTCTGGCAGTCTGGCGGACGGCCGTGCATGTCAAATTTTATATACGAGTTGTTATGTCGTGTCAAATTGAGTTTCTCGTTTTACCGAATCTCGTCAACGGAGCTGGCGTGAACGGATTGGGATTATACGATTCTAGCTTGGGTAAAAGGTAACTGCGTCATACATAACAGCGCGCAATGCAGTACCTAATGTCTAGTAAGTAGGGGCAAAGTCCGTGTATACAAGCTTCTTGTGGCGCACGAGCCAAGAGCCCGTGTGCTCTTTCTTTAAAAGTAGCTAGCTAGACACAATATGAAGCAATCACCTCTTCTTCCTTTCACATCCCTGCACTTTCAGATTTCGGCGCATCACACCGCGGCCGGTGCCATGCATGCTAGTTTGCGGAATTCTTCGACATCATGGCGGCTGCATCCATGTATGTGCATGCGGCCACCCCAATTATTGCATTTTAATCAGTCTCAGTCAGACGTGTACAAATGTCGTCGGATGCCGTGCAACATTTTTAAGCGTATGAACTTACATCTGCGCGCAAATGCATATAGAACCATGGAATGTTTGGATACTAGATTCAAATTGTGGATCCGTGACTCATACTTACGTCTGTAAAATTTGCGAATGCACAGCCTGAGTATGTGAGCCGTGTATAGTCGGATGCGCATACTCTGTCAATAGGCATGAGGCGGCGCTACTTCTGCGCGCGTGGCGCGGATGCGTCACATGCTACCGCGAGAAAAGCTGAAGGTATAAGTCGCACGGTATAGAGTGCACACCAGATATAGCCTATACAAACCCCTCGAAGAGGGGCCTAGGCTCGAATCTGCCTGCTCCGGGCACATGTGATCCGGGGACGCACACTGAAAGTTGGTCACGGAGTCGCAGCGTACCTCTGGCCCTTTTATGGCTCTGCATGTATATCGGCTTGACAGTATATATGGGGACTGACAAATTCTGACCTCGATTGTTTCTGTAGCGCTAGAAAAGTGGTATCCATGCATGCCACACCAGACATGCTGACAGGAATGGAAGGAGTCGTCCAACGGACTAGAAAGCACGCGGTCGCTACAGTAGCTGAACTTACGGGAGATACTGATTCAGTCACACGCTCAACCAACTCGTTGACTAGAACAAGACTGTATGAACCGGTGCTGGAGAATGTTGACACTGCAGGTCCTTAGTCGCCTGTACGTTCAGTCTCGTGACTCTGTGACCCTTCTGTATGCTCGTGACCTAATAATGGTTCAGGGGATGATCCTTTCTTGTATCTCGTACCTTACAATGGAGGGGCCTGTCGCTCAACCTCAGGATCTGGGGTGCTTGGTCTCGCATTTGGACCATCAACTCGTTCTTGGATGTTTTCCAACACCCACGTCGGCAGACCTGAGCAAGGAGGACACGTATTTAGAACAGCACGAGTCAGGTAGGTCGGAGCGAGGCGTTTGGTCAGTAGATGTTGGGACTCGGGGATTCTATTGATGAGTCTAAACCTTCGGTCAAGGCAGAGTTTCGCGATCCTTGAGAGGGTATATTGCGTACATTAGGCAACCAGCTAGTGTCTGCTCAAAACTGGCAATCAAGTGGTACCGAAGCTCCAGACTTGCGGTGTCGATGCCAACGTATCATGGATAAGATTTGACAGTTTGTGCACTTCTATTATAGTAAGATACTCAGCCCTAACTTGCTCAGCCTACAGGGATAAGGATTACCCTGCCAATCACAGTCAACCGTGAGTGGAGTCCCTCATCAAACGCCTGGCGAAAATTCTTGGTTCTTACACTGTTATTTGATTCAAACCCCTGCTTCAGGCCTTAATAGGATACACAAGCCTTTTCTTGGGCCTGCGCTTGCTTCAATTCAAGAATCTGAAGACTTTGCGCTTGGAAAACTGTACTTGGTCCGAAGTTCGAAACAAGAAAGCATCAAGAAAGAGATAAAGCCCACCAGCCAGTCCAATAGCATGTCTTCAACAAAATCTAGCAAGGCATCGACAGTCAAGCCTACAGGCTGCCCAATTCAGCAGGTACTTCAAGAACTGTTCCATTCTCTTCTGTTGTAGCGCGACCACTCTCCTTGACAAAATGTTCCCTGTAAAGCTCGATCAGAAAGACTTTGCATATAGTGACCGCTCATCCTCCAAAAGCCCTTCCTTCAGTACCCCCGCTTAAGCTTAATGATCATTGATGCATCAGCTTCTTATCCGAAAAAGTTATGGAAACAACAATTGGCGCAAAGGAATCATCAAGGTCGGTTCCGGGCAGAACGAAGCAGAAGGCTCGGGGATACAAATAGCCACTGACTCCTAGTCTGACTGATAGAGCAATTTGGCAAATTATCTGGTTTTGATACTACGATCTTGTCCACATCGAATCTGAGCAAAAGATTGGGGGAGCACGATGGGACTTTTGCAACACCGAGGAACATACCCCTTAGAAGGATTCGTCAGACTGGCCGTGGAAAGAAGGAAAAGGAAGATCAAGTAACACGCCCTCTTAAAGGATCCGCATGACTGGCCATCGAAAGAAGGAAAGGGAAGAACAAGTAGAGGTCGAAGTGAAGGAACTCACTCCTGATCACCCCCAGCGCCGCTGCCCGCACCATCTCGTTTCGCTCGTCCAACGTGTTATCCGCCCCCCACACGTGGTTCACCGCCCGCCCGTTTGGCCCAATTTCCGTGAACGGGAACACCGCAACATTCTTTTCATACTTTGGGTACACCAACCGGTTGAACGGCGTCTGCTCCCATGCGTGCTCAAACAACGTGGGCCCGTCGTATGAGAACCAATCTTCCAACAGTTGGATGGCTTTCTTGCTCCGCCGCAGCAAGAAGGTCCCCGCACACAGAACGTCCTTTTCCTGGATCCGATCAAACGCATCCGGCTCGCCCTGAAAGCCCCCCTTCTCGTTACCATTCCTCGCCATGATCATTTCGATCGCGTCGTCCCTCTCCTCGCCGCTGAAGAAGCTGGAGGGATCCCCCGGGACGACCAGCTGCTTCGTGCGCACATTCTCCGACTCCTTATCTTCCTTCATCACTTGCATGACCCAATCTTCAACCCGCATTTTGTGCGACTCGAGGCGCACGTACGAGTCCGAATCGATCATCATGGCCCACTTGCAGCAGCACTTGAGCTGGTCTCTCATATACGCCACCTTCAACCAAGAAGGGTGCCTATCCTTCTTGTACATGGTCGCGTTGCCGCTCGCAAAGCGGTACCCGTGCCGCATTGCGTACATCCAATTGACAAAGCGCGAGGGGCGGTGGTACTCGATCTCGCGCCCCCACTTCTCAAACGCCCCGCTCGGGCCGTCTTTCGAGCCCTCAAAGTCATCCTCGTTCCACCCAAAGCGGTGGTCCATCATGAGAATGCACCCCGGCAGATCTGCCGTCTTCTCAGGGAGTTTATTCACACCAGCAAGCCCACCCACAGCAGCGACTCCATTCTCACCCGCGAGCCCGTTCGCATCAGCCAGCCCCTTCCTCGGAAGCCCCAGCTCCTGGCTGCAGGAAGGCCCCGATGAGTAGAGTGTGAAAAAGAGCACGATCAGCACCCCAACGGCCAGTCCCCGGGCGATCGCAAAGAAGGCGGGCATAGACGCTCGCACCCCCATCTTGTTCTTGGCGAGGAAAAGAAACGTGGGCAGTGTCATTCGCCCAATCGGCTTGTCTTCACAAGAGCCCATGACGCCGGCCGTGCGATCCGACTCTGGGGGTGAGAAGCTGCAGCTTGTCGGAAAAGTGCTCATGTTGGCTCAGTTAGGCTGCTCATGGATTCGCCGCTCGCTTGCCGGTTTCCACGCGTCTGATCAGCTGCGTACAGTGATGCGCCACCGCTGAGGGGAATGCACGCAGCGCACGTGAGAACTTTAGACAGTTGATTGGAAGGGAAACAGCGTATGTATGTGGCAACGCTGGCGCTCTTCCTTTTGCTGCTGAATTGCGAGCTGCCCTTTGCAAGCTCTCCAAATGGGAATGCCGAATTCCAGAACAATTTGTTTAGAAGCCTATGGTGCCCCATGATCCAACTCTGCTCGGTCCTCAGCCAAGACCTAAGCTTTCGGAGCAGAAACAGTGAGGAAGCCATTGGATTTCTGGCAGCAGGACGCGCCATCCTCGCAAGGTTGGTACTGCACAAGTCACAAGTGCGCAGCAAGACTGGGGAGAATCACGGTCAACTCTGCCCGCGTAAAGTGCGCTTCGGCCGAACCGGGCTGCCAGTGCAGGTTCTAGCCGCCCAATGTTGCGATTGTGTGCACTTCGGACGGCTGCGATTTTATTCTGACCATTTTGTTTTCTGCCGGGGGCCGCAGCGACATCTTCGCGATGTGACTGCGAGATTTACGCGTTGTCAACTTTGATAAGTGACGCTTCAGAGTCAAGGATCTATTGCTAGTGCAGACTGCGAGCTGGCACAGCAAGCTCAGATACACGTGGCAGCATGTGGAAGCTTTGCAAGTGGCATGTGACCTGCGAGGGATACTAGATAACCTAGGTGGCCCGTCGCTGCGAGCGCGCGCGTGTCATCAAGCTGTAGGAACGGCACCGTCAGTCTGTGCAGGGTGCGATCTGTCACAGCGACTTTGTCTAGCATTTCACTAATTAAGAATCAGATTGTAAGAAGTTGGATTTGTTCCATCAAGTTCATGGCCCGCATGGGCGCCCATGCAGAGGACGAAGTCAGCCACATACCAGCAGAAGCGCTGAGCTACGAAGCTTTCCGGAGAGAGTATATGCTTGCAAACCAACCAGTGGTGGTTTCTGGCGCAACAAACAATTGGAGGGCGTTTCGAGAATGGAGGACGACGGACGGAAAGCCCAACCTGGCATTGCTCCGGGAGAAGTTTGGCAAGTCAGGAGTGCAAGTGAGGGATCCCCCTGAGCTGAAGGCAGCCTATGCTGCAGCTATGGTGTGATGAATGCATCAGAACCAGCTCATCCCCTGTTTGCTGCCAGACTTACATTTCGAGATGCAATCCGCTTTTGATATCCATAAGGGAACAGACAGCTTCTTGAGAGGTGGGATTCTTGCACATCGTGCTGTCTTCAAGCTTGATCACAATGCTGTCTCACTTTGACACCTCCACTCTTCCAGCATTGTAGTTAGTTGTTAGTTAGCCTCTTTTGACGGCTGCACACAAAGGTGCCACCTGCTCAGAATGATATAGGAAAGAACCGTTCAAAATGCACCACTGACTACCACTTGCGGTAGGCACTGATGATGAAGTGGCTGGATGATTGGTGGAACGCTGTCCCACATGAACATGCCCACTGATGCTCAGTCTGCCCCCGTACTGCCTCCCTTAATTCCGTCTGCTTGCGCTCCTTTGTTTCATCTCTCAGAATGTATAAGTCGTCATTCCCCATCTATCGTGCACACACTTTATCCACACCACCAGTCCAAAAACCATTGATCATGTTGGCTCCCTTCCCACTTCTCATACCACCTCCCTCTTGCTCAGGAAGATGGTATTCGTCAATCCGGACTCCAATCCATGATTGTTCTCTGTACTTTTCAAACAGGTGGCAGACTGCAGTCAACATCGGTTTGGCGACCAGGAGCGGTTAACCATGACCGTCAGCGACTTCATAAGCTATTGGGAGCAACACATAGCTGCACGCGACTCCGCCCCGTGCGCCCTCCCCCCCCAACCACCAAGCGCCAGTGAACCCATTGAAACTTCCGCTAACCAGCCGAAATCCCCTGAGATCCAAAGCTTTCCTCCTCCAGACACACTTCATTCGCCACAAAACCTTGCACCGCTAAATAACGCAAGCATAGAACCACTTTGCTCTCCTGTATATCCGGGGAAAAGCAGGGATCAGGGCCCCGCAGGAGGCAGCGTTCAAGGGGAAGAGGCTCGGTTACTGTACCTCAAAGACTGGCATCTCGTGGCAGAGTACCCTGGGTATCGTGCATATGAGACGCCCGTCTACTTCCAGGTATACTTTTGGGCCCTGGTGGCTGTCGGGCCAACACCTGGCCCATGTGTGTTTGTCTTGGAGGTTGAAACAAAAGTGACGCATCTGCTGTCCTTAGAGATGACGATTTCACTGCTCAGGTGGTTCACACAGATACGTGTTTCTCTAGGAAGGCTTTTCAGGAGACTTTAGGCGTCCTTTCCTCTTCTTTCAGCTTGAACAACCGTCTTCTATGCTTATTCGACCTAAAGAAGAGGGTCCCATCGTGCCTTCTTGGAGGCAGAATCGGTCCCTCCTGCTTTCTTTGTTCGCTGCCTCTGGTTACTGGTTTTTCACCATCTGGCAGGACGATTGGTTGAACGAGTACCTCGATCGCCACCCAATGCAATACGAGGCCCCTTCTGCCTCCATGGCAGACGGAGCTTTTGGCTCTGGAACGTCGAGAATGCAAACCGAGCAGTGCGGTCCGACAGCAAGTGACGATTCTACCGATGCGCCCCAGCTTCATCTAGACTGCACCAAGTCTGCTGAGCTTCCCAGTCCCAATATTCACTCAGCGAGTCTGCAGTCCGATAGCCAATCAGCACAGCGTTTGCCTGCGCCCAACGAGACTCCTCTATCAGGACACGAACCTAGCTCCACCCACAACCAAACATCCCCTCGACCAACCCACTCGGCGTCACAGTCACACGTTTCGCTTCCCGTAATAAACCCACCGCACGAGCCCACAAGCAACAGATTGCCCCCTGCCAATCACCAACCGAGCAACGTTGACTCGGAGCGTATTCACACCGAGTCGGCGGGGCCCCTTCCCGGGGTGGAGTGTGCCGACTACCGCTTTGTGTACATGGGCCCCGCCGGCAGCTGGACGCCCTGCCACGCGGACGTCCTGCGGTCGTACAGCTGGTCCGCAAACGTGTGCGGACGCAAGCTCTGGCGCCTGCTGCCGCCGGACCAGGCCTGGATGCTTTTCGACAGGTGGGCACCCTCAAAATGCGAAACTTCCGAGTGTCCGGAATTGAAAAAAATTCTATCATGTCGGTAATTGTGCAGCCTGGTGTTTCTTTGTAGTCTCCATTATACGGAAGGGATGCGAGATCGTTGTTAGAGCTGAACGTTGATCGATTGTTATTTTGGCAGAGCGAGCTGGTGTTTCTCTGGAGTCTGATGCACAAAAGGGTGTGTTTTGTTCTTCTGGATCTGCGAATGATGTCTAGTTGTATCTGTATCTATGCGAAATGTTGGGAATCCATGGGCGATCGTGAAGGTCACTGGTTTTCCCCAGAAGGACTCTCGAAGGGACCACACTGCTATCAAGCGTTCCTGCGATTTCGATCTCGCAACAAAACCATTGCGCTGTGCCGTTCGGCCCTTAAGGTGCTCTGCGAAAGGACGATGTTTTCCGAATTTTGCGAATCTTGCAATTGCTCTCCTCCGGATACGGCGAGCCGCTTTCCCGTCCGTTCGTTCCGCTCCAAGTGCCTTCGCAACCCAAGCTACCCCAGCAACTGCCGGCCACCCTTCCGCAAACTCTCTCCTTATGTTATCTGCCTCCTTTTCTCGCCCCCATTCACACCGACCGAAAACGCAGGCACGGGCGGTCCTCGGTGTACGACATTGACGCCCCGATTGACGCCGCCCAGTTCCCGCACTTCGCTCAGACGCGCTGGCTGGAGTGCACACAGGAACCGGGGGAGGCCATCTTCGTGCCCAGCGGCTGGTTCCACCAGGCGAGCCAGCGTCCGAACCCTATCCGAATGCGTCAAGTAGCGTCCGAACTGTGTCCGTGGTTGGCATTTTATCTGGATTAGCAGCTATTAGTTTGACGAGCTGTCCTTTGTTGGCGCGTTCTGGTATGCTCTCCGAACGTATGCGTTGGCGTCCGAAATTGTCCGGAGCTGTTTTTTTTGGGTCGAAAACTGCATCTGACAGGCTACGCGTGGTTGCACGCACTCTCTGGCGTTCTTGTTCCTATTTGCAAAAACAGACCCGGGCAGTGCTTCGGTGTTGTCGGGGAAACTTGGACGGCAAGTTCTACTCTTCAAAGATGGATAAGAGGGGCGCCTAGCGAGACTGCTTTGTTCGAGGAGGCGAGCAGGTTTCATTCTTTGATAGACAAAGGTCGTCGGGCCCCCACAACACAAGCTCAGTGAGATGCACGCCGTCAAGGTGCTGGGCGCTCGTATGATTACTGGGGGTCCGAAGTCAATAATCAGTTTGCCTGTGTGTTTCTGTCGAAACTAACGAGATGTTTACGTGTGCAGGTCACGAATCTCGAAGATACGATCAGCATCAACCACAACTGGCTGAACGGCTACAATCTCCACTGGGCATGGGCGCTCCTCCAGGTTAGTGATTGAATCGAACGGCCTCTGCGGATTTGACAAAGCTGCCTTTCCGATGCGACATATATCCACATTCCAAACCGGAAGACCCGCACTTCAAGCATCGTTGACGCCGGCAAAAGTATTATTCGGGAAAACGGGTTAATGCCCGACGTTGATTTGCGTGCAAACATACGGAAGTGGTGGTCAGGCTTTATGGGATCTTAAATGTTCGGTTTGCCCCATCCCAGTTTTCGGTGCTTTGAAGAAAGGCAGACCGCCTTTGTTTCTCCAATCCCGCAGGACGACTACCATGCCACCGTGGCTTCGATCGAGGACTGCCGCGACATGTCGACGCCGGAGGAGTTCGAGGAGCTTTGCCAGCGCAACCTGCAGCTCAACTCAGGTACGATTCTGGGGTGCACTCAGGAGACAACTGAAAGTTTATGACCTAAGTTGGCATTTTGTTCTCTAACAAAGAAAATATGTGTTGTTCAAGCATCCTACTACTAAGAGTCGGTGCCTGGATGAAGTTTGCACGGCACGGCACTGATATACTCCAGGCTGCCTCATCTGGCTCAGCCTTTGTAAAGTTGTGAAGCGCTCACTGAAGCGAGCAGCAACGTGCGAATCCTGGTCAAGGTGGCTTCCAGTCGAATGTGTCCGTGTTGGTATTGTACGCATCACGTTTCTCCGCTCAACAGGTGCTCAAAAAGCTTACGCGAAATAAAAAGCTTACGGTTGATCCAAGGCAGTCACTCCCTGTAGCTTACGCTTTCCGAAGTCGACGCAGCACTGCTTTTTTCGTTGCATCTTGCCCCCCGTCTCCCGTCCAAAACAGAAAGCGTCAGACAGCGTCAGAGAGCTTCTTTCGGCAAAGAGCATCGGCTTCTCTTTCAACATCTTTTCCGACTGTAACCCGCAGGCACGAACTACTCCGACTTCCTCGCGTTCGTGGGCACAATGGCCCTCGACAAGGCCCGCAAGCTGCGCGCGCGGACGATCGGCGGGCGTGCGGACACAGCCGATTCAACTGTTGCGGACACGGCGGATACCGACATGGCGTCCGACTTGACAGTCAATGGACGTTCGATTCTGACCGACTCGACGGCCGCGGACGCTGCTGACGTGGCGTCCGACCTCCTCGGCTTAAGCAGCGCCTGCAAAGTGCTGCGGGAAATGGGCGATCAGCCCTTGTACAAAGCCGAGATAGGAATTGATGGGACGGAATCTATGAAGGACAAGAAGGTGGAATCTGATGACATTTTGGTGCTTTCGCGGGATTCAGCCATAGCGTGCGGCCCTTGGGCGATCGCAGAGGCCGTGGAAAGCGTTATGAAGGAGGTTCGAGAACGGACAAAAGTCAAGACGAAGTTGTCATTACAAAAGGTCATCTCGTGGAGAGGTAGAGGTTGAATGTGTGGCTCGCGGAATCATTGTTGGCACAACGCGGTCGTATGTATAATCCCAATGTCTCACAGTGAGTCGGCGATTGGATTTGGATGTGCACACGCTGACGTCACTTCGCACTTGAATCTTACATCCTATACGCATAATGTCGGCCATATGATTCCCAGTGACGGCCCGTCACTGGGAATCACCCATCACTGGGAGTCGCCCGTCACCCACCAGTGACCGTGATGCTCAGCTAACAAGCCATGCGGCCATGCCTGAATCTTGAAGTCAACCGTCAAGGCTACGAAGTACGTACATGCGTGCGCACACCTGCTCTAGCTGATGCGTGAGCTTTAAGCCCTTGTTTCCCTATAGTATGTTTGTACTTGTAGTGCAAATGATGATGCACTGTCACGCGCAAAGCTTGCCGCCGGACCTTTGTGATTGCATCTATATCCAATGCTTGTGTAATCGGCCGATCGCCGCCATAATTATTCGATCCAAACACTGCACAGCAACTTGAATGTCATGTGGTGCATGTACTGGACCCAATTTGGTGCAAGCTATAGGCGGCAGATGTGTGCGTGCTCCTAGCAAGGGGTTGCATGAGAAAAGTTGCGGCCTGGCCGCCCCGAACTTGGAACCGCGTGCATGCATACAATTTCCATGATATTTGAAGATTCTGGATTGTGCGCCCCTCGGCTCCGTTTATACCAATCACTGGGATCTGCGATCAATGTGAGCCTCTTGTAGAAATCTTCAATTGCCTTAAGGCAGGCGCAAATCATCCTCAGCTCGATCTCCGATCGACGCACTGGCGGTGACTGTAAATTCCTGGGACTTTTAGCGCGGGAGACGGGCTTATCCTCATGCGTCCGCATTTCACGATGTTCATTTTGCTAAAGCTTTCGCATGCGCGCCCACTGTACACTGACACAAGCGGAGGACCGCTATCCAATCTCAGGGCCTGCACGTGGGCGGCCGACCAAGTTCTACATATGCTGGACAGCTGGTCTTGCTTTACGACCTTGTACTTTCACGAGCCTTCACTGCATTCGTTGATTACTGTATCTACTTACTTGACTTGAGAACACAGATGCGTCTGTACTGACTCTACTAATGATACATGCATGTACCTTTCTATAACTATATACAAGTGCTAAAGCTCAGTAACCTGCAAATCTAGATCGAGATGCTACTCAACCGCTCGTACTTCCAGCCGAAGCCCGATTGGCTACCATCGAACGTCAGAGCTACACTGTGGAACCTGCACGTTCAGTAGTAGACTAAGAGGTTAGATGTACAATAGTGCACTCTCCACTTCAGTCTTTGCAACATGCACCTTTCGTCAAGACCAGGGTCTTCAACCGCAAAGTTGAGAGCGAGGACTGTGAATACTAAGAGTCACACTTTCAGACAGCACCGATGCATCCGTGGGAGACTGTGTTGCGGGTGATGTCCAAAAAGGTCGAGAGCCCTGGCTGTCTCAACCGTGCCCTACACAAAAGGCCTTCTTCATCCGTGGTTCCCTGAAGCACGCAGAGACTGGGAAACAAACAACGAGCCCCCTTCGCTTACTTTCCCCCTGAAAGTTCAGCGCCTTTCTGTAAATTCGAGAATCTTCGATGCATTGCTGGACATCGAAACTAAAGAAGCAAGCAGGCATCAGTATAACGAAAGCTACGGACAATCCTTCTGTTACTTCGAGATCTTTTGAATGCACTGCTGGACATCGGAGCTAACTAAGCAAAGCAGAGATCAGTATGACGTCAGCGACGGAGGGTCCAAGTCTGCTCACTTTCGGACGGTGGGCCGGTGCGCGATGGACAGCATCGTAATGCCGGCCTCCTTGAGCCGCCGGTACAGCGTCTCCTCCCCGTCCGCGCTCACCGCTGACGTGCATTCGTCGAGCACGGCGAACCTGGCCATGACGTCACCGCGACGTCAGCATCTCCAGAGTGGCATACGGAGACACATGTCATGTCTCGAAAATCCGGTCGTCAGAAGAGAGTGGTCAAAGGAATCACCGTCATGCAAGGCCAGAATCAAAAGCCCGATGTTTCTGCCGGCCCATCCAACGGTGCGTCACCGTTAACCGAAGAGGCTTCGACGCCCACCGATACATAGCACGAGCTTTTCGGTCCATCTACCGTTCGTTAGAGGCACGCGTTTTCTAAGACGCACAGCTTCGCAGCGCAATGACAAAGGTAACAGGCAGTCCGCTTCGAAAGAGACGCGCACGTACTTGGGGTTGTGGAAGAGGAGCCGCGCCATGGCCACCCGCTGCTTCTCCCCCCCGGACAGCGTATCGTCCCAGTTCTGCATCTGGTCCAACCCCTCCCCCCGCTGAACCAACCCCCCCAGCTCGACCTTCCCGAACACCTCAAGAATCTTCCGGTCTTCCTCCCGTCTTTCGTGCTCCCCCGGAATCAGCGCCCGGGTGCCGTTTCGCACCGCGGCCTCGTGCGCGACTTTCCGGGGGGGGAACGGGTACAGGATCTGGTCGCGCAGGGTGCCCCGCACGAGGTAGGGCCGCTGCGAGAGGTAGAAGATGTCGCCGCGGGGGGGCCGGACGACGGTGCCGCATGCGAGGGGCCACAGCTCGGCGAGCACGCGGAAGAGGGAAGACTTGCCGCTGGGGGGGGGTGCGAAAAAAATAAAAGCATCAGCAAGTCGCTTAAAGGTGGCGCTACGCAGCCCACTTGAAATCTGATCCTCGCCTCTGGTTCAAGGCGACGACAAGATGAGTATCTGGAGCACACGAGGAAAGCCAAAACGGGGCGACAGGGGCGCTTTTCGCTAGAACAAGCGGAAACAAGCGAATACTTTCCGTATATCCGTGGCAACTGGCCCCGGCCGGGGGGGTGAAAATGGGAGCGGCTAACCGAACAGTTGCAAGGATTCGCGCAAGAGACTAGGGACTAATCCATGCCTCGCGAGAAATAATCAGGGAATCGCGCGTGTGCGGAGAGGAACAATCTCAAGTCGCGGAGAGAGCCGAATGCAATAGCACAAACAACGAGCCCGCTCAACGTCGTTGCACCGGATTCCGCGATTGAAGATCATCGCCCCTATATAGGCAAAGAAAGGGTGCCAACCTAAAGGCGACACTTTTGTGAAACGGGAACTTGGATGGACAGTGCGAGGGGCTGACCTGCCGTTGGGCCCCATGAGGATGAGCGACTCCCCTTGGCGCACCTCAAGGCTAAGCTCGCGCACCAGGAGCGTCCCGTCGGGCGAGTGCAGCGTCACCCGCTCGAACCTGAACACGTGGCACCCAAACTTATAATGAGACTCACCACACCAGAAGACGGACTCACAATTTCCTCCTGAACAAAATCCCTTTCAGCCGGAGAGCTTCAGAAAGGGGTTTGGCAAAGACAGGGCGTAGCGAACAAGGTCGGAAGCTCCGTTAGAAGCAGCCCAAGCGGCGGCTTTGAAGATCTCCATCGACAAACTCAACTTCACCTACTCGTTCGAAAGACACCTTCAAAGAACCCCTGCTTGTGAGAATGTAGGTGTCCAGAATAGCTCAATTGACGAAGCTTCTATCAGCCACGCCCGAACAAGTTTACGTCACATTGGGACAACTGGTCACCGCACAAAAAGAAGAGAAAATAAATAGCGTGCCCCTTCTCACTTGATATAGTCGCCGAACAGAAGGCGGGGAGGGGGTGCGGGGCCCCGATCGGGGGCGCTGATGCTCGGGCGCTCGGCTTCGGACGTCCCGACAGCTTCGGACGCCCGGTCCGTCAGGTCCAACGACTGCATGAGGCCGGCCCGGCCTTTGGCGGTGCCCAGCTGGTTTACCTGGATAAACAGCAAGTGACGTCAAGATAAATGACGTCAGAAACGGGTAGGATGCACGGAGGGGCGAGTAAGTTGAAGGGAGGAAATACGGGCCGGCCTAAGCCTTTGGCTTCTGGAAGCGGCAGCCGTGACGAAACTGCACGCACGGGCATTGGCTTTTCCGGGCATCGAGGGGCCATAGGATGGAGAGGCGTGGCAGGCGCGAATAGAATTGCAGGAATGGTGCCTCCTTGCAAGACCACGTTCATCGTTTTGAGGTTGTGAACTCGACGCGAGACTGTGAATAGCCAGGTATAGCCGGAAACCAGAAGTGGGTTACTGGGAGACGAAAGGGAGAATGACCAGCACGAGTTATAAGGTGTCATTCAGCCGCAAACACAGCAGAAGAACCTGCTTTTGCGGGCTTACCGACTCGAGCAGCTCCGCGACGCGGCTCGTGTTGCCCGCAAGCGTCGTCAGCCGCTTGTAGACGAGCACCAGCTGCCCGATAGCACCCGACGTGTGCTGTAAGAAAACCCCGGAACCCTTGTGTTCAGAAAACAAGCTCCTCAGGTTGAGCACGAAATCTGCGTCGAGCTTTCGTGAAAGGTGCTTTCTGCTGCAGTGAAGCGCAGCGGGACTACAGGAGCCCGCACGAATAAAAGCTGGTTTGAGGAGAACCCGCAGAGAGGGATCTGCTCTCGAGTATTGGACCACCTTTTTTCGGGTGTCGCTATGGCCGTGCAATCAGGAGAGCCGTGAAAATGGTGAAGAAAAGCAGGTAGGTCCCAAGCGCTTCAAGAGAAACCCTGGATAACGTTATTCACCGTGAGCTTAGAGAAAGCGCAATTGTTATCGATAAAAGACTCTTAGCAACGCAACGGCCTGTATAGAGCTGTCCCAGGTGTCTCTGCTGTACTGGGTAGACTCTGTTCCGCAAAGGAGAACCGATGAGCTTGCCTCAAGGAATGCGGAGCCACGAGATAAGTAGCACACAGACACCTCATCAAAAGGAGGAAACCTTCGGCCTGCATCGCGGTTGCTACTCACCATCATCAGGCGCATTGACCGGATGTAATCCCCCGTAAGCTTGTCCGGGCTTAGTGTCTGCGGAGTCAAAAAGGGAAAGGCCGTCACCAGTGCTGCCTGATCAATTTCTAGAATGCCCCGTGCATTGCGGGGGGAAGGTGATAGGGACCCTGACAACGGAGTGGACCAACGAAAGAGCTGGTCCCCCTGAAGTGACTCAAGAATGTGGAGGCACGACACTGTAAACAAAAGTGAGTGTAATGTGCACTGTTCGTATGTTCAGCAAAGTCCCAGAGTAAAGTTTCTTGCTTACGCAGGTCGGACTTGGGCAAGGTCTAGAAACCTTTTGTCGGATTGTTGATGAGAACAAACGGTAAAGATTGATTCAGGGTTTACAGTATGGCAATGAGAGCCCCCCTTGCTTTTCTTTAGTCACCGCTGACGACAATGCGACTCGGAAGTGCCTCCACGCAATGTGCCCGTCAAACATCAATCAATCACTCGATTCTCCAAAGAAGAACCAGCTCGAATCAAGCGTCTGAACACTCGCATCATGCAAAGAGCCACTGTTTTGTGCTGCAGTAAAGGGAGTTTTTTTTTTAAAAGCCCGCTTACCCTGGGCCTGAAGTAGAGCGGCGCGGCGTACACGCACAGCCCGATGATGCTTGCAGCATACTTGACGAGGTAGCCGTCCGCGACCTGCCGGCAACCGAGGCGTTAGCCGTTGACAGAATCAAGTTCCAGATGCAGCGACTTGGGGTTTCAGAACAGACAGTACAGTCGATTCGGATCAACAGCTGCCACTTATTATCCGCTGAGGTACTTGAGGTATTGTGGGGCAAGAATGACAGCTGCCCCAATTTGGGCGACAACCAGAGTATCAAGTTACGAACGGCCCCAAGCTGCGCCTTGCAAGCCCGAGAGAAGACGCGGTTTTCGCTACAGTACCGCTTCCCGATCAAAGCGGGCCTAGCGTCAAGGTCGCTGGCACTTCGCCAAATCTGTTGAGAGAATGAGACGATCAGAGTTCTTTGTGGAAGGGACGGATGAAGCCCAGCGACGCAGTCTGCGCATTTCCCACCTGCTGCCAGAATCGTTGGAAGGCAGAGAGGCGCGCATGCTTGAGGACCCGGTAAAGATGGTCATTCAAGATCATGCGCTCGGTGTCCCCCCCTGGTGGGTCGTTGAATGCCACTTCCTCGGCAGTGGCAACCAGCCTGCGAAGGCAAGGTTTGCTACCATAAGGCCCAAAAGTCGACAAGAGTCGTTTGCTTCCGGATAAGACGGTCACAAACTCAGCAGATTCGTGTTACTTCAGCCTGGAGTCCTTTTCCGTTTGATCTTTCAACCGATCCATCATACGGCTTGCGAAGGTGAACGCATTCAGTCCCCAGAAGATGCACAGAGCGCATCTTCGAACGGACTCGTCAGGAACGAGAGACTTCAAAGCAATCCACCGCACCCAGTGGCTTGACTTGCGAAGTAACTGTTGTTCGACCAGAAAAGACAGAGCGCCGAAGCCGAGAGTCAGACTCCACAAATAGGCCCAAGCGATGTGTTCGCGACCGTACCTCTGATGCGCGTTTCTGAAGTTCCCTGAAAGCGCCGCTTCCTGGGTGGTCATGAGGGCGAGCGGGGGGCTCAATCTTCGCAGCACGCCGGCGCAAAGAAGGAAGTAAAGGTACAAAGTCAGCTGGCCCTTGTACCTACAAAAAATAAGGAAGAACAAGGCATTTCCAAGCGATGTCGATTGGGCCATCACTTACGCCAAATGGATTTTCTCGACTCTGGCGGCCTTTGTGCACTTCAGATGAGGAAGGACGTGATAAGAGAAAGTACTGAATCAGTCTTTACCTGCAATTGGAAACAACGGACAAAACGAAAGTAGATTCTAAGTAGGTTTCTGTTTGCACGAAACGAGAATCTGCAGGGTCAACAAAAGAGCAACAGAAAGGTCAGAAGGCCCAGTTCAGCCCCTTTAGCAGGCCATTACAACCTTCGTATTGAACCCCGCTCGGATTAAATCGAAGCCATCAGACCGCCGACTGTCCTTTCGAAACAGTCTGCCTTTGACGTCCGAAGCTCTGCAATCGTGCGACTTCCGTCGACGGAGGTCACAGCATCCTCAAGGGGGGCAGTTGCGCCCCGGAAGCTCACCCAACGGTTTTTGCAAGCGACCGCGAGAAGAGGACGATGTCGAGGACGGGCTTGAAAGTGTAGCTGAAAAGCTCGCTGATGTTGAATGCGAACTTCTCGACATCTGGACGAAAGCAGGAGGGACCCATTTGAGTCCAGACTATTGGGTTGCAATTGATTAATGCCCGTTCCTATCTCAAGCGTGGTGAGCAGAGGATGAAGAACCGCGATGATACAAAAGTGAAGCCTTTTGTGTAGGTAACCTCGATCTCGAACAACACAAAAACGGGGATAAAGCTAGGGATACTCCCAAAAATCTAACTACCTTGATGAAACTTTCTCACCTTCAGTAATGCGCTGGTCCGCATTCGACATGCCCCCCAGAGTTGACGCGACGTAATAAGTTCTGTTAGAGAGGTAGCGCTGATGAAGATGCTCGGTGATGCGCTTGCGGAAGGCCAGGCTGATGTACGTCTGCATGAACTTGAGGCCGCTGTTCACGATGGCCGCAGGGACGCACGTCAGGGCGGTGTCCACCAGCATGCGCTGAAAGGCTGGCCAGTCCTGTACGGAGGGGTTACAGAAAGTCAATGAGTCTTGCTGAAGTTGACTGGCACGACGCTGTTAAGGGAGTGAGCACTGACCCCGTTCCAGCAGCGACCATGATGAGTAAGATTGTATGGTGGACATTGAGTTCCTATAACTGCTGATTGACATCCGAGACTAACCTGTACTCCGCTGCCACATGTTCTCCTTGAGAACAAATGGACCAGAGAGAGAGTGCGACTGGTGGGGCCTACCTGCGCCGTGACGGCCTGGCCAGCAGTACCTTCGAGAGCTGCAATCTGGTCTGTACATACAATGACCAGACAAGTGTAAGTACGTGGCCCTCTTTTTGGTTTGAGCAGGAAAAGTGATGCCATGAGCATGAACTTTCCATGAAACTTATCAGTGAACTTTCAGAAACTTTTGACGCGTACTGATCAATCACAAAGTGCTTAACGACCTGATTGTCCTCTACTGTCTACTACTGGCTTACCAGAAAGGAGCGTTCTGGAAATCAAGAGGCCCGATTGTACAAGGACGTAGACCGCCTCCAGAGAAAAGGGGGAGGGGACGCATATCCCCAGCACGGTTTGCAATCTCAACCAGAAGACACGATTGACCGCTACCTGCAACGACAGCATTCTGTTTTGGCTGTTAGGGGATCGCAATCTTCAAAAGCTAGACCGCAAGATGTATTCACAGCGAAGCAATGTCAGTGGTGGTTCTTCTGCACTAAACGTGGGGCAGTGATCTCCTGGGGAAGTGGGGGGTACTTTCTTAAGTAACATTTTCAGAGCTACTCAGCCGCTCACCTGGCCTTTGATAGGATGCCGCAGACGGAACCTGATGTAAACAATTTCTGTCAGAGAAACGGCATTAGAGTTGTTGCTGGCAGGGAAGTAAGGAAGAGAAGTCTGTTCTTAACACAGGCCCCTTTTTGCCCCACCTTCTGCTTCTTCAGCCCCCCAGTGTCCTTTGAGCTCTCTGAAGCAACCGCGTCGCACAAAGCCCTTTGCTCCTTCTGCGCCTGCTTGACCCGAACGGAGACGTTGGCAGCGACAACAAAACCCCCACTTACAAAGGCTAGGGCAATAATGCGCCTCTGCCGCGGAGAGTATGTTGAAAAGTACGTCATTTGCGCAGCATTTGATTGGACAACAAAAGTTGAGCTATGGGGACCCGTCTCAGCTCCAAATCACGTTCATGCGGACTGAATTCATAAACGTTTTGCTGATGCCACCAGTATCAGCAGACGTGCTCTGTATGGAGTGTCTGCTTCAAATCAGGATTGTGCTGAAACCAGCTGAAACTCCAATCCTCCGCTTCCATGACTTCCAAAAGGGGCACCTCTAACCTCTGAGCACCTCCGTCCTCTACCAAGGACTACCAAGCCTGGAACTTGAAGAAGGGCGCCCTGGTAGAGGCCAAGTAAGCGCGCCTCTGGCACTGTTGCCATTGGCATTGCTGCGTCAGCCTAGTTTCAGAAGTACCGCAATACAACATTCTAATTTCTCCCCCTCCTAGTTCGCACAAGAATATCTGAAGATACACAATCACGATGACATCAGCATGTGCGCTGTACCTGTGCAGGCAGATCCTGTTCACTGCACAGGATCGTCCTCTCGAGTCTCTGCCAATCTCCCTAGCTCGGTTGCTACATTAATATTATTTGGAATTGGCGGGCAACTCCAATTGCCGTTGGCACGCAAGGGACGCTGGTAGGATTGCTCCTTCTGGACGATTCTCATAGGAAGGGTCTGAGTTTGTAGAAGTATGGCAACCGCATGCGTTTCAACGCGCCTTGCGTCCCTGCAGCTCGGCCTTTCCAAGGTCGAGCAGTCGCAATGTGTTCAGTCAACTGGCTTTCGTGTTGTGCCAGCCAAAAGCAGGAAGAATGTAGTGGCTGCAAGTCAAATTGGGCGGAACGCGCTTCTGGGGGCTGGCCCGATTGGACAATCCATGCTGTTCGACCCAATTGGACGGCAGCATGTCAGGAGTGGTTTGAAGCAGGGACGCTCGAGGGTGCAGATGGAGGCAGTTGTTTCGGAAGCAGCTTCTCTTCCAGACCCTGGAGTCCCTTCAGCGTATGCCGTCATTGCCCAATGCTCTGTTTCAGGGGATTCTTGGCAAGACCATAAAGGTCTTGCTTTTGGAACTGTAGTCTCAATGCAGATGGACTCTGATTCCTTTACCAACCATCCTATGTTAGGCAATGATGGCAGCCGAATGGCGGGGTAGACTTGGTCTTCCTGACTATAGTGTCAATGTGCCTAGCTCACATGCTGTCACATCATGAGGACTTCCGTTGTTGCCAAATTGTGGCAAGTACCAGGTACATTGATGTTCAGAACTTACTTGACTCAGAAAAAGTTCAGCGCTGTTTGGGGCATCATATGAGTGAGCAACTTGTTGACTGCAGGAATCTACGCTGGATCACCGCAAAACTTAGCCATCTGACATTGCGACTGCATTTCGCTAGCCATCCAGCTAACGAATCAGCGTAATCAGCTCGGAATGCATTTCAACTTCGTTGCTGCTAAGGGTATATTTCTTGAACAATCTTGCACGCTTTGATTGCAGGCCTGCTGAGACGCCGCCTCTTGAACTAGGGTTGTATTTCATCCTCTGGTAAGTGAAGCATCCACAATGCTGTGGAAAGTTAGCAGCAATGTCTCTGTGTGGAGTGTCGCAATCGCCGTTACATGACCGTCTGCCATACTAGATCTGTTGCGAGTCCACCATTAAGAGACAGAACGAGCACAAGTAGTGGATCAGAGCACTTCTCCCAGCCATAGGAGCGCTGCAAAGAGAAGGCGCCTGATTTGTCTTGTCCATTCTCCCTGATTTCACTTCTAAGAATTGTCTGCCAAACATGTGCAGGTACATTCTAAATGTGTTCTTTAACATCCTCAACAAGCAGCTCTATGGCTACTTCCCGTTCCCCTGGTGAGCAATGGTACATCTTGGTGTCTGCATCCAGACACTACGTTTTGAAAGCTTCCTTGACTTTAAGTAGCAGGTTTCAACAGTGGTAAACCCAGTGTCTCGCACTTGGAGCCTTTTACCTTCTAGGACTGTTTGGTTCAATAGCAGTATCTTTTACTCCACCTTCCTGACTGGGGAGAACCTGTCAAATTCACAAATGTAGCTGGTCAAGAGGAGAAGGCGTTGTGATGCATCTGTTATCGCGCAGGTTTGTGTCAACCGTTCACCTTGCGGTTGGCGTCCTGTACTGCACAATCGCTTGGGGTTTGAACATGCCAAAGAGGGTGGTGAGTTTGCGCCTCTGCTCCTTTACGGACCTCTCATAGTCCCTTGTGAAAACCTCATAGGAATGCTTTCAAACAAGGCGTCCGGTGGTAGCTGGGGCGTCAAAGATGACGAGACTGTGTATGTCAAGTGCAACATAGTAAAAGGCACTCTTGTGGAATACATGATGTGGACAAACTCCCACATGACGTGCCCGACAGCACCCGAAATCTACTCTACCTTGTTATCGTGTGCCGCTTCACCATCCAGATATTTTATTTTATTGAAGTTGTTGGTCCTGTCTTTCCCAGGAACTCAGCGGGGATGAGATCAAGGCGCTGGTCCCCATCTCTGCAGCACATGCTTTTGGTCATCTCATGACGAATGTCTCCTTCGCCTCCGTGGCCGTCTCCTTCACCCACACCATCAAAGGTGAGTCCTTGGAACGAGCTTGTGGTAGTCAGCTGTCTTGCAAAGGTTCCGGAAAGATCATTCTGACTGCCAATGCAAATGTGTGATTGGGCCATGGTTTGAAGTATCCTGTCTTCTGCCTTCTGACTGGTTGTCATTCCGGGCTACGCAATGGTTGCGTAGTGTGTAGCCCAGAGCGCGGTTGAGAAGGAGAAGGAGGTCTAAATCAGATGGGCGATTTGCGGTGACAAGCTTGCAGACGCTGTCTCTGTGTAGTCTGCTTCCATTTCGTTAATTCATTCATTGAGCTTCTCACCCACTTTCCTCTACCATCTGCCAGCCCTGGAGCCCTTCTTCTCTGCCGTTGGGCAGTACCTCGTCTTTGGCGAGACCATCTCGCTCCCACTGCTCTTGTCTCTGCTCCCCATTGTTGGAGGTGAGCGGATATTCTGGTGCAAACTAGATTGGCAAGCCGTTGGAATGGACGCATAGGCTACAAATTGGATTTGATCGTTGCTATGTCAGAGCGTGAAGCAGCAAGGGATCAAGCAGTTTGCCTCGTTTACATTGGATTGCACAGCAAGACATGAAGAACGGCATAACCTTCTTTTCATGGCGTGAAACAGGACAAAGATTGGGTAATCATTTGCTATGTCTGGCACTGTCTAAGTTCAATAGCAGGAGCACATAGTGCTACTTTCCCTATCCCCAGGTGTTTCTGCGGCATCTATGACCGAGCTATCGTTCAACTGGACGGGTTTCACCGGGGCAATGATTGCCAATTTGTTGTTCACATACCGCAATCTGATAGGCAAGAAGGCGATGGTAAGCAGTAAAGCCAACAGCCGCGCGTATTGCTTGTTTTGCTCGACTGCTTCGCTGTCGGCTGTTTGCGTCGTAACTCTCAGGATACGTCTAACTTTGCATCAGTCTAACAGCGCTTGTCATAAGACGTCTCTGCGATTCTGCTCTCTTGGTATAGCATTGAAGAGACAGGTCCTTCGTGAAGTCTCAACGCTAAGGTCGTCGTTTAGTGTCGAACTTGGAGGATCTGCAAAGACTGTTGAACCCTTTTCTCTCTTCAGTCCTGTCGAGGCCTTGTCAGCTGAACACACGGCCACCCAGATACTGACGTGCAGTGCGTTTTCTCTTTGCAGATCAAGAAGCTAGACAGCACCAACCTGTATGCATATATTTCCATCATCGCACTTTGCTTCTGCATACCCGCAACATTTGTCGTAAGTTCATCTTTCTCCGTTGAAGTCAGTCGTCGTGTCTTCTTCTGGACGTGAATTGTATGGGGACATCCGTCTGTTTAATCCGTTATTTTAGGAGACGAGAAGCGGTCCCCCTTCTTTTCTTCTAGGTACATCATTAAGTTGGAGACAGGTGCCGTTTAATCTTCAGTATTGGACCTGACCTACGTATTCTGCAAAATGTCTCGAGTTGGAGAAGGGTACTGCTTCAAACTCAGCCATGATATCGACCCTACTTCTGCGACGAGAAACGATGAGTTCTAGCCCAGGTTCGTAACGTGAAGGCCTTGTAAGAAAGTCTCGCGTGTGTCACTTCAGGTTGTTCAAGAGACGAGATCAAGCTACGCGGCTGGGCTCCCTTCAAGATCGAGGAGTTTGTCCAACTCTAGAGAACGATCAGATTCTGCCATGTTCGAAAGCGAACCGTTCGCACTAAGACGAGGTTGAGCTATCTGGCTGAGGATGCCCGTGTTTCGACCCGTGCAGATGGAGGGCAAGGTGCTCATTCCCGGCATCAAGGCCGCCGTCTCCAAGGTCGGCGCTCGGAAGTTCGTCCAGGATCTGCTCCTGGTCGGGTTCTTCTACCACACGTATAACCAGGTGCGGTGAATGTCGGTTGCGACCAGTCATTTATTTGCAGTGTGGATAAATAAGTCGGTTTTATGCCAGGTTGTTAGCTGCCGGTAGAGGGGCAAAAGGAGGCCTTGGCCGCGACCTGCGAAGCTGCTGGACTGGGCTGGCGTCTCGCAGAAGCTCGCGTCTGTTAATTATCAATAGTTTCTACGAGGCCTGGATTGCAGACAGGACTCTGGAATAAGAACGATCCTGAACGTTAGCAATCAACTGTGCGCCTTGAGGTTGTGCGGATTATGACATTTCCTCCGTGACAGCAGATTCAGGTCCCTCATTCTGTTCTTGTTGTTCAGGTGCAATTCAACTGTCTAGAGAAGGTCAACCCCGTCACGCACGCCGTGGGCAACGTCGCCAAGCGAATCTTCGTCATCGGTTTCTCGCTCCTCGTTTTCAGTGAGCACTCACGTCGCTTCTTATATGGCTATCAGGCTCCAAATTGTCTGTTCGGATTCCGTTTCATGATTCGACACTGCGGGTAGGATTTTGATTTCACTTGCTGTAACACGATCATAACAAAAACTTGCAACGAGCACACCCAAGTCACGTTTGTCAGGTTGACTTCTCAGATATGACGTTCTGGAATTTGAGTGTACTGGACTAAAATTGAGGAGCTGAATAAGCGCTGCCCCTGCTCTTTGCAGAGAATCCTGTCACAAAGCAGACCGCTGTTGGTACTGCGGTTGCCATCGCGGGCTGCTCGATTTACTCCCTCCTCAAGGCCAAGGAAAAGGAGGTGAGAGCCTTCATAGATATGCCACGCGCTTCTCCTAACGTGCCAATCCGGGTTTTGCTGTTTGCTTCTCTTGTAGCATGTGCGGATCTGAAGGGGCGTGAGCGTATTCCGCTCGTCATCTTCCTCCCGTTCTTGTAGCATCTACGTTCAGACGATAATCGCTTTTCAGGATCATGCTTCCTGATTCTGTTTTCCTGTTCAACAGGCCGCCCTCAAGGCCAAAGCGGCTTAAGGATTCCTCGCCATTGGTCGGCGGTCATGGAAGCAACCTCTCGCGGATTTATACGCTGGCACCAGGGAGACTCTTGCTCTGGAACTCAATTGCTTATGAAGTTGGACTCGATTGCGATATGAAGTTGGCAAGCATGCTAGGAAGACTAGGGAATATAAGCAGACGGCCGCTATGACCTGAAGCCTAAATGTGTAGCAGGGGCAATGCTTGACGCGACAGTCAATACTAGACATTAAGCATTGTATGTTTTGGGGACATTGCTCAGTCCACCCCTCCAGGTCCACTTAGTCTGCTTGCCCGTTTATAGGTGGTGGAATTTGTGTTGAATGTTGTCAGGACGTCGCCTGTTGGTGAAAGTTATTGACGGTTGCTACTAGAGGTTCTCATCTTGAATGTACTTTACTTGGGAGTAGTGTATCTGTCGTTGTGCAGGAGACCAGGCTGTGTCGCGTGTGGCATGTCCAACTGATGCATGGATAGCTCTTCTCTTTCCAGCTTTTTATCCATATGGGCGCGGCTTGCCCCCCCACCTATACTCGCATAATTTACCAACTTAGCATTGCCAGCGCACATGCTGAAGGTTACTTTCATTGCTGCGGCGCGCGCCATATGTAGGAGCACTGAATACCTGATACACACGGCGCTCTCATACTTACAGACCTAACAGTGGCAGGCTAGCTGCATGCATGAATTCACTGATATGCCGTCCGGCCATTAGTCTGAGCTGTTCCGTGTATGACGGCCTCAGTGAGTCAAAACCCTCTCACAACCATGATATGTTGATGTATCAGGGCCGAAATACCTAAACCATTGCATGTACAGACATACTACACCGTGTGGAGACGCTTCGCGGTCAAATGATCCGGTCAAGTACCATGCATGATTCGTGTCCAGCCAACGTTCGGGAGCCTTGAGATTACCGTAACGGCTCAGAGTCATGCAACCGCGTAAAGCAACACAAGTTGCGGTAGCCGCCGGCACTTTTGAAAAGAAATATGAGAACCCGGACACTGTCCCAAGTCCTTGCTAACCACCATCATCCTCGTCGTCAAACGACAGAGCTCCAACCTTTGGTGCTGATTTCTTCTCTTTTCGTTTCTTTGAAGGCGGGGCACTATCTGCATGCGCCTGTATCGCCACATAACCATCATCTCCGTGAGCGCAAGCTTACGGGAATTATTCTGCTAGTTTTATCCAAACATGGGTGAAAGAGTTATCCAGAACTTGAGCAGCAAATCTGCGATTCATTGGATTGCTGCTGAGTGCATCAGTCAATCGTTGCTTCCATACATGGCTGCGATATAGTGAGATGAGAAGGCTTCTGAAGCAGGCGCAACTTGGAACGGCTGCCGGCACAGACCGTGAGCACGAGAAGCCTACCTTGTCGTCCTCTTTTTCCGACTTGGAGGCCAGCTCTGCCTGCAGCTTAGCCTTCCTCTTTTCATCACGCTCCTTTCTCGCCTGCACACGGGCCCCTCCCTTGACTATCCGTTACATGCGACGGGCTGGTCATGACTGTACCGCAAGCTTTTGACGGTGCAAGTCCCGGTTACCTACCAGATGAGCAACTTGGCGATTCGTTTGTGCACAAGATGCTGCCGCCAGCGCCATACTGTGCAATCTGATTAACTCGTCAGAGAAGGCTAATCTGCAGACCTTCTGAAGCACGTTATGAAGAACCGGATCGGAAGCTTCTTTGTAAGCAGCTTTACCTGAGCCTCCCTGTCTGCAGCTGCTTGGTCTGCAGCCACAATCTCGGCTACTTTCCTCCGAACCGCGTCATGGTGGTCGTGACTGGTTTTTTGGAGCGCCTCTCGCTTGCGCTTGTACGCGTCAGTCGTCAGCAAGCCGCTATACGCATGGCCTGCAAGGGTCGGCACGAATGCTTACGGATGATCAAACCATGCTTCTTGGAGGTCAGCTACTGGAGGGACTTGCAGGTGTGCACAGGGCGTAGAACAATTTGCTGGGGACTAGGACCATGGCAGAAACTTTGGGTGCTTTGGCTTTGGACAATTGTTGCTGTGATGTCACTTGTTCCAACTTGTACCCGCGACAGTCTCCAAATCATTGATGAATCTGCACACAAAGCTCCTGCCAGATACTCGACGTACGGTTTCGCCGGCTGCTGCAAGTCAGATGAGGACAAACAAGGTAAAAGTTTGCTCCTTATCTCAGCATTAGGAAATGCAGTGCAAGGATCTGCCTTGGCCCATTAAAAGGAGCGAATTGATAGTGTTTCAGCTGCCAGACACTTGTCTAAACAGGTGTAACTTGGAAAGTTGCCTAGACAATCTGCAGCATCTGGCTCCGTTAAAAGCCAGTAGACTGCTTTCCCAATCTAAATGAGATGGCTTCCTGCGGCTGAGTTATCCAGAGCGCCACACCACCCAGCGAAAAGACCATATGCTAAGCAAAGAATCTGAGGAGCACGAATTCTTTGTTTGCTCTCCTGCAAAAAACATGATGGTCCACAGACGTCCGGACAACTTGGAGCAGTACCACCGCACAATCAGAAAATCTTCTACCGTCAGGAATATTATTTGAGTTGGTCTGCCTCCGCACCATCGTTGAGTCTGTCTTCTTTGGTGTCGAGCCTGGGCTCGAAATCGACCTTCTCCATCTCCACTTGCAGGCCGTTCCCCAAACTCCCTACCACTTTCTCGCGCTCGTCCCCCATTCCTATTGATTCGTCTCTGCTTGTAACTTTTGATCAACCAAATATCTATGAGCAACTCTAAAAAGTTGCAGAGAAACCAGCCAAAACGATCCCCAGCTCTTGTACAACTTGCACAGTAGAAAGCTGGACTTAAGCCTGAAGGTGGCAACACATGCCCACGTTAAACAAGGATGCTTACACTTGCACTAGGCATTAGGGACTCAACAGATCAGCGGAGAGCCCTCATAGATTGATTTTCTGCGAGCTGGAACCACATTCTCCTGAAACCTTAAACGGCAGCATGAAAGCCTTGCGCAGCAAAACGTAATTGATCGAATGCTGGGGCAAAAGCACAATTCAAAGATGGCTGCCAACAAATTGGATATGATGACCGATGGCATGGCATTCCTTGACCTTATTCTTGACCCTATACGGTCGACGGGTCCGGAAACACTGATTCCCTGCATGTGGCAGCGAGACCCTACGAACCTGACTTAGACCACCTTACACGATGTAAAGAGCGTCAAAGTCGAGCCGGTTACATGAACCTGAAAACCAACCCAGTCATGTGAAACATGTGCACCACGTGAATTCAAGTACGCGGACAAGGCGCAGCGCAGCGGCACATGCAACTTGCAAGCGAGGAAGACGGCTTGAATGATGAAACGGAGAGAAATGGAGGATGCACTTCTCCCGCACGTCCCAACCCAGCAATTGAATCTTAAATTTGAACACAGCTAAGATTATAGGGCGCTCCCATTGTAAAGGATAGAGATCTGCTCACATCAACACCCTGTTGTGGGTACTGACCGCGACATCTACAGCATTATGTTTGGGGTGCCACTGCTAGCTGTACGTTGCTGTACTCTCCGAAGGCGTTTTCACAAGGGGCGCCTCCGGAAGCTACGAAATACAGGAATCTGAGCCAACAGGCCGCCCCATAGGTATCCCCACTATCTCATAATGCAGATAGGGTGAGAGCAGGCAAGGAATTTGACAATGAGCGCGCTCCTGCAATCTTTGCAACAAGCTTCAATTTCAGGCTATTTCTGTCCTGGTCTCAATGGTCACAGCTTTTCTGCAAATGGACCGTCAACAAGGTCATGGACGTCACTGCGCCAGCCTTCCAAGCTTCACGTACAATATGAGCAGGCGCAGCAGACGGTGCTCTGCAAGCGAGCTGGTCAAATCAGAACTAGTGACGCGTTGTCTAAGACTGGGACCATGATGGCAACCAAGAGCGGCCAATTACGGAACTGGTGGTGGGACCCGGATCTAGAGAGGCAGACCCAGAATGCTTGGAGGAAGGGGCGCAATGCACGAAACAGAGGTGAGGAGCTACTGCCACATGTAGTCCTAGCGCTGAACAAAAGATGGACATTTTTTGACAGCTCCAAACAATACGGTCATACTGCGGTTTGGATAACCCGGGCAGTGTCAAATCGGCAAGCGGGCCCCGGCGGGAATGCCCCGGCTGGTTTTGCCGTCGTCGAGTGCGGGCGGTTAATCGCCGGGCGGACACAATAAGCGGTTGGCATTAATAAATATTCCATAGTAGACGGTTTTCCAAACTTTTGAGAAAGATTGATACGTCTAAGAGGGCAGCGCAGACTCTGCGCATGAGGGAGGTGCTGCGCTAGCTAGTAGCAGGCAAGTAGCAGGCAATTGCGCTTCAGCCAGCCTTCAGGCAGTAATTGTCAATGTTCAGATGCTCCGCTCCCAGGAAGTTTGCAACTTTCGTGTAGGTTACGTGCACACAAAGGAGTAGGAGTTGCGGCGGCAATGTGCAGACTGCTACGAACATCTTGACTGCTTCCGCAATGCTGATCGACCGATAGCTACCACAACAAAGCTGGCACCTCAAGGCCAATCGTCACACAATGAGCGCGCTCTCTTCCATCGCAGCGGTGCTGCGCCGAGTCAAGGACGATGCAGAGTTGGACAGGCCTTCGGACCGGCACAGCCGTCCGCACGACCACACTAAGTATGAAGAGCTGCCCTCGGGGCACTTGCCGGGACCGTCCGGCTACCAAGGAGGAATCTTGTCCGACATGTCGGTAGAGGACACGGGAACTGGGAAGGGCTCGGATCTTAGGAGAAGTGCCAAAGGCTTCGGGGTGCATGGGGTGGGGAGCTTCAGAGGCTCCCGAAAGTTTGAGGACTCGCCGGAGATGCGCGCAGTCATGTACGGGTCGACTGCGCACCCAAACCATGGCAGGTGAGGCTGAATCCCGATTTGCCTTCATTCGATCTCGTTAAGACCTCCTGAGCCACTAGCTAATCTTGTTGTTGATATGAAGCTTTTGCAGAGCCTTGCATGTCAAATGTGACCATTTTTCTGAAAGGGCAACAGTCTGCCAGCTTTAGGCTTCATACAGTGCTGTTGTTTGGTGGCGTATGCAGTGCCAGTAGTGACGGCACTTGGACACAGTTCTGCTTTTGATTGCGGGATTCAGGTTGAGCAAAGGGGCAACCAGATAGACAGTGAAAGCATGTGTGCTCTCGTATTATCCAACCTGACGTTGCTGAAATCTCTGATCCAGTACGACCACTGTTTTCTTGTGAGTTGGGGCTTATTCTGAAAAGATTTGAGACTCGGCGCATTTGGCCCAAAAAGAGATCACTCTGGTCGGGCACCCAAAGAACAATATGACACGCTCTGGGACTGAAAGCACGTTCATGTGAGCAGGCTGCAAGCGGTAGGCTCATTTTCAGGGAGCTCTATATCTATATCTAAATCAGGGAGCCTATCTGAGAGGCTGCATCCTCTCACTGGACAACAAAAAGGTTTGAAGAAGGCCTACGCTTTGGTTTTCAATGTATGACCAGGTCTATAGTATGCACTTACTCAAGATCGCTGCATTTGCAAAATTTGCAGAGCCGGCCTGAACCCCTGCAGCACGTGTTTCTGCCGCTCTTTTCAGACCTCAAAGTCACAGAACACTTTCAGAGGCCGCTCTTCCAAGTTGGATGCCATGGTGTCCTTTGATCAACCAAGGGCTGAATCCCATGTGACTCTACTTGTACAAAGGTCTGGATAAGACATTGGAACCTTTTTGTCTATGTCTAGATCTCACAAATGATTGCCGCTTGTAGAAAGTAGGAGGAAGCACATATCTAAGCAAAGCTACTGCCTCCTGCAGGGACGATAGCTTGTTTGGCCAGTTCGAGGAGAAGGCCATCAGGGGGCTGCATGGGGGTGAAGTACGGAGGCCCCGGGGTCCAACTGTTGCAGAGGTTGAGGTGACTGTTTGCCTTCAAGTTCCTTTGTTTTCTTGCATGCACTTGTGTTACAATCCTAGTTTTCAGTCTTCTCTTGCTTATTACTCGTCCTTCTATCTGGTACCACATGCCTCCTGTTCACTATTGCAGTCCCTCTGTTAGACGAGATTTCGCAAACGAACTTCATATCATTCGACTTTCTTCTAGCGTCAACCTCTCCTGACTCTGCAATGGGGGGTGAAGATTTGATTACAGAGTTAAAGAAAGACAGTGTTGTTCCATCCTGTAGTGGCGACTCGATTTGCACGAGGGGTTGACAGGTCAACCTCTCACCGGATTTTTCAATATTGTGCGAGCGGATCAGTGCACCCAAATACTTTTTCAGAAATGATTGTACAATACTTGAAGTTAGTCAAGAGAACCTCCAGAACTCGGTCAAAGCTCAACTGCAGTGCATGCATAAAGTCGCCTGCACATTTCCTAGAACGCACACATTTGAAGGGGTTCAACTACTGAACTTCTGAAATGCGGAACTACTTCTGCAGCTACTAGATTGACGTGCCACCTTCTCGTTCCAACGTCCTGATTCCATCTTGTCACATTCTGCCAAAATTTGACGCCTCACTTTCCGCCACTCTCCGACGCCTCAAAACGGTATGATCCACAGACTCCTGCTGAGACTCGTAAAAGAAGACAGACACATTCTATATACGAACAGATGAACTGACAAGAAGCTGAAATGGTAGACTCTGACCTCACTCTCGGCCAGTTCCATGCGCAGGCCGACCGGCTTCCGTGGGGCATCCTCCATCCCGAGAGCGACGGCTACCTCTGGTTCTGGAACGCCACCATTGCGCTGGCGGTCGTGACGGCGTTTGTGGTGCCGTTTAACATCGCGTACTTGCAGGCGCAGAACCTAGGAACCGGGACCAACCTGTTTCTCTACGCGATTGATCTAGTGAGCGTCGCCATTCTGGAACTCGTTGATGTGTGTGTTCGTGTTGTGAAACGCATTGTAGAGTCTGTTGGATCCGGGAAAAAGGGGTAGATTAAACTTATGAGTTGGGGCGCCATCTATCGCAGAATGGATCGCTGCGTGTGTAGTTCTTGGCTTTTCAAACAACTCATGGAGCAGAAGTGTTTGATCCGCAAGATAGAAAGATTAATCCACAATCCGCCGTTGATCTGGTGCGTGCCGCATCATACAACCATTCTTGCGTCCCTACGACGTTGGCTTCCGTGATGCGAATGTTTCGATTCGGCAGATAGGAACGACCAACCCTTTTCGATGACCTATCATTCGATGCGTGCAACGATGTCGCTTCCGTGGTGCTTTTGGGTGTTGATTTCTCATTCCTTTGACCACCAAAATCAGCGTTGCAATCGTCGTAGCTCACTCCTTACATTTTCCAAACGAGCTTTTGCGCCAGAGTGATCACTAGTACTTCCACATCCTCAGTTGCTTCCGACTAATTTCTGAAAGATCAGGAGTTGGATGAACACTCAAAATTCAGATGTCTGCGTGGCAAAAGGGCTGGAGATTAATGCAACCAGATTGCCCTGTCGAATGTCTGGCTGGCTCTCCACAAAAGAGAGACCCAGACAATGTCGCTCTCGGCGTGCATTATATGTCCGAGCTGAGTGAAGTCGACCACTAAGACACATCCGAATCCACCATCTGATCAAACTCGCTTGCCATCTTTGTCTTCGACATCAATCGCAGCACCAATCTGGTTGCCCCTCGTGCTGACGTCAGCCACTTTCAACCCCGCTGACGTCAGCCTGACCCTCGCCCGTTCTCCCCTCAGGTGTTTCTCGCAGACATTGCCGTCAACTTCCGCCTGGCGACCTTCCGCGCGGGCGAGTGGGTGACGGACGCGCGCACCATCGCGTGGCAGTACGCCCGCGGTGAGCTCATCTATGACGTCATTGCCGCGGTGCCGTGGGACCTGGTGTTGGCCGTCGTGACGCAAGCGAAGGGCCACTTTGTGATGAGCCTCACGCTGCTGGGGCTCGTGCGGGTGCTGCGGCTCAAGCGCCTGTGAGCTCCCTCTTCCATCTTCTTTCTGGTTTTGTTTTGGGTGTTTTACACGCCCGCAGCACTCGCACATGTTGCAAGTCTCCGAGTCGCAACAGATCAACACGGAAAGGCAGGTAGTACGATAACAAGAGAGAGACAAAGTTGTTCATCCCCTTTGGACAAATCCTTGGTTTCGTAGTTCGTGCTTCCCCTCGAAGCGAGGTGGAACCGTCTTGCAAAAAAAGTACGGGGGGCAAAGGTAAAGCCGGAGCACGTTCAATGTCGACTTTATGCTCCTTCGTATCTTCACATCTCTGGGGCCGTTTTGCTGGTTCCGACGGCTACGACGCTGTGCTGCAACCGTACAGCTCTAATCCAGTCTCTTGACCGGGGACATCATGAAGCAAAGCGAGAGAACCGAAGCACCAAACAAGCCTCCGTTTGCTACTATCAGCCGTTATCGATCCGACTCCAAAAAGCATAGCGGCGTGACCCTGCAGGTGGAGCTTCTTTTGGCTGGTGGGCGTGGACATGCGGTTCGACTACTTCTGGACGTCCGTCACCAAGTTCACGCTGCTCATCCTCTTCTCCGCGCACTGGGCCGGCTGCATCTACTTCCTGCTCGCGCGCCTCCGCGACTTCGGGCCCGGCACGGTACGCGCCTCTGGAACCTAAAACCCCGATTCTTCCTTGAAATACACGCCCCTCTGATTTGGGCATGGTCGCTTGCAAACTCTTCAATCCTTTGCTGTGCACTCTCAGAATATCTGAGTAGTACGGTATGCATTGTTCTGACAACCTCTGCCGCCCCAATGAACATCGTTTTCGCGGATCACAGACCTTCAATCTTCCGAGATTTACGCTTGGTACATTGACCGGTCGAGAATGTTCGAGTGCCCAATTCAAGGTTTTGGTCAAGCGGCCAGCTTTGAGGGCGTGTACGACCAGAGTGTCAGATACTTCCGGGCGAGCTCCTCGTCCAAGTAGATTGATATCTCATACTAATTGCTGAATGCAAGCCTGTTATTTCATGAAAGACTGCAGTCCTTCAAAAGCGCAATAATGAGCAACGGGCACACTTTTTTTACTGATCGGACGTCTGCTGTTTTGGTGCAGTGGGTGGCTGCGGACCAACCGGACCTGCCCAGCAAGTCGGCCTTTGACTGCTACGTCACATCTATCTACTGGTAATGACGTCACCATATTGCTCGGGAGGAGTTTCTTCTCCGCATCCGTTCTATGATGAGAGCCCTCGTCGGCCCGTCGGGCTTATGGTGCTCTTTCTGACGTCCTTACCAAGCTTCCACTCGACCGCGGGCACCGCCTGTTGTTCGAACCTTATGTAAGGTTCTCTGACGATTGGAACCGTCTGTTGCTCAGTCATTATGAAGCGCACGCTTGGAAAACGAGCACAAATCAAGCCAAGGCCGGTGAAGAAGTAAAACGAACTCCTTTTGCAGGGCCATGACGACCCTTAGCACGACAGGTTACGGCGACTTCACGGCCGTCGACATCCCGGAGCGCATCTGGACGGCTTTCTTCATGGTCTTCAACCTGGGGCTTACGGCGTAAGTGCCGTGAACAAGCTGACTGAAGCGTGAATTTATTGTGACTTGTCCATTGTGCATGTCGCGATGTGTTAGACCGCCAACAGTTGTTTTTGCTGCTTAAAACTCCGGCTGCTTGACTTCCACAAGCATTTAACCGAAAGGGTGGCGTTATTCTGTTCCCTGACCGTGATTCGGCGACGTAATTTCCCAGCACCTTCCTATCCCCTCCATCAATATGACATGCTGGATCGAGCGCAATTAAGTGAACCCTTGTATTTGTTTTGCGCAGATACGTACTCGGCAACATGACGGTGCTGCTGACAAAGGCAGATGCGCTTACTGCGACCTACCGCGACCGCCTTTCCACCATGACGGAGTGAGTGCACGCGCCATTTGACTCCTTTTCATTACGCCAGTGCAACGCGGCAGCGCGAAAGTCAAGTGCACCTAAACTGAATCTTACTTGCCTCCTTAAGATTGACAAGAGCTTGATATGCTTTCAGAACGCCAGTGGAAAACGAGATGCAAAACCCTAAAATTCAGAGTATTCGTTCCCGGGGCGTATGAAGGGCCCCCGCATGTCGGGCGTGCTGCAGTGGCGGAGCCAGGCGTATCTGGATGCTGTATCTGGATGCGGTATCTGGATGCTGAGCTCAAGCTTACGAAACTTTTTAGGGTCCGCAAACCCTAGGAAAGTGTCCAATACCCGAAAGTCTGAAACCTACCGTATCGCCGCAGGTACGTGAATGAGCATCATATGCCGGGCTCGCTTCAGTGAGAGGACCAGTCGCATCCCCGTGTGAGCCGAAGCTTCCGGAAAGCAAAAACCTCGACATCCTAAAAGCACAGCAGAAAATACATACCTGAAATTGTGAAACCCTGATTAACCCTCGCAGGTACAGGAAGGCGCACCACGTGCCCGGCGTGCTGCAATGGCAGAGCCAGGCGCATCGGGGTGTGAGCTGAACCTTAGAACCCATCAAAATCCTGCACCCCTTGAAAGGCCCTGATAAGTGCAGCCTGAGACCTCATTTGAAATCTCATTCATACAACTGAAACCCCTGCTAACCCTCGCAGGTACATGAAGGCGCACCACGTGCCCGGCGCGCTCCAGCGGCAGAGCCAGGCTCACCTGAAGCTGCACTTCGACACGGCGCGCGTGCGCGACGAGGTGCTGCGGCACGTGCCGGCCAGCATCCGCATGCGCATCCTTAAGCACAACTACAGCGCCTACCTCACCGAGCCGTACCTCTTCATGGGCACCTCCAACCTCTTCAAGGTGCGGAAGGATGCAGAGTTCTCTAGCTTTCTGGGTTCGGCGTGTCCTTCCTCTCATGATCCAATCTCTAGGTTCAGTTTTCCCGACTTTGATATGGTGCCTTTTTGGGGGATTCCTTTATGATGCCCGAAACGCGAAGTCGGTTGAAGCTTTGATACTCTGCGGCGAAATTCTGAAGCGCACAAGCGCACCCGGCTTGCAAGCAAGCTGCACCGCAGCAAGAGAAGCCTCGACTCGTTGTTCCAGGTTCCACAGCATCTGTTCTGGTCAAAAGTAATCTCCAATTTCAATTCCCGCCGGCCCTCTCGGCTTCAGAAAAGGACACATCAATCTGCATGGTTTCTGCGTTGCAGACGACGTGGACACCCTTATATTAGACCGTTAACATTGGTCGATGGATCATGCGATTCTAACTCTCGCCCTTCACCTTGACGTCACTTTTCTATTGACCCTCTCTCTCCGTGGTCTCCGCCTCGCAGGACCAGCTGACGACGCACATGCACGTCGAGTTCTTCCTTCCCGGCATGAACGTCATCACGCTGCATGACCCCAACTCGGAGCTCTACATCATCTGCTCCGGCACCTGCGAGGTCAAGCGCCGCCCGCCTTCCCGCTCTCGTTTGCATTTTCCTCCGTTTCCATTCGTGTTTTCCGGCATGTCCCGTCTTCGAGGCCCTTGCTGTCCCGTTGCCCTCCGGTATTCCGTCCTGTCCCTCTTTTCTTCCGTTCTTGTTCCCATCTCCGACTTCCTTTTTCCATCTTGGCCACCCGTTGAAGTCAGCGTTCGTCCGTCCCCGTATTACGCGGCGCCTCCATTTCTTTCAAACTTTGCTGCTGAACTTGGTTGGAGCTCAGCTAGGACGCTGCAACTTTCAAGTGCGTTCGAAGACCCGGCAGCAACAGTAACACAAAGTTGCGAGCCAATTGCCCTGCATCCCTCCAAAATAGAGGCCTGCGACATGGTACATGGGCGGATGGCGGGTAATTTACGCGGGCTTTTCTTCACCGCAGGTTATTTTGAAGGACGAGAGTGGCGAGGAGGAGGTCTGGTACGAGTACGTTGAGGGCGAGGTTTTCGGAGGTGCGTTGCTAGCCCCACTCCAATCATGCCTTAAGTGCGTCTCCGAGCTGAAGGTTTGAGTAGTACGAGTGAACTGCGCACCTGTGTGGGACAATCATTGGCGTTTGACCTGCGGCGGAACGGTGCAGGGGCCAGGCAGTCAAGCAACATGCAACAAACATTGCCCGAAAACCCTTTTGCAAATTAGTATAAAGTATTGATTCAGATTGCAAATCAAGCACTCTTGCTCTGCGCAGAGTTCTCCTTCATCACGAGCTCGTCCCAGCCCTGGACGATACGAACCGCCAGCGTGTGCCGCCTGCTCATCATCGAACGCGACGACTTTGAGGCAAGCATGTTTCACCCCCTCGGCTTCTAAGGACAATGCGGGTCTGCTTCTCCAGCCTTACCAATCCGCCTCGCCGGTTGAGCAATTCCTCGTTGTTTGTACTCTACCGTTCTCTGTTTGACTGTCTCTGGTTTAAGTCCTCCTGGGAGAAAGTACATGCCTGCTTCAGAGTGGCTTGCCATTTCCAGGAATCCAGGTTTTCCGGGCCCGATCAAGGGCACGGTCGCCAAGCTGGTGACACTCGTCACCAATACCGAGCAGATTAGAGCGCAGGGGCCGTCCTGATCCGGAACGGAGCGCGCAAGCCGGCGTTACAGCATCTCACTGCGACCAGCTCGGCTGACTGGCATGCGCGTGTGTGTGCAGGAGATTGCCAAGAACCACCCGGTCGACCTGCGCAAGGTGCAGCTCAACCTACTAGAAAAGTGAGGCGCTGCTCCTGTCCCGTAACGCCGTGGTCCAAGTGCGAGCAATCCCCAATGACCTCAGAGCCTGATCATTTCGCTTCTCGTTGTGACACAATGTGTACGCGAACATGTCGCGCTGCCTCGCATCCCTGCCCGTAGTGCATCCCTGTCGCGCCCGCTCTATCTCAACCCGAACTTATATCCTGAAAGCATAGAGGTTGCTGGATCCTCTGACGACTTCAGAGCCTCCTCGTAAGGAATATCTGCGACTTGCTTTCAGAAGGAGCAAGTGACTTGTCAAATCGAGCAGATGTGCGTCCGTATCTGGACAGTCGCTGATTGAAGAATGGGATTTTTCTTGCACGCCATGGATACGAGGACAACCCCCACCTTGGCTTTTCCTTCTAGACAGTCCATTCTCGTATACCTTGTCGCCAATCTGGTGCGAATGAGGCCTTGTTCTGCCCCACTTTGTCTCTCAGGACCCGCCTCCTAGCTGCAACGGTGAACGAAAAAGAGGCCCGACGAGGCCTCGTGGAGCTGGCCGTCCTCGTCAAGCAGGAAGTCGAGGTCAGTGCACGTTCCCTTGTCATGTGACACGTGGCAACAGTCAACTTGATCAGGTAGTGGCGAGGTGCCGGACTCGGACTGCGTACAGTAAGGTGCTGGGCAGGTTGCAAGATTGGAACCATCTTTGCTACATCTTCCTGTGGATCAAGCTTAGACTGCAAACTTTGGCTCTGGAAGGGGTTCTGCTTCGCCTGTCTTTGCTGCTCTCTCTTGACTGTTCTTCTCATCTGAAAGAGGGAAGGGAAGGTTAAAGGCGGAGATGTCGACAATCGGGCGTTCTTAGACAGCGGGAAGACTCCACTGAGCGATCGAATTATTAAGTTGAAGCGACCAATACTCATGTAGCACACGAAATTCGCTCTTCCGCATTCTCGTCACCACGCTTCCCTTGTCCCTCGGGTCGTCAAAGACTCCGTTCCAGCTTCTCCGTCCCGCTCGGCGCATGCACCCACTTGGCTACGCCCTGAACAATCCAACTCAGCCCTCTTTTTAGATACCTCCGCATTCTTGATTGCAACGAGTAATGCCCCCCAGAAACCTCTAGGCTTCCCTCTTGCGCAGACGTTCATCTCGAAGCAGGAGCAGGAGACAATCACCAGCCTGTGCTACGCGGCCAAGCGGGGGGACCTGCTAGAGATCCACAAGCTGCTCGCGTCGGGGATCGACCCCAGCTGCGCTGACTACGACGGGCGGACGCCCCTCGTGAGTAACCGCTCATGTTGACGTCATGCCTTTGTATTGCTGATCCTCACCCTCACCGCGCACGATGTTTCTGTTGGACGGAGAAGGTTCGGGAATGACGCCGCACATTCAAAATCCTCCTTGAGAGTAAGGGCCTGTCGGCCACATTGAAGGGTGCAATTGTGTCGTGAGCGCAGATGTGATACCGGCTCGCTTTTTTTGGCGCAAGAATATGCGTGCGGTCTTTCACAATCACTCCCTGAATTGAGCACTCGATGCTTCTATGACTGAGCTAGCAATTGACACAACGAGTGTTCCTTCCTCTATTTAATTCCTGCGTCCAACTGGGGTCCAGCGATTTGACACGTGTCCTTCCGTGGTTGCAGCACGTGGCGGCCGCCAGCGGGCAGGACAAGGTGGTGCTGTATCTTTTGCAGAAAAAGGCGGACCCTAATGCCAAGGGTAAGAGCGACGCGCTCGAGCCTGATCCTTAGCCACTTTTATAGATAATGACGCTTCTTAAATCACTGCGGCATCCTGATGAGGAGCCGTGCCTTCCTTGAAATGAGCTTCGGTCACCTACTTCTCGATACTTGGTCCGTTTACTTTCGGAAGTGCTTCGACCTTTGCGACACACAATAAGCGGCTCTGACATGTTTGCTTTCGCAAAAGGAGCGCCGATCCGCCCCCTCTATGCGAGGCCGCTGGCTTATTTACGCTCCAATCAGCAGGCAAATCGGGCAAATTTCCGTTGACGAAGTTGTCGGTTGCGCCACACACCTGGACGCTGCCGATTCGTATACACGGATGAGAGGTAAAATATAGAAAGACTGTTCAGGAGGAGATTTTCAGTCTTACTTCAGACTGCCGGTAGTCTTTCGCTCCCTGCCTGATTTCCTTTTTTCCCCGCTGCGCAGATCTGCACGGCAAGACGCCCCTCAGCGAGGCGGTCCAGAACGGCCACCTGTCAACGGCGGAGGTGCTGCGCGAGTAAGTCAGTCTTGCGAAATCTCTGAGTGGATGCAAGCGGTACAAGCTCCTGCGAACTTTGGCGCTCTTTCCGCAGTTTCGGCGCATTTCTGAATGGATTCTTCGAAGGCGCTGGCTGCGAGCCCTTCCTGAGCGACAGAACGCTGCAAAGCGAGCGACGTGTCGCGCCTCCGCGGGCTGTCAATGGGGTTCGGCTAGCTGTAGATTCCACATCCGTTGGCTTCAAAGGATGACAGATGTTACGTCGGGCTTCGCGCTTCTCGTCAGACGAGTCTTATTCACAGTCGCGGACCGGCACAGCTTGATGCCTCCCGCTGAGATCCAATTAGCAACGGAGGCAAGAGGTCCAGGCGGCCATGGTAGTCTCCTAAGTCGGCCGTTCCGGTCTCCTGGGTTGGCCTTTCCGGTGTCCTGAATTGGCCACTCCGGTCCCCTGGGTTGGCCTTTCCGGTCTCCTGAAATGGCCCTTCCGGTCTCTTGGGTTGGCCTTTCCGGTCTCCTGAGTTGGCCATTCCGGTCTTCTGAGGCGGGCATTCCGGTCTCCTGGGGCAATGCTCCCGCCTTGCTGAGACGGAATTCCGTTGTGCAGGTTCAAAGCGGAGCTGCTGCTGCGGAACGAGGCGAACCACCTGTGCCGGCTGGCCCACGCGGGGCTGGTGACGGAGCTCACGACCATGCTGCTCTTCGGGGCGGACCCAAACGCTGCGGACTACGACGGACGCACGGTGAGCGAGTCGGACCTTTGCTTGCGGTTTTCGTCAATACACATTGTCAATCCCCATGTCGGGATGCCTGAGGCTCTGGAAGAAACAGAGCAAAGTGTTTTGGCCGAAACATACTATAACAAATTATCGTTGTGCACTACTGAGATGTAAATTTCGCTGCCGGTCGATCGTGCGTCCTTGCACATAAACATGTCAAGATTCCGGCTCACTATCTTCTGCCTTGATGCAATCTTCCCGACGAAACATTCGTGCCCTGGTCGGCCTCTGAATAGAGGTCTCCTGAAGTTCAAGACCATGCACTTCTCCAAAACTGCCTTTGACTCATGGACTACGAGCACGAAAGTATCGCGCTTCGCTCGAAAGGCGAACTCTCAAAGGAAGGAATTGGACACAACAAGACGAGGATAACAACAGAAACGAGAAGAAGAGACACAGAGAGACATGACCCGGGCCACTCTAGGTGACGTACTTCGTTTCTCCGCACCGTCCTCGTCCTTCCTAACGGACTCCTCCCCCTGCAGGCTTTCCACATTGCGGCCGCGGAGGGCCGCGTCGGCGTCGTGCGCGCGCTGCTCGCCGCCCATGCTGACGTCAACTGCCGGGACCGGTGGAACCAGACCCCCCTGGACGAGGCGCTGCGGGCGCAGCACCAGGCGGTGGCGGAACTGCTGCAGGAGAAGGGGGGGGAGCGGGGGGGAGGGGTGCCACAAGGTGACGTCATCGGGTGAGGAGTTCGGGCTGGGCTTGAATGGATGAGATCACTCTGAGGGGGGTTGACTGATTCTGGCTGGACTCTTAAAACCGAAAGTAGGCCGATTTGGAGATGTTACACGAGAGCCGCGGGAGGCTGCCGGGAAACGTTCTGCGCGGCAATGACATTGGATTTGGATGTACAGACTTGCCTGTTCATGGAGTTTCCAAGCTTTTCCGTTCTAAGGAATTGGAGAGTGGTGCAGATCCCTTGAACGTGCGGTTCGGACGGTTGAGGTTCGTTGTGGAATCAGTACTACTCCTGCGTCGCGAATCTGGGGTTTGCGGTTGGCTCTGAAAAATGTGGAAAATTTTGAGAAGAGGACAACTTGCACAAGCTTTCTGTATGAAGGCGGGGGCACCAAGGTGCGCTCTGCACCGCAGTCCGCACGACTAGCATAAATGAAGCACTTGCAAACGAAAGAGGATTTGTCTTCTCATAACTTCTGCCGGACTCAACAAAGTGTTCTATCTACCCTCATGCAGGACTTCGTCGGGGAGAACGACACGTGGGCCTCCATCATTATAAGTTACAGATAGTTGATAACATGTGCGCTAGTCTTAATGCTTATTGAATCTTGGGCGCGTTACTCGAGCCCAATGATCGTTGCTTATCACAGTTGTCATGTACAGTTTCGAGGGAAAATACAAAGATAGACCAAATGCAGAACCGTTGGTCGTTTCTATTCAATGTTGGTAGCATTGGCTGGGTACAGCGGCCCGAATGCATACTGATTTCTTGCCCTTGTGAGTAATGAGCAGGACCTTGGTCTACTCTCATATATAAGGAGAGACAAGACAGTCACAATGAGTCTCCCAAGGACTGGATCTTCGTTTGTAGACACTGACACCAGAATTTTCTTGGTTTCCAAGTTACACAAGTTTCTGCACTCCATATCTACTCTTCGCATGCACTTCTGGCGATCTGTGAGGTCAACATGTTCATGATTGATGAGCAGGACGTTCATCACTTGGACGGCGTGGAAGCTGCAAGTTCAGTTGATGAACTGAGATCCAGGGACTGGAGCAGAATTGCAGGCTCTTCAGGGTAAAGAAATGTTTTGCAAGGCTAGAGGAAGTAGCGCCGCAGGTCGGTCAGCCAAGTCCCTCTGGTGATTAGTCCAGCCTCCAACAACCTCAGTGCAGTATGTAGGAATGATGCATCATTCATGTAATCTTTCATTGGCAGACTGAATTTAGTCTTGAGGCAAGTCGGAACTTCGGAAGCAGCAAAAAGTGCCATGCCGCCATGGCAGCCCCAGATTCGAAGTTTCCCCGCAGAAACCTAGTCAGTCCGTCCAAACTGCGTTCGGTGCAGCGCAAAAGGTATGCTTACGTCTCTATCATACTATATACACCGTATGCTGACCAATGTCATGCAGTTCATGCATTGCTGATCCCGGAATCTTATTTTTAGAGTAGGATAAGCAGAGAAGATTATGGTGATGATTCGCAACGACGTACCAGCACACATGCACAATTATGAATCAAAGTAGAACAGATTGAGCAACATGGCGTGAGGCCGGAATAAGGCAGTACCTGCTTCCATCAAATCAGCTGCAGCACATCATAGCGGTTGTTGGCAGCAAATACACCGCAGGCCACTCAACAAGCTTTAGCAGATTGAATGCCTACCAGCACAAAGTACAAATCTTGGTGAGCAGAGCTGGAGTGCCGTACTGGACGCCCTTGAGGGATCCCCTCAAGTATAAGGTCTTCCGTCTTGCACCAATCAAATCTCTCGAAATCTACACGTGGACCTACGGTAGGTACCGGGGCTGCAGATGACTCCGGCGGTACAATAATCGAGGCTGTTCGGTAGGTACCGTCTGCTCCGCAAGCTGACTCAGCCTCAGTCTCAGGCTCTCTGCGTTTGAGAGAGCCTGGTAAAAGCAGCTGCAAGCCTGCTTCTTGTTCACAATTTTGCCTTCCTCTGGAAGCAAGTTGTGTTTTCGTGCTCTGGCGCCCAGGCGATCTTTGACGATCAGCGATCAGCGATTGGCGAGCAGCGTTCAGCGTTCAGCGACCAGCGACCAGCGACCAGCGATTAGTTGTAGAGGCTAGAAGAGATTTTGGAGATAGCGCGCTACCAGTTTCAGAGCATTCCCCTGCTCTGCAGCATGGCGGCGTTTGTGGCAGGCCTGCTTGGCATGAGCCAGCAGGAGCTTCGCTTTCGCGTGGAGCGAGCGAAGCAGTTGACCGTCGCTCCTTTCCTGAGCCTCTACCACTCCATCTCTCCCCTCCTAGGTCTGACTGCCTCCTCTGATGATCTTCCTCTGGTTGCTGCTGCCAGTGAGGCACTCCCTCTCTCTACTTCTTCTCAGCCTGCTCAGCTCCTCGAGGATGCGGATGGTGAACAAAACCACGCGCAATCTGACGCCTCCGCCCTCGAGCCCCTCAGCCTGAACTCCGACGCTAAATCTCAGGAGGGAGAGCTGCAGCTTACTTTGTGCGAGCAGGGACTGTGCGCCAGGTGGGAGGCGCTGCCTCAAAGGGGAGAGCAGGAGGGGGGGACTTTGACTTTTTGTTTGGAGGAGGGCTTGGCTGGTCGGCGGAAGGCCCTGCCTCGGGATGAGGAGGAGGGGAGTCAGTTGGTGGGGCCCGAGATTGCAGAGTTGTTACTAGCGAGGGGGGCAGCGAGCATTGCGCAGCTGGATGGGGGTTGCTTGGTCAAGATTTTTTCTCATGTGGACAACAAGACTCTTCGAGCGTGCTCCTTGGTCTGCCGCGAGTGGCTCGAGGTTTCCAGCTTTGCGCGCACGCTCATGAGTCTGCAAGAAGGCCCCCAGATCACTGCCCTCCCGACGCTGGTTGCTCGCTTTTCAAGACTAGAGACTCTGCATGTTCAAGGCCCTGAGATCCTCCCCGCATGGATGCTGCCACTAGAGAACCCGGCCTCAGGACTCCTCGCTGCAGAGCAGGCCGCTATTGTCCCGCTCGACGACTCCGCCCTGGAAATCATTGCGCGGGGTTGCCCCCGCCTGAACAAGCTGCATTTTGACTGGTGCGGTGGCATCTCTGACGCGGGGCTTGCAGTGATTCTGAGAGGTTGTTCTGGACTCACTGACTTGAGCCTTGAAGGCTGCGGGGGGATCACAGGGGCAGCGTTCAGCGGCCTAGCCTGCGGACTACAGAAGCTGGACCTGGCTAGCTGTGATGCCTTGACAAACGAAGGCTTGCTGGCGGCGGCAACAGCGTGCCCGGGGTTGAGAAGTCTGTGCGTCTCGTCCACTCCGCAAGTTCCATCCTTGGCAAATGGGTTGGAAGAGGCTGCCCGCGCACGTCCGGAACTGCAAACGCTCTGGGTCCATGCCTGTGATGTCACAGATGTGACGTTGCGCTCCATTGCTGCCAGCTGTCCCTCTCTGAGCAAGGTCGCCGTCTCGTGCGAGCGCGCCGTCACTGATGGGGGGCTTGCGGGCTTCTTAGCGGCGCTGCCCGAGCTGGAGTCGTTGACCTTGCAAAACTTGCGAGGGGTTTTGGGCATCCCACGCATCAGGTAAGGAACAGTCTTGAAAGTGAGGTCATTGTTTCCTCACCCTGCAGTGCTTTTCGTCGATCTTTGCGGGGATCTCTGCATACTGCATCTGTGGGGCTTGCAAGTTGCAATGACTTTGGACATGTCTGAATTATCATCTAGATACTAGTATAAGTGGGCACTGCTCTTGCATTTCTTTCAAGCAGGCCCAAACTAATCAGAATCTATCTGCGCACATGCAGTGGTTACAAGCATTTGAAGACGCTGAGCCTTGAGTACTGGTGGGACATGCCCGACCTGGTCCTTAGGGAGGTGTCTAAGGAAACGACCCTTGAGAAGTTGTGCATCGTGAGCTGCCGTCAGGTGACTGATGCCACAGTCTGTAGCATATTTGCGGGTTGCACTAATTTGAAGGTCTTGGAGTTGATTGGTAATAAGCTGATTACAGCGGAGACGGTCAGGGCATACCTTAGAAATGGTAGGAAATGCAAACTGGAAATTAGTGAGTGCCCAGGTGCTACGAAGGACAATCTGCCTGAAGACCTGCAGGTTGTGCGAGAAGAAGTCTTCCTATAAAAGTTCCTCAGAAAAGAGTCAATGATATGCCTTTTATCTGGTAAAGTCAAGATATCTGTGCATCAGATTCAGTCGATGCATATTATGAGTTGAATCCAATATCATATCATTACGTCGACCAAGTTTATTGACTCTATGGCTAGCATTAACTTGTCCGCGTTCCCTCCAGATGGGAAACCTTGCTTAATAGTAGCCGATGCTAGAGCTTCAAGAAAGCTGGATCCAGGTCGCGGTCAATACATAGCTGAATAGGGAACGCAGTGCCATGATATATATGCACATGGAGCATGAGCAGATATCCGAAGATTGCATGCATGTGCATTGCTCCACCAGTCTCCTCTAGGATCGAGATCAGGCTAAATGACCTGCGGTACCTATGATGAGAGGGCCTTGACGTACAATATTGGAAGGCAGAGCTGCCGAAGGGGTATGTCTTAAGTTTCTGAAATAACTTTTGCATTGCACATGGAATCCATAACGACCCGATCGTAGTGGACTCAAGCACATGTTACACCGACGGTGACACAGGTCTCGGCGGTTGAGAGTTGATTCGTCGCGGACATCATGCAACATTCTTATTAGCAACGGTCGCAATCAGAACGGTTCAAGACCAGAACAAGGAGCTCCAGCCTGCCGTTGAAGCGAGTTGTGCTTCATTGTGACGAGCTAGTTATGCCATAGTCATGCAATTCTGAGTTGCTTGAAAGAAACCTTCGCTGTTGATAGCAATTATCCGCTCGACGGGGCACGCTGTCAAGGAGTCCTTGTACAACATCGCCTTTGCAATACGGGTATAAGGCGTCATGTACATTGATTAGGCCGGCAAACTTTTTCAAACTTGTCCTTCGTAAATCGACTGCATCGGAAAATTGTTGCCTGCAGAGCGTGAGCACAAACAGAACGGCTGTGAAGCCTTCAGGAAAAAGCAAGCTGCCCTACCCTTGAGTCAAGGTCTTATCATCCAAATCTACTGTTCCTTCGAGAGTAGAGATATCAAACGGTAGACAAGCGCAAGGGTGGCTTTGTACGCTGTCAATTTGCGACAGTTGCTACACGTCTCACTGCATATGTACCCGCAAAATGGAACCAGACAGTGTGCATAACAAAGTGCGTCCTATTGTGGCACTCATGACTCTGAGACTCCACATACCCCAACATCTTGATCGGCGCTAACCGACACCTCACACGTCTACTTTGCTGTGTCCCGGGTTCTCTACGGAAACCGCCGTCTGCCACGCATTGTGCCCGCCTGCAAACACACCACAGAAGACGACCTCTCAGATTGGCGAACCTGCTAATTACTGTGAGAGTTACCGGCCCGAGCACATCGTGCTCAACCACGTTCGAATCGCATAGCTTCACGAATGACCAGAGACAGAGACTGCACGTTAATTGCTTTCTCAAACGACTTTTCTGGCTTGTGCCCAACCCTGCGAAATCGAACTTTTTCTGATATTTAGAAATCTGAGCAGGCTCCGATCAGCTGGAGTGAACTTACTTCGCGAAGCGCCTCATCCCGCTCCGCCTCCACCATGAGCAGCCGCTGCTCCAGGCTGCTAACCGTAGCCAGTGCCCGCGTCAGCCGAACCCCGATCGCAATTTCGCTCGCCTTGGCATCATCTCGCTCACCGCCCAGCTCCCGCTCCCGTGCCTCCCACTCCTCCCGCGCCTTCCTCTGCTTGTCGTCGAAGATCTCCATCTCCGCGACAGCAGCACGCTTGACTTCTTCCGTTGCGCGCTTCGCGGCCGCGACCTGGGCCGCGGCTTCCTTCTTCTGGGCGGCGGCTTCCTTCTTCTGGGCCGCGGCGGTCTTCTCTCTCGCGACCGCCTCCTTCTTGAGCTTCTCGACCTCCGCGGCCGCCTCCGCCCTGATGGCCGCCATCTCTGCTGCCGCCGCGCGGGTAGCGGCCTGCGCTGCCTAGAGGCATCAAAGCAAAAGAGATTAAGAGAAGAGTCCAGCATGAAAGAGCAAAGCGTCGTTCTGCCCGACGAACTTCGAAAACAACGAAAAGTTGAACTCGGTTTTTCGCCCAACTTGAAGCAAGCTGACATGGTCTACAACCAGGTTTGGACGCCTTGAACTAACCCACTTCAGGTTATCAACCGGTTAATGCAGGGTTTGAGCATGCTTTTCTGGTCCTAGAGATGGTGAAATTGAAACCCGTCTGAAATGGTTCGATTCCTCTAAACTTGCACAACTCGAGCGAAGCTGGCGCGGGATCAGCAAAGCGCCTTCCGATTCATGTAAACGGCTCGATGTGCAGAGAGATCCTCAAGAACGTGTTAGTTCTGAACGTGTTGGGAACTTGCTGTGAACGAAGCAAACACGTAGGAAGACACGAATGCTTCCGTTTCCAAAAGTCTGGCAGACCCGGAACCAGGAGATTGCCAGTCTCAACGACTAGCTTAAGATAAGCAGAATTCGGTTGCCAAAGGTTAAGGTACGGGTTGACCAAACAACGCTCACATTTCAGGCCTTTTGAGTCTGAAAGATGATTGTAGGAAGAAGAGCCAGCTTCGGCAGCAGAACTCACCTCTAGGACGGTCTCCACGTATTGGCGGGCGGCAACCACCTCCGCTGTCAGCCTCTCCAGCTTCTCCTCGAGCTTCGAGATGTCAGTGTCCCCGGATCCTCCCTTGGAATCCTCAGTCCCCTGCATGAACAGAGAATGCAGGATAAAACACCTGCTGATCTTGTTGAGTCGTTCATATGTGCGGATTTATTGCTGGTGACCTAGGAAAGAGCATGGCCTCAAGACGGCTTCGCTGAAGCAAGCGTCAGGCGCGGACCCGCAGCCACGGACCTTGCATCCGAAACCTACTTCAGCTTGTGTCATCATGGCGTCACGGATTTTATTTTACGAGGCACTCTGTGCAGTCCGGAAGCGGACATGCGTCATCGAAGCAGAGTGGTGTGACTTCGGACAGGCTGATTGCAATCCCTATTTCAGTGGTTCTCACCTGCGCTGCGTGCGATGTTGATGCATCTCCCTGTGCCAGCTCTGCTCTGCCCTCCGCGTTTTCTTCACCCTCCACCTCACTTGCTTCCGGTCCCCCAATCGACGAACGCAGCTTCTCCGTCGCGGCTTTGACCAACAGAGACCGCGAATCCAGCTCCTTCGCAGCCGCTTCCTCCTCTTCTTCCCCTGCTCCCACGCCGCTCTTCCTGCGTATTTCATGTGCCGCAAGCCCACCTTCCGCCAGCAAGAGTTTCACCTCAAGCGCCGCCAGCTCCCTTTTCATCTTGTTGATCTCGTCCTGGCTGCCCATTCCTCCCAGCCCGGCTTCTGCGCGCCGCGCCCCGGCCGCCAGCCCCTCATTCCCGACCGCCGCCTCGTGCCCGGCCGCGACTTTGAGGGCGGCGTCCGGCTCGATGTTGGACGCGGGCATGCGGCCGCGGATCGGCGGCGTCGGGAGCTGGCTCGGGCGGGGCTCGGACGGGTGCTCTTGAAGCAGGGACCGGAAGGTAATGTTGGACTGCACACATGGCGAACAAGTTGCAGACTTCGGACTATTGTGACGCACCCTCAAGCCTCAACCCTATGGTCATCGTAGACGTTTCGCAACCTTGACGACCATTCAATTGAGCTTTGAGACGCACTTACTTAGAGAAATGTTGAGTAGTGGGATAGTTTCTGTGGCATACCGTGGACTGATGACAGATCTAGCTCGCGGAAAGTACTTAGCTGATGAATGATTTGCTTCAGAGAGGATTAAAACAACAGTTTACAATCGAGATCTCGAGGAGAAGTACAAGCGAGCTGCTCAGGTCATTCTTGATGAGTTGACATCATGTCCCGGGAACTCCTGACACCCATACTGAATGCTGTTAGATAAATTGGGGAACCAGAAATCGTTTTTTGGACAAAAAAAAGCCAGAAATAGCCTGGGGGAACAAGCTGCACTACTTACCTCGTTCTCCGCTTCCGCCGACACCGATCCCCACATCTCGAACGAGCGGCGAAGCGCTGGTGACGCGCTCGCCGGTTGGCCAACCTGAAACGTGATATGCTGAGAGTCAGTCAAATGAGGATCATGCATCTTTTGATGCCTCGCTTGCCGCGAGAAGCTGTGGGCAGACAACGCAACGTCCACAGAAACGGCAGAACTATGGGGTCATCGATCACAACGATACACGGAAAAGTCAAACAGCCTGTTGGACTGTGCATGTTCTTGAACGATGGCCCACGTCCGTAGAAACCATTCATGACAGCTAGAAATTCATTCCAAAAGCACGAAAGACGGGGGCAATCTGCCTGTACCTCTGGCGAATGAGTGCGAAGGAGGCCGTAGAGAGGGTTGTCGTGGAGGGCCGCAGTTGCCGCCTTCTGGACGTTCGAACCCGTCCCTCGCGCCAACGCAGCACCCTCAGCAGTACTGTGTGAGGCCCGGGCGCTGCGAAGAGCGGCTGCGCTGCCGCCAGTTCCGGTGGATGACGTCAGACGGGCGGGGGCGGGGGGGTCAGGCGTAGCGGATGACCCCTGCAAAGATGTGACGGTTTCGGGTCTGGTGCGCGCCTAGACTGTATTGCAACAGCAAGATCCTAAAACTTAAAAGTGCAGTGGACTGCAGTGCAAATCAACGAACATTAGAGAACCTCAGACACAGAATCTACTGGGGAGATTAGTTGATCCATATACTGGTATGGAAGTTTGCAAAATCTCTGGAGAAATACAATCTAAGTTTTGTCGAACACTTGACAACGTCACTGTCCTGACACGGAAAATCTGCAATAATTCCCCCTTCTTTGCAGTCGTTGTTTCTGCACTTGTTGTTTCGCTGTTTCCCCCATTCTGACATCAACCGCTTCCATTGCTTCGTCGAATAGCCTTTGCGCCCCTTCCCGCCGAGGACAGGGATTATCAAGCTTGCTCAATTGTAAGCAAAATTTTGCAGGAACAGCACTTGCGGCCTAGCACGAGAGACTGCTTTTGGCCTGGACATGGCGAGCACCCTCCAGATGGCTTCAGCTACCGGTCGCCCCCAGAATCCTTATCTTTAATAATGGATCTATGAGACCCGCCTAGCAGGTTTCGTTGTTGCCTAATCAATCCTTTTTGCTATGAACATGACAGAATAGCTTTGCAGAGTCGTAAACTATAATCAGAGGTCGTTTAAAACCGGCTACTTACAGCCTCGTGGAAGGTGAGCGCAGAGAGTCTTGGCGCCTCGTCGCTCATCTCTTTTTTTGGAGTGGCTGTGCGCGCCGGAGGAGTCCCCTGAAAGTGAGGAAGCAAATAGCAAAGGCTTCAAATTTAAGGTATTGCTAAAGGGTGTGGGCGTTTCGATGGCAGGGCGGAGACGGTGGGGTCTACCAAATTAGTTTATGAAGCTTTGCATTCTGATACATATCCTGTACCGAGGGAGATGTTGAATCAATATGCTCTGTCCCCTTGTGGGGTTTTGCTGACAGCAATTGGTTATCTGAATTCTACTTGCCGCTGAAATCCGACGGGTTTGATGCTGAGTGTACTCAATTCTGAGCCTTGTATGATTCTGCCACGATTGAAGAAGCTCGGTGCAATTGAAGGACGATGTCTCAATTTGAAAACTTTCAAAACGAATGCACCATCGAGGAAGGCACCGTCTTCACTGTCCAGGAAAGCACCTTGTTTCTTGGCCTGCTTTCAAGATACTTCTGGTTTTCAACGAGTTTTGCGTACTTGGCGAAGTAGATTGCTACATGTGAAAGCAACTGTAACCAGAATCAATAGCGGGATACCTACTCACAACTGCGTAGAATTTGAACTTCGCATCAGCGGCGGGTTTTATAAAAAGCTTTTCAAATGGTCAGGGCTGCAAACGCGTCAGGAAGACTGCACTCGCCTGCTCCTTAGTCTTGACGTCCTTCTGGTGGTGCGCCTCGCGAGTGACGGCCGTTGGCGACGTCACTCGCTCTTTGCCACTTCTCGGGGTCGTGCGAGTGGACACCGCGCGGCCGCGAGCATCACCGGCGTCGGCCGGTCGTCCTTCCTTCTCGGGGGACTTTACCTGGATAAGGCGCGAAATACAAAGATATCATTTAAGAGCTCTTTTGAAGGCAAGACGAAGATTCTGTCTCCAATGCTTGCAGGGCCACTTAGTTTCAATAGCAGAAGATTCCAGATTGGAGCAAATGATACTTCGAAAAGGTTCAGTTTGTGCACAGAATCACCCATTCGCCAATGACATGTCCCGTCACCAGCTCCTGGCAGTCGAAGCTCTGACCAAGCTGACTTGGAAGCGATTGCACAAGAAGATGCGACCTTGTCTGGACCATTGAATAATCGTTATACCTTGAACAGACACTAGACTCGTCGACAAGCATCACAGCTAGCTCTGAAGACTTTAATTTCAAGTGCCTCAAGCTCTGATTCCTGCCGGTGTTTCCAACCGATTGTCTTTCTACCATGATCAATCGATCAAGTTTTCAGCCTTACATTGAATTTGACCGAACTTTGTCTAGTTTGATCAGCTTGCTTACAAACCTACCCGATCAGGCAGGCGTTCTAGACATGAGCTGGTAGCATGGCCAAAAGATTCACGTGAGAATGAGTCACTTGTGAAAGGATCAAATGTCGTCTACTTAGATTGCTGAGAAGGTTGCAGTAAGTATCTATCGAATTTAGCAAGGAGTGGCAACAATTATCCAGCTTGTTTTGCTTACATGCAAAGTCCTTCCACAATGCAAATTTCCTTTTCTGCAATGCAAATTCTCGTACTGGAGGACGGTTGAAAACGTTACCGATTTGTGGACATCCTTGGCTTTGCCCTTGGCCTTGCGGGCTGCCTCCTCTTCTCCAAAGCGGGAGCTCTTCAAAAACATGACGATCTGTCAGAACAGATTGTCACTTCGTCAGAAAACGATTTTCTTGTGATCTGATACTCTACTAGTATGCAACGATAAACTGCCAACTTATGATACTCTACTCTGAAAGCGTACTCGAGTCCTTGGACAGTGGCTGCAATACATTGCACGCAACTGGCTCAACCACTCTTCAAATCCTGGACTGACAGCAGTGCTCAGAAAGGATGCGATTGCTACATGGCCCTAATGCATCACGGAACTTCAATCTTATGCGATGCAACTCGTCATGCAAACTTTTTCTTTTTACGATTTGAAAATCCTCTTGAAAGGATTGACTGACCTTTCTGGCTTGCTAGGAGTGTTGGAGCTTGCAATCCTCCTTAAATCTTCCTGACAGGTCTCTCTCCACAAGAGCCTATATTTTGTTTGCGGCTGTAATATGCAGAATCGCTTCCTTCCCTCATGCACCTGATGGATTAAAGCAGAAGTCAATGCTCGAATTAAAAGCTCATGCGCTAATTGGATCCTCAAGTCACGCCCAGGATTGACTCATCGCAGCGCGCTGCACAGCGATCAAAGCTGCTTCTTCCTCGTGCTTCGTAGCAGATTGACCGAACTGCAAGGACGCTGATCTTTCAAGAGGAGTCAAACACCACCAGGAAGCAGATTGCAGCAGCCGCAACCATTAAACTTGCGAAGCAGAGAACCTCAATGCAGAGGTCTGAGAAGTTTGTGAGAGAAAGCGCATTGCAGGCAGTCATTCCTCCCCCTCTCCCTGTCCCGAGTTGCACAGGAAAGGCCTTCTTTCGACGAAGTGTTCGCTTCGTCGTGCCTGTCAGCAGTAGAATCAAATGCATCGGTGTCTCTCCAATTGGGGCCTCAATCTGCTGAAGTGATCAGGCCCCGCTCAAAGCGTGTGCTGACTAGACAGCGGATGCTGACATTCAAGCCTTCGTCATCCATTTGGAGCTGACTGGCATCATTGCATTGACGTAATCATCAAGCCACGCCATGTGCTGAATGTCTTGAAAGAACAAACAGAACAAGCGGATTGCATGAAATCCGATATGATATTGGTCGTATGCACGCGCCATTTTTGCACAGAAACTTTAGTTGCTCTTCGAAGACTCACAGTGCCTCATGTATGCTTATGCCAGACTGGTCAAGGCTTATCCCTGTCCTTAATTACTAGTATGTCCCATGCAAAACTGCGATTGCTAGAAACAGAGGCCCATGTATATTGGCATGTACTATCGCAAGTCACCTTACCTACGATCCCTTCTAGACTTGCAAAAGACGAGCTAGCCACCTCCAGATCAAGCTAACGACCACTTCGCGCCTCAAGTGCAACGAATGGCTGGAACCACCATTCCATGCGTGCAACAAGAGGTTTTTGATTATCTAAGGGAGATAAGGTAGTAAAAGTCACTTAAAAATCGCCTTTGCCGATGCTATAATGTCCATGCATGACATGGCCGGTTCATTGGACGCTCTTGAGTCATGCAGCGGTCGAACAACCCGGGACATAGTAATGTTGCAGATTAATTAACATTGCATAAGCGAATCATGACGGCCGCGAACTTGTTCACCGCTGTCATGAAACATATTAGGAAATTGTCACCACGCAGCGTGCTACAGGCACAATTATAAGCATTTGTGCTCAGTTGCTGATCCCCCAACTCGAGGTGGTATTCCTGCCCCAGCACTTCTTCCATCCAGGTTGGGAACTGTCGCTAGTCTCTATCTTGGGTACGTAAGCTAAGTATGAGAATGTGTAAAAATCAAACAGTCGTCGTTAAGTCAAAATTGATGCAGGAAAATGAAAATATAACATCGAAGTGCTTTTCGAAGTCAGAAACGAGCCCGTAACTTCCAATCTCTGCAAAAGAGCAATTCTTCCGTACGCGTCTTTTTATAATTGGATGGACTGTGATCATGATAGACCGTCCTCATGCAGAGGGGTCTAGGGGTCAGAGCCCGAGCCCTGCCAAGCGATCAAATTTATGCATTCCAAATCTGGAATATATGTCCAAGATCGATATCGGACATGCTTACGGAGCCTTGAAAAGGGCTCCGCGTCCAGCCACCGTAATCCATAAGCCCACAACACGCGCCTGTAGCATGATATGGGTGTCAACAATGGTTCTACAATCGGCTGCCTGATCCGAAAACGAAGACAATAAGCAGCCGTTCCAGGCGGAGACTTAAACACACAGGCAGGCTTCTTCACCGTTTCCTTTTCCTCGCTTTTTTAGCGCTACAACATCAACGGTGTGCCACACCCTCTCCCGTCGAACTATCCACCGTCTGGGTCCTTCGTCGCACTTCCGGCCCAGTGCGCCCGGACTATCTACGCCAGGTGGTCGCACGTGGTCGGCCACCAGACTCAAGAACTGCTTCTTGGCGGCGTGCCTGCACGAGAGAAAGCATTGCTGATGCCGACTGCCAGGGGACGCCTCCATTCGTGTTTGACCAGCAAGGGTCGTTTACGCGAGCTCACTTGGAAACAGGTTCCGCAACTGAGTCGCTCCCGGGCAGCCCTTTTGCACGAGCACAAGAGATGCTAAACACACGGTCAGAGTGCACAGGCTGAAGTTCTGAAACTCAGCATGAAATCACCACAGTCAAGCCCCAATTCCAGCAACCGGGGATGTTTTTAAGCTCGTCCTTGATCTCGCTTTCGGGTTACGTCATCAAGCATCTCAGAAGCGAATCTTGGTAAGTGCCTTTGACTGTTTGACAGGCCATCGTTCCAGGTATGCGATGCTGCTGGGCACCGCCGTGTGAGGGAGCGGCGGACGGAAGTCCAACATTTTCGAACGGACTTCGAACAGCATAGAGAAGGGACGCTCGGCCGAGCCCAAAACAGACTTGCAAACAAGTCATCCAGACGGTTGGCACGGAAGAGGTGTACCATTGTCCAATCAAAGGCATAGAGGATTGCGCGCCGCTCCACATTTATCATCTGCTAAATGTACAAGGTCGATTCAGACGAAGAGGACGATATAAGTCCGGAGCGGCTCGATGCAGGTCCGAGGACTGACCTTGGCCGTTGTGTTTGTGGAAGATGGCCTCGACGCCCCCATCGCCCTGCGGTCTCGTCTGGCGGCCAACGTCATACTGACGTCAGCACCGCGCGCGGGTTGAGCGGCTCCCGAGGGCAGTGCGAGACCGCACGCCCGTTGGAGCAAGAGCCTTTCCTCGGCAGCGCGCGCACACACGGGAACCAGCTGCCTTCGCGGGTTGACGATGGGGCTCTTGTTGCACATTCAGCGAGCTGTTAAAGAGGGTCGACGGGGTTTGGACGAAGGGGAGTTGGGAGCGTTCTCGAAAAGGTTTTACGGAAGATATTGGGCATACAGCGGTCCTGAAGACTTTCAAAGTCTGCTTAGGGGTGTTTGGAGGCTCCTTTGAGACCTTTCGGACCGGCACAAAGATCTGTTTTTGAAGGAAGGGTAGAAATCCAATCACTAGTCGCGAAGCACATTAGCAATTTATAAGGATGCCCCACCACGTTCCAACTTTCGCCCTTCTTGAAAGAGATCCTTTGCAAGACGCAACTTCCTTCAATTGGAGCATTGAAAAGCAGCGCACAGACCGTCGGAACTTCCCAATACAATCTTTCACGAGATAGAAATAGGCGCCTGCCGAGATTGAGGCAATAAAGTCACTAGCATCTGAACCACGAAAAGTTGGAAGGCTGCTCGATCATACAGATTGCCGGGTTCCGCCATTTTGAACAGCGAACTCCCTTTCGAAATTGCAGTACGAGTGTGCAAGGCGCCAGGTTATGAAGCATGATGAGCAATTCACCTACATAGGCTGTCGTTAAAGGCAAGTCGCCATGACAAATAAGACGCAGACAGCTACAGCTCGGATTTGTTTCCGTCTCGTCAACCTGTGACCGACACTGTTGGTCCAGTTTCAGCACTGAACTTCGTAGTCAATCCCCGAACTCAAGGCAAGCCTCGCTTCCTCAGACTGAGACGTGCCTCACCTGGAGAACTTGTTGATGATCACAGAGTGCGCCAACGCGGCAGTCTCAGCGCCTTGAGCTGCAGCGGCCCCTGAAACCCCGCTCCGTCTCCAGGACGGTCGCTCGCTAAAAATACGAGAACTGCCTCTGTGCCAGAGCCGCAACCACGTCCGGCGGGGTTTTTCTCTCTGCGCAGCCGCTGCCCCTCCCGGCTGGCGCCTGAACAAAGGCGGATACGGGCAGTCTATGTTAGTGTACTGGGTTGAAGCGAAAGTGGGGCCTGGATGCGCATTGACAGGGCTGATTCCAAGCCTTGCAGGCTGGTCCTCTGCAAGTAGGGGTTCTGAATGCTTATACGACGGGACAGGGTCAGCAAACTTTTAAAACCAGTATGTTCTTAAGATGACCTTCGAGGCCTTGACCTGCTCTGTATGGCCGCCAGAGACCTCCGGCGAACACCCAAAGATTGCGCTCAACCTAGACCGAAAAAAGCCTTACAAGACACAAGATCGGCATAGCTTTCACTAGCGAGCGGCCCGGCGGAGGGTCTGCAAACGAACTGAAAGGACGCTCGAGTCCTGCAATGGCATGCGCTTCCTTCGATTGGAAAAAACAAAGATAGTTCACCAGACTAGCCGTTTGCCTAGCAAAAGCAGGTGTGTCACGGGCCTTGGACGAGGGTCCCAAATGGGGCTGCCGGGGTTTTCCCCTCTGCATAGGGTACGTACTCATTGTGTGCGGAGCTTTGACAGCGGACAGGATAGTTTCACGAGCAGCTTGTGTCGCTGCTTCATTCTGCGTGTGAATTGCGGAGACGAAGTAGACCTGAACCCAAGACTTGGCGCCTGAGAGGGTGCCAGCTGCCCCACTCACCTTGGAAGTCGGCAGGACCATGTCCTGGAAGCAAGTTTCTGGTGCGCGCCCCCACTATTGTGGTTCACTACCATGCAGCGCCCCATAACAATCGTCAGGAAGTTGCAACGTTGGTCGCCCGAAACACCTGCAAAGCGAATCTGGCTTTGTTCGAGCTTCAGGCACACCAGGATAGAGGTTGTTCAATTGGCTCCCGCACCACAGGGGCAAATCTATCAGCGTCCCGCTGTTGCTTGAGCAAAAGATGAACAGCCCCCCGTTTCGAGCAGAATACTGCTGGGCTTGCTTAAACCGGAACTGCCGGTGACTTCTATTCTGCTCTTAATTGGTCCAGCGCTCTCTCTTTACGCACTCTCTGAGTTGACTTTCGGATGACGCATCAGCGGCAGTCGAGCTTCGTAGTGCCATGGACCTTAATTGAAGCAATCCTGTTCACAAGCCTTTTGTCTTGAGACACTTGACTCGGTCCTTCTCCTCAATGCCGCAGTCGTCTCTTCAACGCCTCAACCCCAGACACTGTTGACCAACCCACTGCAGAAGGCTCAACAAACATCAAAGCAAGGTAAGCATGCAAAGCAGCGGCACTTTCAAAAAAGTGTGGGTCCAAGAACCCCTTACCTTCGAGGCAACGGGTCCATTGCCGCTGCTAATAGCATCTTCACGAGAAGTTGTCGCCCCTTCCCATATCCTGCTTTTACCCACGCAAAGCATTGGCAGATCTCTGCATCTGATGCTGCATCGCTGACCTTACCACCAAGCGCACTGTCCCCGCTTTCTGCACCGCCATTGCTAGCCATGCCATCCTTACCCATGCCTCTCTTCCCCGCTCTTGCCCTGACCCAGGCAACTTGTTCAGGGTATGGGTTTAAAGGTTCTCAGGGGTACCGCTGGCGGCAAGGGGACGCTTCAAATTCAGAATCACAGATTTGCTAATGTCAGCGGCGCCTGCGCGGGCTTGCATGCGCTAGCGGACGCTGGAGGGAACGTTCCTGCGGAGCTTGCCTGAGTGCGCCTTGTATTCTGGGAACAGGAACACCGCCCACTGCAGCAGTCGCGTACCTGGCGGAACAATGAAGAAGGTTCAGAAATACTTCAAGCATCAAGTGCGTTAAGGTAAGAAACTGGAGCAACACGAGACGAAATCTACATCATTCACCAAGCCGCAATTGCAGATGCTTTTAGAGTATGTGTGAGCAGCCGTGTGGTGGCAGTGACAATAAGCTCTGGATGGGGAGTAAATCGTAAAATTCAGATGGCAGAGCAGAAGTTGTCAGGAAGAAACCGATTGGTCTGCTCACTTCAACCATATGCGCTGGCACCATCTGCATTTGAAGCAATATTTGACAAGCTTCTCAAGCAGCACTCTCTTCCTAGAAAAGGAATGTCAGAGTTCCATGCTGCTTCATCACTGATCATCAAGTATGCTCTTTTGGTCTCATTTGTGTCTGCAATCTCACCTGAGCCTGGGACAACTGGGAGGGTCCTTTTTTCGCGCTACTGGAAATAGAGCGGTCAATGCTAGCTCGTTAAGATTGTTGTGGCAATCTGCCGGGACAGCATTGCCGGCCCCATGTCATGTTCTCCTGCTGACTGCACCAAGCCCATCAGATGGACCAAAGGAGAGGAATATGTTGACCGTCCATCTCCGCCAACACGCTTCTTTGGATGCATTGAAGTCGATGCGTATGCCAATTTTTTTTTTTTTTTTTTTTTTTTTTTTTTT